TTTTTTGCGATTCATAATAACTGCATGTAGAAGAAGCAATATGTTGTAATATGTCATCATAATGGAAAGCTTCGCCTCACTTTCTTTTTGATACCCATGCTGTGGTAACTAAAGAGTACAGTTGACATGTACCGATTAAAAAAGAATGTTGTGGTCTCTCGTCAAAAGATCCTTGTATTACTTACTTTATTTTTTAGGTCCTTATTTTACACCCGTAAAACATCTTTTTCGCCTGAGATTTATAACAAACTGATACATTGAAATAGTAATAATATTTGAAAAGAATAAAAATTAGCTTCTACGTTTATAGGAGATGTCGATGCTCTGGACGATTCTGAATGGAACTTGGAATCTGAATCCATTTAGAATGACAATATTTGTGGTTTAAATTGAAGCCCTATATTTGCTCGTCTGTTGCTCAATAAAATCTGAAATAAAGATTTCCAGATTTCACATCTTTTGCAATTTTATTAACTTTTCGATGTGCCTACCTAGTGTTAAAAGAAAGATAGAAGACTGTTAACTCGAACTTTGACAAATTTTGTAAATAAATAATATACTGTTTAACAACTTTCAACATTTGATTTTAAAATATCTAGATTAATGCAGGACGCTTACTTGATGCACGTAAAATAAACAATGAATGCAAACAATCTAAATACATAATCAAACTTTGAGTAAACTTTTTTTTCCAGGCTTTGCAATTCATATCGGAAGTTAAGTGTGATAAAGCTTGCTTCAAACCTATATACATGTCTACGTACGTGTCAAATAAGCTACACGTGCTCCTAGTAGATCATTAAAGATTGAAATCTTCTTAAATTAGAAGTGGAAAAGAAAAATTCGATATTTACTACTTCTCAACGTCAATTATCTCTCGCTTCCTCTCCTTCACAACTTCTCCTAATTTCTCTCATCTTTTATTCCTCTTACTCTGTAATGCTCTCTCCTTCTACATTAAAAAATAACTGATAATTTAAAATAGCTCCAATCACATGTTATATAAACTGAAGAAATTTTAAGTATCATATTTTATAGCTAAGTTATAATAAATCTTTATGACATTCACTTCATAATAATATTTATTCATCAAATTTATAACAATTATTTTCTAAAGTTATCAAAAATTTTAAGTTTCTTAACTTTAAACATTATTTATCTGATTGATACATCCCAATATCTTCTTGCTTTCGATGGATAAATGTGCTTTTAAAAGTAATAATAATCAAATTTGTAGAATGAATTTGAAAAAGGATGAATGATTGAATGCTTTCCAATGCCATTTCTTCCTTCATTTTATTCCTTCTGCCATTAATTCCTTTCAAATTGTTAATAAATAGTTTCATAAAAGTAATGTTACAATAAAATAATAATGATGGATGATATGAAAGAGAGGAAAATTTTCCAGCTTTGTCATCGAAAATAACTCCCCCAGTTAGTATGTTCTATTTATTGAAAAAGTAAACCATCCTATTTTTCTCCCATCCATTCTCGCGCAATTGTCCTCATTCCAGGAGGAACAACATCTAATAATGTATATTTCTTATTAAATTATATAAACCATCTTGTCTGTTAAATTCGTCTGATATTTTTGCATCTATAAAAAGTGCATGCTGCCAGTTTACTATACATTCATCTTAATTAGCACTCTCATCGGATATACTTCCAGTGAGTTGATTTTGAACTATTTCAGGTTTTCCAGTTATCAAATTTATTGCATTGATCTGATTTTATATTTGAAAAAAGCAACAAAAATCTGTTGAACAACAAAAATACTTAATTAATTAAGTATGTTCATTATTTTAATATCAAACTTTTTTAAATGGTAAAGTGATTAAATTTTACTAACTTATCAGGAATTTATTATTCTTTAAAACTCATTAAATCTTTAACTTATTTATTAATTCTATTAACTTAAAGATATGGTCGTACTTGGATAACTAAAATTTAATTCACGTTTTTTATGAGCTCATCATATGTCACACCTAATAATAATTATTTCCAGGCGTTCAGGTTGGTGCAGAACCAAAGTTCAGTCCTCTAACACCGTATCAGACTGCGGATTCATTACCGCCACCGGTTTATGGTCTCTTGGAAGAACAATCAGATATTGATGCGACGCTTATAGACTCTAAATTAGCTGACAATGGAAGGAATTATTACGGTAGAAAAAATGGCGAGATTTCGAGATCACTTTCAAAAAAGAAATTGTCATCCGTGTTATCAAAAAATGCGCAATCGAAAAACTGGAAAGTACCACCTGGTGCTAAGCTTATCGGTTATAACGTGCAGATGATAGCGGGTTATATACCAACAACTTATCTCAATAACTATAAACAGAAAGATGATAAAGAAAGGTTGGAAGCACAAGATTCTGAAGAACCTTATTCGGAATATGTTCCGGGCTACAATATGAATACTATTAAGAATTATGACGTTAATCAGAAGAGTGAGGAAATGAATATGGCAAATGTTCAAGCGGATTTGCTGGAAGATGATACTGATGATGAGCTCCTGCATGCAAATTTTACTCTTATGGAGGACAGATTTCTCGAGAAGCGGGAAGAGTTTGTCAATACCGATGCTACTAGTACTACTGTCGGGGTGGCCGATCTTGATAGTTTCTTATGGCCAGTAGCTGAAACTGAAGCAAAACCTGAGGAACAGGAAGAAGAAAGCACATTTCCAGGTGAAGTGAATCGTAGTATCATAGAAAGTAATAAAAAAATTGGTGCTACTACTACTACTATTGGTCCCATCGAACACGATCTACCAGTCGTGCAAAAAAACACTGGTATTGCAACACCAGCAAAACTAGATTTCCGAGATAAAAGAGATCGATTACATGATCCTGTTTCGATATTCCAGTCAACCATAACAACGAGTAGTGCAAGAAGCACAGCATCAGCAAATGAAAGAGAAAGTCAGGAAAAATTTCAGTTTGTAATTCCACAAAAAGCAAACTCATCAATAAAAAACGGTCATGACGACGAAATGGTGAAAAATTCGGTTTCAGTCCTAGAAGTGCCTCCGTTGCAGGGTGGAACGAGAGAAACAAGAGAAGAAATCCATTTTTTCCAACAATTTACTCCACTAAAACTACAAATGAATCACACTGGTAGGCAAACTATACCGATGGTTAAAGAGCCATTAAAAATAAAGGTATCTCAGACATCTTCGGGTACATCACTACCAGTCAGTATACCAAAAACCACGGTTAATATTGGTTTAGTTGAGCAAAGCAGTATCAATAAGAATCAACCTGCAGTTGTCCAGATAACAGAACCAAATGAACAAGAACGAGCAGTAATGGATATCAAAGAACTATCAGATATTCACACTGCTAATTCCACAAATGCGCAGAGTTCGATATCAGATGCTGCTACTATGGCACGGACAATGACCGTTGATTCTTCTGAATTTGATGACGAAGACTACGATAAAATGAAACAAAATGGGGATGATAATAGTTTCCCGAAGCTTGAAAATCCAGACAAATTTTCAGAAATGCAAGCGGTCGATGAGCAAAGACATGAGATGAACGAGGAACGTGATCCTGAGAGTGATTCTAGAGACGTAAATGGCAATAATAGGCATCGGATCCCGTTGCAATCACCTGAGAACAATAGAAATGGCGGTGATGAGTGGTGGCCACAAAACAGTAGTGAAGATACCAATAGCAAAAATAAGGGAAACATCAGAGATGATTATGATGAGAAGGGTGATGACGATGATGATAATCGTGATGATGACAATGTTGATGATGTTAATGATGATGATAATGATGATTATGGTGATGGTGGTGAGAGTAGTTCGAAAATGATTGGAGAAAGTGACGACGAAATGTCACGGATGCAAGAGAATAGCGAGAAAAAACAAGGAAGAGTTGACACACCTATCTTTTCTCCGGAACAAATCCCGACCTTTGAGGAATGGTTATCCAGTTTACCGATACAACCTGCATTTCCATTCAGCGCCAGCAATGGTATACGGAATCAACCACCAGCTGAACCTATTCACTTTTCTTTTCCAAGACCATTTAGAGGAAGAAGTAAAGAAAAGGAAAAAGAACAACATTTAACTACAGATTCCAAAAAACAACAGAATGATCGAATATATGATTATGATGATTCGGAAAATGAGGACAAAGGTCAATTCCACGAACAGCGATTCACGTTACCAAGAAATGTGCCGTATGAATAAATTTCCGTAATCGAAGACTTAAATTTAAAATTTGCCTGTAGAAAATTCAAATAAATAATGCCTCATTTTAGCTTGCATAAACTTTGAGAACGATCGATTCAACGCTATATGCATTATTTCTATTTTATAAATCAAACGAAGATAATGCTTCTTCAAATTCAATGTATTTTTGAAATCATTTACTTTCGAATTCTTTTGTTTGTTCATAAATAATTAAATTGGTAATTCTGTTCTGTTGAATTTTTGTAGCTGAGCATGAAAGTTTTTTGATAAATGTTTTATTATAAACAAAATTACAAGTAAAAGATCAAATATATGAGAAGCCGAATGAGTATCCGACACATACATCATTTGACTTCTAAAAATAATAAATAGAATTGATGAAATTGACAATTTTTCAACCATTTAGAAATCATTTTAAAAAATCACTCATAATTTCAAACTATTATGAGAGAAAGCATCGATATAAATTTTATTGATAAGTGAAAATGGAACAAAACTTTCTTTTCGTTCCTTTCTTCTCTTTTTTTTTTTCTTTTCCATTAAATGATGGAACCATTCAATGAATGGAATCAAATATGACATCAATACTATTGTCAACTATAATAAGTTAGTTCTCAGTTATGAAATTCACAATTTTCATAAAATAGGTGCAGAAAAATTTTGTAATCAATAATAGACGAAGAATTATATCATCAAAATATTTTCATATTTACTGGAAATTTTCAATGAATCTTTTCCTAGTGAAAGAAAATGAAATTAATTGATGGAAATAGGAAACATTAGTTGACATTTATTTACATGCATAGCACACTATAAATGATAAAAAAAAATATAAGGATGACAGTGACAGAATGAAGTTTCGCAGTACCAGCATTGCAAAGATATCCGTTACAAGCATACAAAATACCCTCTGCACGCTCAATTTTGGTATCCATCAATTGAATCTGAAAATAGCTTCAAAATTTTTTAATTGCAATCATTTAAAAGTGATATTTCAATGAGTTAAAAGAAGAACAAATGACATTTTCAATCAATTTGCTCCTGCAACAATCATTTCAAATAATCCAATAATTCAATAAATCAATCTGTTACTTAATTAAAAAAAATGAAATGTCATGATAATTTATCCATCTCTTATAACTATAATATTTTCTTCGGAAAACAATTATCAATTTTAGTAAAAATCCAAATGAGATAATGAAACGACTGGTAATTTTGTTCCCTGAACTGAAATTAACACTGGAGTTTTTAAATAACTGCCCCCTACAAACTTCTATTTCAATAAACTTTTTGGATTTTTTATTGCGGCTTGAAAGTATTGTACAACAAGTCTAATTTGTGTTCTTATTTTTGCTGCTTTTCTTTTGATCTCATCAATATGACCATAATATGATCTTAAAAGCCAAAAGCATAAAAAAAATAATTAAAAGTTATGATGGTATGGCTAAATGTTGTATGCTGTAGAACTTGAATATTTGAATTGAAAGTATTCTAATAATAGGAAACAATGTTACAATATTCTGAAAGAAAACTTCAAATATTGAATAATTGGGTATATTTTGAATTTATAAACGCCTGAAATTGTCTGCTTTAAACTACCACCGAATATACAGTTTCCTTTTTTCCTTTGCTAATGAGTGTTCTTTAGATGATTATCGCCAACCTTTGTACTACCTTCCTGAATTATTCTTCTGAATGTACTCCTATCCATATCCATCCACATAGCTCGACTCCAACAATCACGAACTATTGTAGGACTCTGTCCTGTAATGCTCTTATACACTGAAAAAATCATTTGCAAAGTTTCAATTTGACTTAACCTTGATTTCAGCTTAGTTTTAAACTTAGAACAAGTCAGATCTGCTAATTATCATATTCGCTTCTCCATCTAGATTGGCATGCACAAATATGTTATTATAAGGAAATCTCGAGCGGATTTTGGTATTTTGATAAAACACACAAACTATCAGCATTGTTAAGGACTTTTAACTTTATTGGATGTTGCTAGGTTATTGGCAATATACTTGGCATTTGATGCTTAAGAAAGTAAATAATATACCACAAATTTCATGGCCAAATGATGGACTGAGAATAACGAGTTTGACGCACACACTTCGGTGACACGATACCACTGGCAGTGACTTTTTGACTCTATCACATGACTCATTTGCGAAATAAGGCAATTGCCGCAAGTAATGCATATGATTGGAACTATCTTGTGGCTTTAAATAAAAATCATTGTAAGATTGGCAGATTTAGTCTTAGAGTTAATCTTTGCTATACGTAAAAGTCTTTGAGTTCATCAAATCTCAGAAATATTTGATTGCCATCACAATCGAATTTCGTTTATGGCAAAAAAGAAGGAATATGCTAGGATGCAATGATAAGTTCTAACCCAGCGTTTAAGGATGTTTTCTGATGAGCAACTGTAGCATTTCCCTGGAAGCAGTGACGGTAACTCTCTGCTGGCTTTACCGTACTCTAACAGTTGAAGAAGTAGTACTGTAATATGCAGGTACATTCAGAGCACGAAAGCTCGCGATCGATGCCAAAGCCAAAGCCAAGGAAGCATTATTCTACAGATGCATTTATTATTATTTTACAGGCATACTATATTATATTTTTAATTCTCCAAATATTCCAAATTGAGCTTTTTGATATCTTTTTAGAGCCTAGGCTCCAGTCCAAAACTTTAAAGTCGATGAAATGATATTTAGGCAAGAAAAAGAAATTAAAAAAAAAAAAATAATAATAAGAAAAATGAACGAATAAAACGGACAAGAAAAGAAACAACAAGACAGAAAAATGAGAAAGGATTACTATTTTGATTAATAACTATCGTTTAAGCTTCTTCTCGTCAAATGCTTAAGGTTGTTTAGCATCAGTCAATTGTTAACCTAAGCTTGAAGCAAAAGCAATAGCTATGATAAGTACACTTCACCTTAACGTTATCACTATCATTATCATTTTTGTTATCCTATTTTGAATATCTCAGCTTTTTTTTTAAATTTTGCTGTATTTATACCTACCGAATGTTTTTATGTTTTTATATTTGAAAGATGAAATGAAGGTATGATTGAAATAGATGAACACAACACACAACCATCGAAAAGTACACTAATAGTTCAAAAGAGCTTTAAATGTGTGATCTAGACAAGACAAATCAGCACAGAAAATGAGATGAAATTAAATGAGTCCAAAATGTTTTCTTTTGCTTGTCAAGCCTTAATCGATAATTTTAGTCTATTTACATTCCTTTTGCAGGTGCAATAGACTGATTCATATTTGTATAATTATCATTTCTGTTAAAAATTTAAAAAAAAAAAAAAAAAAAACAAGGAAATTTAGCATATAATTCAGATGAAAAGAGGCATAAAAAGAAGAAAAGAAGCATGTTAAGCCATTTAAAAGAAAAAAGCTAAGAAAGCGAAATGGTAAGTGCAAAGATTTGAAAGTCTCGAGATTAAGAAATTAAAGGAAATAGAAGAAAGGAGGTAGTAGGAATAAAGATAGAATGGAAATGTGACATGCACGTGCTCCTACCTATTCTCTAATTTAAGTTCCACTTATACTTATGCGACATACACTTTGCATTTAAGAAATTATCCATCCATAGAAAACACACATACACATACATACACACATACACATACACACACATTTATTGATAAATTTGCACAATGATATTCTTGTTTGAAGTGCTGATCAATATACATTACTGGATAATTATATCCGAGAAACATCCACTTATATCCAAATTCTATCTTTGTAAAGTGAATAAAGAGAAGTCAAGAAAAAATTATCATTGTTATCACCAAGGATAGCATTAAAGTGCTATCTAATGATGATTATGTGATCACTTAATTATAGTTTTAACATATAAAAGATTAAGTTCATTAGTTTTTGACATATTACAAAGGAGATTTTCGATCTTTATCAAATCTTTTAAATAATATGCAAATATTGTTAGTATAAAAAGAGTTGAAGGAAACGAGTAAATATTATTTTGTAATTGATAGAATATTCGGCTGGTGAGTGTGTTGTGGTGTGTATTATTCCTTGATAACTCTTTTGCGAGGAATCGAAAAAAGAGGATATTGTGATTGTTCTGATGGGAGATTTAAATTTGAAACCAAAAATTAGAATTGGTGCTGTGATCGCAGAGCAATGGACAATTAAAAAGAAATTGGGTGAAGGCAGCTGTGGTACTGTTTTCCTATTGGCCAACATTTCAAACCCGAAAGTATGAGTTAACCAGCCTATTGTTTTTAGATTCATTTAAATTTTCTTGAGATAAAAAAAGAACGCAAAACTTAAGAAATTCAGGGTTTCATTATTCAACGATAAATTTGATGCAGTGTTATACAAAGAAGCCAAGATCTTATTATATCGAATTTGCATCTAAATTTTCAGGCTCATGCAGCAATGAAAGTGGAACCACTAATGATGAATAGTAATGATGAGATACTGAAAATGGAAGTATTCGTGTTGAAAAAAATGCAAAAATCGAAACACGCTTGCCGGTTATTTTGTGCAGGCCGTACAAGCACTTTTAATTATATGATAATGTCACTTCTCGGAAAGTAAGCACGTCCACGTCAACACGTGAGCTACTAATTACAAACCTTTTCAGCATAATTATAAACCTTTCAATCAAATAACATTCAATGGAATAATCAAAACGCTTTTTGATGTTTTGTAGAAATCTCAGTGATTTACGATATATGATGCCTTCGAGACGTTTCACTACAAGCACAAGCCTAAGATTAGGCAAACAAGGATTACAAGTATGCTTTCTGGCTTAGCTATGATTAAAACACTGGTATAGAGGTGAAATGATCAGTTTAACCTGCTATGATATTCTAAGATATGTTTCTCTTTTAGCAAGAGACAATTTGAACTCTCGAGGTAGGTTAATTTGTCCTTGCATATTTTTGCTATTCCACAATACTAGTAATGATAATATAGTAATCACTAGGATTACGATCATTGATTTAATTAGCATTCCCATCAGTTTTACGGAACAGGGCTGAAACTATCATAAGCAATCACTGAAGGCTAAACACAGAAACCCACCTAATCCCTGATCTAACCTAAAATGGCACCTCGAGAGTTATTGAAGGTAATTCAGTTCTTATGACAAGTTCTTGTACCATTACTTATTTCCCATTGATTAAAGAAATAAAAGAATCAGTGAAGCTTATCAAACCTGAAAACCACTTGTTTTGATTGTAATTTTCTATTTATTTATGCTTAAATGCTAGTAATTATGGGAAAGACATTACTTCATATTTGTCACTGCTTCTGCCTTAATGTCCAATATGACTAGCATATTCTCAGATTTTCTAATTTAGCAATTATTTTAGGCTCTGAAAGATTTGCACACTACTGGATTTATACATCGTGATGTGAAACCGCTCAATCTTTCCCTCGGATCAACACCGTCTACAAAACGAATTCTATTCTTATTTGATTTTGGCTTATCACGACAAATTTTTCTACCGGTACAAGGAACAAATGAAATGAAACTTCGAGAGCCAAGAAAAAAAGTTTATAAGACTTCTTCTTAAAACCAAAAAAAATTCATTAAATTAAAGAGATGCTTTTGTATTTTGTCAATAACATCTCAAGGAAACAATCAATTAACCTCCGATCTTCAACAAAATGATATATAGAAATGTTGGAATAATAGCTTAGTTTGAACAATTTGAAATTTATGATACTAATTGAAAGACATTGATGGCATTCATTTCTTTTTCTTTCACATTAATGAAACCAATTTTTCAGGTAACTTTTAGAGGTACCGTTCGTTATTGTTCCATTAATGTACACCAACATAAAGAACAAGGTAGACATGACGATTTGATATCATTGATATATACCATTGTTGAGCTTATCACTGGTGAATTACCTTGGCGAGGACTGAATCGACGTGAGTGTGCCACTGTCAAAGCAAGCATACCAGACAAAAAACTTTTCAACGTAAATTTTCACTATTTAAAGCTGGAGAAAGTGATTGTAATTTCAATGTCACCAATTGATGATAATTGTCATCTTATGAATGCACAGCTTCTATTCATCATTTCAAAATTTTATTTCCTAATTCTAGTAAACGCAAAAAAAATTTTTTTGGGTGACTTGGAAAGCATTATAGTAGTATGATGGCTTTGTATTCTGAATCCATAACAACTATATTGTATTCAAAAAAGAAACTGACTGTTTATAGCAATGTCCTGGAAATTTCACAACAATTTATACATATCTAAAGGGACTTGAATATAACGATTTGCCGAATTATGAATTTATCGTTAAAAAATTTGATGATACTTTATCAAGCAAAAAGTATGAATTAAAAATAAAATTTGCAAATAGTTGCACTGAAACATCTTAGACAAAAAGTTCAGCTGTGGAACGAACCATATGTCATATCTTAGATCGAAATCACAGATCTGAATTTGAAAATAATTGGAAGAGATGAGTTAGTCAAACTTCTAGACACTCTTTTCTTTTTTATAGCATCAAAGATGAATCACCATATGATTGGGAAAGCGGTGGGCGCTATTTTGATGATGTAGCTGGTAAAGTGATGCCTAAAAGACATAGAAATCCGGATGAACAAGTGGAGAAAGACTCGGTCTGCTGCTTTCCGGAAAATCATTCTTCTTTTGATTGTTATAAATTTAAAAAGAGACTGGCAGAACTCACTTGAATAACAATGCTTTAGAGTCTTCTTTACTCTTAGATGGGCCTTACATCATTGATGGCCAATAGATAGGTGCAGAGAAGTGCTCACTCTCGAGAACTTTATTTTTAGTCATCAACAGTGAAGGAAGAAGTACCATCAACGGAGGAAGGACCATCAACAGAGGGAGGTGATTCGGAGATGATGGGAATTGATAAAGAAAATACTCTCGAAGATTTACAGGACATTAAATAAAATTAAAAAAATTAAATAAAATCATTTTTCGTTCTATGTCAACCAAAAAAAAAAAAAAAAATGTTATATGTAAAGTTTGATTCTAGAAAAAAAAAGAATAAACAATAACGTTTTGTTAACAATAAAAGGGTTACTGAGGAAGGCTAGCTTGCAATAGGTATCATTTAATAATAATGTATGTAATTAACCGTAAATAGTAAATAACATATCACTGCAATCTCAACCTGTAGCATTTGGAAATTGATTAGCTTTGAAATATTTATGCATTGACAATTCCATCTCCAACAAATAATGTTTAAAAAACTTTTTGCGATGAGAAAGATTTATTGATTAAGTGCACTATAGCAGTTGATCGCTACGGATGATGTAAATGTGATACTAATTACAGAGGTTATAATTAGGTTTATTATTGTTATTGTTTTGACAATCAACAAATAACACTGAGTAAATGATAGCAATGACATTCTGTGAATTACTCATTCAGTGAGCTTAATTTTACTTTTGTATAACAAAATGATAGCGATATCAGCTTATCAGTAATTAAAGATATTTAAAAGTAGGTGGGATAGAATCATTTGCAAGATGCACCTGAATTAAAAGCATCGATAGCTAATAATTAGAAAAACACTTCTTGATCAAATAATTTTATTGATAAAATTATCTGAGCTATCATTTATGGACTACCCTCTGGAATTTCTATATAGACCAAAACTGATAAACTGTTCATTACAGTAATACTTTATAGTCTAGTTTACTGCTTAGTATTCTCATCAGATTCATAGTACAGAACACTCTGTCCCTGATGCTAATACTGTTATGGCCTGGTGAATGTTATGGCCTAGTGATATTGTGCGAATATTTTGTCAACAAAATGTGATTAGCGAATTCAGCACTGCGCACTTGCCCACTTTTTTCATACCTGCGATAGTATCATTTCTGCTTTGACCTCTCTCTCCCTCTTTCCTTCCAAGCTTTGTCTTTGTTTCAGATGCGTAAGTTAGTTGCTCGTTGACTTTTGTGAGATAATTCAATTTGCTACTTGTTCAATGAGAAATAAACAACCCGAATATGTTCTCGGGAAAAGCTTTAACTGCTAGTAGAAGTGTCCATCATCAATTCTCCATAAATTGCTAATCTAGAGACCACTGACAATATGAAACTTTTTTTTTGCAAATTTTTGGCGAATTTCTGGTTCGATTCTCTTTTTGAAGACGGCAATTGGAAGGACTGCTTGAAGTTATGTACACATTTATTACTCTCTCGAAGCTACCCTAACACTACGGGAATGTTTATTTTGTCACGTGCCCTTGACTACTACTCCCTCCACGAGGATCAGCGAAAGCGCGAAGGTCACATGCACATTGATGGATGTGGGCGGCTAGATGATATGTATGTATGTGGTGATGGACAGATGCATAGCAATTCGTATGATCTGTTGCCTATGATAAGTGGAGGGAAAGTGTCGCACGTCTATACACGTCATTTATGTCGCATGACCGACCATCACAGTACACCCCTTGGATGACATAGCACAGTGAGTCATTTACTAGCAAAGGTCAACTGTGCTTCAGTGTATTCAAATAGTCCTTGCAGAGCAATAAATGTACGTCAATCAATCATTTAGCAACACACACACATAAGATCGATTGAACAGCAGCTGAATCTCGCGTACGTGTAGGTGTGGGCGTACTGAATGTCTGTCTATAACACGACACATACATCAGCTAAGCATGTCACCGACAACATATGCCAGGAACATGCAGAGAGCAGACCAATGTGCTGCAAACATAAACATCAGATAGGCAGACAGACAGACAGACACACACACACACACTCAAATCGCCTCTGCAGCAGCGGCAGCGGCTGAGACAGAGTGTGCTGATGTCGTAGGCGCTCACTATTTACATCTCCTGCACATAATCTCAGTTGTGTGTATGTGTGTGTGTGCGTGTGTGTGTACGTGTGTGTGACGGCCAGTGCATCGGTGGGTGATATGCTGGAGTACTTCACTGACCCAGTATTGATTATGTATCGGGGTATATCAGGTTACAGTAGTCTGTCACTGCTCTATTTTCAGTCTTTGCTGTGTTGCATATGAACTGTGTAAAACGTGTAATTATTGTATGTGACGTGTTTCATTTGCAGTTGAATGATTGCAGCCGTGTCCATCTTCTGATTCGATCACTTTTCCTTATTATTTGTCGGTATTCCTTCTACTTCATATTTTTCTCTATCTTACAAGGTTTATTTGATGAGTGATAAAATTATACTGCTCGGTTTTTACGGTTGCTATTGACTGGTAAAAGGGAAAAGTGGTTCTTCATGTTTTCCACCCTTCTATTTCATTCCAAATTTAATTCATTACTCTTTATTAGTTTTAATTCGGCATATTACATCAGTGTTTTCCTGTGTTGATATAAAAGTGAATGGAAATGTAAATGTGTTTAGATAATACTGTCATGCTGTTTACATCTGTTATCAGTGATTTGTCGCAGTGCTAGTTAACTGTTAATTCATTGTCTCGTATACAGATACGTACTATACGTAGTGTCCTGTCTTGCACTCTAGCTACAACTGCGGTTGCAGTAATTTATCAGTCTATCTGTTGTCAAATTACTGACCAATATCGAAGTAAACCATTATGAAATATATGTGGGAAAAACGTAGGAGGAGCAGGAGTTGAGTCTTTTCCTTTTTCTCAACAGGATTTTAAATATTTAAACATTTATTTCAAAAAAAATCATTCCATGCATTATTTCATATTCATATGATATGACTTACGTCTCGCAACAATCTGTAGTTCAGGTTATATCTGGCAAAAAAAGTTATGCGTAAGAGATGAATATTTCTGCATGTATGGTAAAATGAGAGAAGCCAAAAGTTGGGAAAGAAGTTCTTTTCTAACTTCTGCAGAAAGAGGTCTCAATCTCAAATCTACCCTATAGAGGAAATAATAGAGAAAAACATTCAGGGAAACATCATAACAAGTGAAAATAGTAAGAACTATGAAGTGTAGTGGGAGTAATATCATGGCGGGGAGGTGTGTTGTACTGATGGGACGGAAAAAAGTATTGTTAGAATGACTGTATTGGATGATTTTTGGTTCAGTTTTTCAGCTCCATACAATTACTTCTACTCCATTTCTTAAGTCTTACAAAGTCGACTTTCCTGTCTGTGTTTGCCATTGTCATTGATTGCCTCAACTTATCCAATCGATAGGTAGTTTTCGTATGTCACTCGTTATTTGACCTGACCTCTTCAGTCAGTAACAGTTTTCTTGCTGTGTCGCTTTATCTTGAACATATCGCAGTATCTGGAAAACAGACCATGTCATAATTACTGTTGCATTCCCTCCAAATTGTAGCCCTTCAGATTGTTTTCGCAATAATTCAAAGAAGAGAAAAAGGGTTTAGTTTCTATGTTTTAAGATTTTACTCTTTTTTTTCTGGAATTTTGTATTTTCCTCTTGCAGATAATTTCTACTCACTGTTTATCCATATAAGTAACATGTCTCATCTTCGTACTGGTGTTTCTTAGTATTTTTGCAATGATTTGAGTGAAAGTAATTTAGGGTTGAGTCTCTTTGTTCGCATTGATTTTATTTATCTTAAGTGCTTCGTTTAGCAATTTAGGGGACAGGAACTGTAGTTGAATCCTTGGAACTGCATTTTCCGTTATTGTACTGTCACCTATTTGTCAATAAACTCCATTATTTTTAGGTTTAATAACAGATACAGTAAAATTATACACGCACGTGAAGCTAAAACTCTCACATTTTTGGCAGCTCAACAAATGTGGCCTGGTGGAAGTGGTAGCAGCATTAGAAATTCGAACGCTCCTGCTGCAATGTCTAGTTCCAGTGGCGGCAATGGTAATTCATCGACTGGTTCTGGCAGTGGTACTGCTACAGGATCTCAGCCATCATTTAGTGGTTAGTGTACATCGATCTCTTTACCTATAAAATCTGCTCTAATGAGGATTAATGTGTAGGGGGATATCGTTATGTTGAACTCTGCTTCAGAATTATATTTTTATTTATTGATTATTACTACAAATGAATTGACTTTGTACCTAGAAATATTAGCGGGACTCGTGAGTTTGTTTAATCATTTTAATTGACCGAACTACTGGTGTGTTTAATCATTTTAATTGACCGAACTACTGGTGTGTTTATGATGAGCTTGATGAGCCAAATATATTAAAAAAAATTTGTTAATACTTTGTGGTTTGTATTTTGTGACACCACTATGATGATATGATGAAAACCATTTAATTTTTAAATGATTTGTAGGTGTACGGGTAAAGGATCAACATGGAGGCGTAGGGAATCAACAGCGTTGGCTTGATCATCACCAAACACAGCAATGGAATACACAAAGTGCACAATGGGGACCACATGTTGCGAGTGGTCCAAGTCCAGCCCATCCATGGCCACTCTCAGCTGCTGCACAAGTAATATACCGTTCAAGCTCAATACTAAAGCACATAATAGTACTGGATTCATGAGCTCCAACTGCTCGAGCGTTAAAGCTTGTTAATCCTAGTGGATGAAAATTAATGCTACAAGTGTCGAGCTGGTCTTTAAACCATAGATTTTTTTTTTTGTTAATATTGATATTATCACTGTATATTTGATCTTGAGCTTTATATAAATTGCTTATTACAGTGGCCAGGCACACCGTCACCAAATACAGGAACAGGTGCTTCTACATATGCCGAACATGCAAAGAAAAATATGGTCGGACGTAGTGGTCAAGGCCAAGTGCAGGGACGATACGACCAACAACAGCAGCAGTGGAACCAAGTAAAAGTAGATCAGGTGATTTAAAGAAGGAATTGATAATTTAATTTGTTAGATCTTTTGTTTCCACTTCAAAAAGTCAGTTGTTGTCTTCAAGAAATACTGTTATTTCCAGACTTAGTTCTAAGAAAGATCTAAAAATCTTTTTTTAGAAATGATAGTCAAGTTAAGGTACATTCATTTGTTATTAGTTGGTATTTGTTCAGCAAACTCCTTGGGATACGAGTAGTTTGGCAGGCTTTGGCAATATACATGCTACCACTGATGCGAAAATATCAGCGACGGAATGGGGATCAGCCGCAGCAGCGAATACACGTTGGGCTCCACGTAGGTGTTCCATTTATCACTTTAAATTTGCTTTATTCATTTGCACATTAAGATCTATTAAAATCAAGTATATAAAATCTTTTCTTTGCAGCCGTTACTCAGTGGCCAGTACATGCCGCAGCTACATCAAGCACTACGGGCCCCGACTGGGCTACGGCTGCAGCAGTTGTAGCTGCTGCGGCAGTGGCACATCATCGTCACGATGCAGCAACACCGTGGACCAACACTACATTAGCGGCTCATCCTGCAGCTGCAGCACTGCCGCCGCAAGTAGGGGCAGCTTGGGGTCAAAATCCGACACTTCAGCAACCATCAGCTTCTGCATTACCAAATCTCAATGAGCAGGTTTATTATTTTAAGCAATTTACGAGAAAAAATTTTCAATTTTTTTTTGTATGTTTTCTTTGCAAATTGAATTTTGTTTGTGTGGCTTATAATTTTTAAAGCTCGTACTATTTTCTCAAAAATTTTTCTATTCTCCCTTCATTCTATCCAGCTCTCATAAATATGCACCCTAAAATCATTGGAGCTCATTGCTCCAGTGTCTCAAAATTTCTTTTGCAGTATGACCCAAATCCTCAAACGCCTGGTCCGTGGGTTGCCCCACAACCGCAGGAAATGAATAACGATATGATGTGGCACGATCCAAACCCAAAGCAAAAGAAGGTGCAACGTGATACTGGTACTGCCATTTGGGGTGACCCAAGTCAACAACCTGTAGTGAGTTTGAAAATTCTTTGCGTTTTACGATTCTTAATATTGAAGTTACTTCCTGTTGCATTTCTTCGACGTAAATGTTTGGTGCAGGAAATAAAACGTTGGAAAGATGCTGAGGTGGATGATTATTCCCACATACAAAGTGCAATACCGAGCGGCGGTGACTGGAACATCATTGCAATATCATCAAACGGTAGTACCGTTTGTACGGGCGTCAACGGTGCCATAATGGGTGGTCCCGGTATAGGACATGCAACGAGTTCCTGCTGTTCAGCAACTGGAACAAACGTTTCAACTCCAACTACAACTGGTAATGGACCGTGGCCAGATGGTAAGAGTTTGCTACTTGAATTTACAGAATTTTTTATTTGCATTTTTGATATCTGAGAAGTTCTCGGACTAGCATCTCATTTGCACCGCCTTATTCAATTTGTATCTTTTCTCCAAATATGTGTTTCTATAGGTTCTCATCCAGAGCCTTCGTCATCGGGACACCAAGAACGATGGCAGCAACAGCCCAGTGCATGGGGTGATAAGGTTAATGTTTTATATGTTCAATAATTTTCTCAAACTTCGCTTATTTTCAGTTTTCTTTCAACTGTTTTGAATTTTGTGATTTTCCAGCTTGATATTTTCGATAATGTCGGTGATAACCACCATCTACCAGATCTTTTAATGATTTGTGACATAAATTCATGAATTACTTTCTGTTGCGAATGTTTGTGACTTTTATTCTTTAATTTTAAAAGAATTGGTTGTCATTGTTTTATCGCACCCGATACCCTCGAATTATTGAGAGGATGAGGAAGAAAAGCATGTCAGTTTTGATTTTACAGACTTCAATATTTCTTTTCAGGTATCTGGGCCTCCTTCTGTAGGTGGCATTGGAATGCATGGTTTACTAGATAATGCAGTGATTCGACCTGATATTGGAAGTGGTGGTATTGCAGGAACAGCACCGTACACTTCACTTACACAACAGATTGCTGATCGGGTATGATTTAAGTCAGTTGCTCTTAGGAAACATTTGATTGTCACAATTATGCATTATGCAAGTAATACTGAACAACGTTTTAGCAATAGCATTACCTGGTGTTTTCATCTGAAGAAATTCTTATGATCACTTTCACCCAAAAATGCCTCATTACAATCACTTTTCAAACAATTTTTTACATTTGTTCATTTAAAATTTTTACAGATCCGTATCGCAGTTAATAAAGGCCTAATAGATGTTTCGATGCTTAATCGTCCATTGCCGCAGAGTGCCCTGGTTATCTTAAACGCTCTTCTTCAAAAGTTCCCTAAGCTTGAGCAAGCTCAGCAAGAATATCAGCAAGTTATGCGCGCAATGAGTAGTCCAGCACAGAAGGTGGGAGTACATTTATAAACATTTCTTATTGCAGATGAAATCATTCTATGTATCACATATTTAGTCTATATGGCGAAAGATTAACAAACATTCAAGGTAAAGCTGCTAATTCTATGCAATAAAATATGACAATCAAATTTTAGGTTGAATCGGAACGTTTAGCAGTGGAAATAAACGGTTTACAGAATGAAATTGTGCAGCTGCGGAATTCAATAAATGAACAATTATTGAAAGGTTGGAAGCTCAATTATTAATCCTCGTGTGTATTTTTTAGTCAAGTAAATTCCTTCTGTGACCTATTTTAATCTTTTTCAGTTCGTTCAAATGCTCTAATTAATGGCACTTTAGCGCCTGTGCAGCAGCAAGATGGACAGAGCCGTCTACAGCAGTGGAAACAGGCGAATGCAACGAATGCGCAAGACTGCAACAGTGAAAAGGTTAGTTAGTAAATGTTTGTGAAATTTACGAGAAAAAAATTTTTTAGTTCGAGCTTTATTTTCAGTACAGTTAGTATTGATTATCTATACTTGCATACAATCTCATTACAATCAAAGGTTCATATGATGATTTTCTTTTAACAGCTTTGTTCTGAAGCCCAATATAGTTCTATATCAATAAAGCGACTTTTCTAGATGTGTGCACCTTCATCAGATCCGAACGTTTCGGGTCTCATTACTGGCACACAGTTATTGACAATAGACGGAAAAATTGACTGGAAAGTTGGTAGTCTGGATTGGTCGCCGCCACCGTCCGGAACTGGTGATAAAGGTAATAAATGAGTGTATTTTTAATTTATTTTTCGTGCTCTAGTCATCAAGAAACATAACAATTGTAATCGGTATAATGTTTTCTTATCTACCAAAAGGATATGATGTATATGAAAACTTATACATCCTATCTCTTCATTTGGTTGTCAAACGGACTAGGAAGGATATCCGACGAAATATTGATAATCTTGATCATTTGCGTATTTGCAGCTGCCGATATCACTGATAAAGATGATCCAAGCAGTTCCAATGAGAAACAACACCAAGGAGCATCGTCATCAACTAATCAGTCTTGTAATGGTACTCCAACACCCCAGCAGAGTCAGACACAAGCTCAAATGGCTTCAGTCGATGATGGACCGCAGGAATTTGTTCCGGGGAAGAAATGGGAATGGAGAGATCCCAATAAGGTAGAATTCCATTTTTGCTTAAAATAATTTTGCAAACTAAAGCCCAAAAACTAAACATTGATGTCTTTTCCTACTCTGGAATTGGACCCGTTCATTATTATTTTAGTATCTTTGATGTGCTGTTATTTTCAATGACTTCTTTCTGAAGTTCCCATTCATTGTTTTTAGGTAGCAGAAGACCCGAATGCAACTCCAGGTACATGTAAACCAAATCCACTGCTGACAACGGGCTCCGCCGCTCAACCTTTTTATTTATATGGTAGTAGTGCTAATAACAGCTCACCACAAGGTAGCGCGATTACTAATTCATCGAGTGCTGTAACTACAACAGCTAATTATTTAAATGATCTGCAGACTATTAACAGGGTAAATTATTTTTGCACCATCATTTTATTGTTTAATGTGTATGTTTGTTCTTAATATGTTATGTTTCCACATAGAATCCATAATTCTGTTGTCCGGCAGTAATAGAATTAGCGAGAAAAATCCAATGATTCGATTAAAAAATATCTGACAGTATAACGTAATTGAGGTCTGGATCTATCTTTTATTGCACTGTTTTCTTCAGCCAATTTTAAATCTTTTTCAATATATCTCCTTTAATAATTTTAAATTGTTCCAAGTTTGAAACAGTATTCTTCCTTTGTGTTTTTATTTTGTTAAGCAACTATTGTTTTAGAGTCCAAGTGCTGGTTACTTAGGATGGAACAGTGGTACTGCTAACCCAGCTGCTTTTGCTGCCAGTGACATGTGGCCCTCAGTGACTACAGGTACCGCTGCTGTCCGACAGTCTCGTATTGCATCTGGGTTAACAGGAATCGGGCCATTTGGACATACAGCAGTACGAGGTGGACCCGTAGGTAGCTCTGGACTAAGTGTAGGGCCTTATCAGCGTTCCAATTTAAGTCCGTTTGGTCTTCAACAACCGCAGCAGCATCAGTGGGTTTTCGTGCAACTACATGGAGTGGTAAGTTAATTGTTTATGGATATATATCTGTTTAATTAATATATAGCAATGCAATGTTTTGTGATGTTTTTCTTCATAATGCCTTATTTTTATCAAAACTACCTTCCGGATACATATCTCTATTCATATGCAGATTCCTTACTTATTCGTCGGTCCCTAATTTTCAGAACGAGAAACAAATACAAATGTTATGCCAGAAAGTGGGCCAAGTAGTGCATGCATTTTGTCCACATGGTGCTCCATTTCTGTGTGTTAAATTCATGGAGCCTGCTGAGGAAATTATTCGACGGATGAAAACAGAAGCACCATTTTGTAAATAATTTGTTTTGAAATTCTGTCCTTAACTACGTTAGAAGCTTTAAATTCAGTATAGATTTTTTCTTTTTTGAGAAATAAGTTGATCAAGAATTTATTTATTTAGTTATTAAGTTATTAAATTGATTTAGCACAAAAAACTATTTGGCCTTTCTTGCTAAGTTTTACTTCGAACTTAAAAGCTTGACTGCCATATTCCCTTAATCCTTAATGCTTATTGTTTGAATCATTCAGTGAAGCTCTTAGTTGTTTACTTAAGAAAGAAAAGTAGTTTTACAGTGCAAGTAAAAACTGTGACAGAATCGGAAATGGATCGATTACTAAAACCACGGGCTGCACTGTCATATGGTGGCCCTTTGGGAGCGACTGGAACAACAACGGAACAATGGATGTTTAGTGCCGGTACGGTTGCAACATTACTACCAAACTGTGCTTCTAATAATAATGATGCACTACCACAGCAACCTCCTTTTCATGCAGCTGATACAGCTAGTGATCTTTCACGGCCCTTTTAATATGAAGAAAGGTAATATCTTTCGTTGGTACGACATACTACGGTAAGAATTTTGTGAAGTTAATGTGTTCTAATGGGTTGCGACACTCAGAACGATATTCTTAGTTTTGTGCTTCTTGAGATTTATTTGCTTGTTGATTTGATTACCGCTCTGTGTACTATTTATGTGTGAGGTTTTAACGTAATAATGTGCCACTGATTTACGATAATTGCGTTCTTTTGCAAAAAGTACACGAAGCGAATGTTTGAAAATACATATGTGATCTATTGCATTTTTGTGTCAGATCTTCGCTCTCATGTCCATGTTTAGTCAATTTATAATTCTGTAAAATAGTGCACTAACAAATTTTAATTTTCTAAAGTCTTTTTAAGGCACAGTTACTGATATGTTGTAAAATACGTTTCTTATTTATTGCATTGTATGTGTTGCGCAGTAATACACTCAATCATTCTTCTGTTGTCATTATAGAAGAATGGATTAATGGTCTCCCACTCAATAATAGATCGTAATAAATACGAAATATATGAGTTGCTGAATTTAGTGCAAGAATGCTATGTGCTACGGTGTATTCCCGTACTTTTAATACTCTCATTATCTTTGTTCTTTTCCATCTATTCAGCTTTCTTCGAACAAAGTCTTTGTGTCCAGGAATGTGTTTTCTATACTCGTTTTCCCGGAATATGTACATATATGTATTATTGTTATGATTCGTCTGCTTGCCTATCCATTCTTTTTTTTTTTTTTTTTTCATCCTAACCTTTTACTATTCTATTGATTTGATTTTGTATTCTTCATGCCCCGATACTACCTACTGCTTTATTTTTTATTGATGTGAATTTTGAATTCAGTTTATAATGTAATATAAATTATGCCAGCAATATTGGTATATTTCAATCTCTTGAAATATACATATAAATGAGAGGAAAAAAGCAGGAATAAATTGAAGGACGGGAATCTCCTAAATCGAAATGTCTCATATGTGTAAAGCAATAAAAGAAAGACTGAGATCATCACTGAGATTGAAATGGAATTTTGAAAGGACTGGTTTAGTATCATTTAAATATGACACTGAAGTGGTCGAAGTGATTTTGGTTGTACAGAAGATAAGTTTTGTTGATTGCATTGTTAACTTTTATCCATGCAGAACTTTTGTTTGTTGGCTCGTGTAAAGAAACCTTGATATAGTCTCTCTGATGTTCAATTTTGTAAATAGAAGGAGCGCCTTGTTTTTCATAGAGAAATAGCGAATTCATTCTACTATTTCTCTTTGTCATAATATGGCTTTGGCATCCTTATTTGGTCGTTTTTTAAATTTAATATCACATTCTTACCCAATATGTAATTTTGTCAACTGATCAAGGTTTAAGATTTGTCCACTGTTTTTCTTTTTTGATTCACGATTGTTCCATATGTAAGGTTTTCCTTATAATGCAATGAAATGTATGTTTTAATGTCATTATCCTCGAATATCTGTGATTTGATTGTTTAACGATATTTTATAATTGTCCATATCAATCTTAATTTGGGGGAGTTTCCAAAGAACAAGCTAAAATCTTATTTGATAAAGATTCCTGTTGCAGTGGAGAATGCTTTGTTAGTTCTCGATATTATGGAAATTGTTTAGTGCAATTGCACATGGCAGTGTGGTGATTCAGAAAGTGATATATCAAAAAAGGTTAAGTTGTTTAAAAAAGATCTTTTTTTTTTTTGAAGATTAATTTGATGTTCCCAAGCACCGTGCAAGTGACCGCATATCTATCTTGTATTTTAATTATATGGTGCTCTAGCTAGTTATCTTCTAATTCATCTTGAAGTCATGATCTATGCGGTACAGTTTAAAAACGCTCCTAAGATGGGTTACGATTTTTGTTTCATCACACACGTGTTTCATGATACCTTACAATATAGATGATGTAAAAGGTATGACTTAGTCGTATTCATCTTCCATACATGCATTGCATTTGATCAAATTCGCCAGGAACTATTTCCATTTTCAATTTAAAATAAGCTAATCGAGATTTTGCAATTTTATGGGTTGGATTTAATCGACCAGTGTCACTGGTATTGTTTGAAAGGAGAAAGTTATACCTAAAGAGTTTTTGTATTGGAAATGGACTATATGGCTTACTTAATTTTTTATTGAATAAAATCCATAACGTGGAATTTTGTTGTTAACTTAAACTGTTTTGGTGCTACATAAAGCTCTATTCTTGTGATATTCCCATATCAAAATCAATTCTTCAATTCATACTTAGTGGTCTAGTAGGAAAATTGCGACATTCTTTTTGCTTTACTTTCTCAAGAGGAACCTATTCACCTATTCATACTTCCATTTCCATGTTTTATTAAAGCTTTTTAAAATTCCTGGTCAGGTGTATTCGCTTTGTTGTATTCTTATTACTGCAGTATAGATTTCTCATTTTTCTTTGTGTGGGACCTGTTTTTTGTCATTTGTATCCCTTTATTTGTATTTCTTTCTATTGTACAGATTCTTTTTCAGTCTTATTACACTGCTATTATTGCATATAGACAGTATAAAATTATACTATTTTCATCAGATTGATTTTGGTTATCACTTGTATGAAATCTAGTTATAAAATGGTCATTATTATCTTTTTCTGATTAAAATCACTGCTATCCTCCAGAATCTTGTATTTGTTACGGAATTTGTTTGCCGAATGTATTGTGTTACCTTTTTGTCACTTTCGTTTTTGTCAAATTTTTGCCTTCATTTTGTTTTCAATAGTTTGTATTACATTATGCATTTAAACCGTCCTAGAATCCTAAATTTTTCTCATTTAAAAATTTGGCATGTTTTTCAAGTGATCCATCGTCCACACATTTCATCTGTACATAATACACAATAGTTAATTGAATGACGCATTTTCTGATCTGTACTTATTCCATATCAGAATCGAGAATCGGACCGAACGAAATCAAATATTCAGTGCCAGACGATAGTACATCTTGAATCAAATTCCGTTAATTCTGTTTTTGTTTTATTCCTTTTCATTGTATTCCCTGTATTGTATTCCTCTTGAGGGGTCTTCCTACATTATTTCTCATTTCCCTCTGATTTATTGCAAGCCACTATGCTCAGATAAAGAAAAAAATGATGTAAGGAGTTTAGAGGGATGTTCATATGTTCATATGAACATCCCTCTAAACTTGTTCATATTTCATGAACAAGGATATTTGTAAGTATTCTTACTGTAGCGCTTCTACGCTCAATCTGTTGTAATCAAAGCACAACTATTCATGGTGCTGATTCATTATATATTTGCACCTGATTACAATCTTCGTGGTAATTGAATTTCAGTTATTCCTTTCCCAGTTTCATTTATCGCGTTTTTATGTGTTCGTTATCACAATTACGCTACAATTCATGGATATTTGAATCAGTGACACTCGATTGACATTGCTATATCTGCCAATGTCCTAACTTCGTATTCTTCTGATTCTTAATGCAGGTTAAGCGCATGTATAATGATTTTACAGCTATTTTGTTTACATTTTTATTCATTTATTCAGGTCTAACACTTTTTTCTCCGTAAAATAATTATTTCAATGTAATATTTCATAAAGTCATCACAGCTTTTCTTGCAGCTTAATGTTGCATTAGCATTAGTTACTGTTCATCTATTACACAAGAATGGCTGATTGAATAGTACAATTACTACATGTTTAAATTTATGCTTCTATCAGTTTTTTCTGTGCTTGTGATGGTAATTTATGTTATGTGAATATGCCGTTGAAATGTTGAAATTCTAGTTTTAATCCACTTATTTATTATCGATATTCTTGCTTTTTCGAGAATAAAACTTGAACAAAAGCTGTACTTTTGCAGTGTCGACCTCATTGTTACATATGTTTCACGGCACAGTATTACTGTTGTTTCTTATGAATACGATTACTATTTTATAGAATTGCATTGGTCCAAATATCAGTGTTGTTTCGTTCATCTTTGAGAACTGTGCGTTACTGTTGTTTTTATCATACATTTTGATAATTGTAGCAATTTAAATTCACCATATTTTCCCTATAATTCTGCAGTGGCGTTTTACTATCTGTATGTGTATGTATGTTTATGTCTATGTTTGTGTGCTACTTGTTAGTTTGATGTTTTGTCATTATACTCTCATTGTTTATTATTTAACTCCATAATTTCCGTCGGGCTAAGGTTGTCAACAATTTTGTTTGTTCTTTCTTATGTCGATCGCGAAACTATTACTTATTTTTGTCGTGGATCCTTTCATGACTTAATTAGTTTTCCGGTAATCTTGCTTAGTTTTTATGATTTATTGCCGAGACCTTTTTCGATTTTAGTTTTTCGCCTTTGTGTAATATATGTATGTGTATATACATATATATACGTATATGGAATATATTCGGCATAAATATTTTGGTTTAATGGAACTTTTTATCGCATACTATGAAGGTAAACAGTGAGCAATCCAGACAAACTGGTTTGTTCGATCGAAAGCGGAACTGTTTTGAGATTTGTGGAGAATGTGGAGTGTAGAAGGGATGGGGTTGGGATGAGGCATTGCACACTGGCCATCATGTGGAGGGGGCAGTCTATTTAAAAAGACCTGAGGATGCTCCTAGAGGTTTGGTGGGGTGCGGGAGGTCGAGCTGTTGAACTGCTCAAGGAACTAAAGACTGTAGGGTGGTAAAAGTTATAGGAGGTGAGATATTGGGCGAGATTCGCGAGTGGAATGAATGTTTAGACGTTTCAGCGCTTTTAATACTGCAAATCTTTGAGGAGGCGAAGTGTGCGTTATTTGGATGAATTTTTAGGAAGGTATTGGATAATAATAAGGAAATTCTGCTGTAAGATGGATACTGATGGTATGGACGATTTCTCTGACACTCTTGTTATCACACCATTGTAAGTTTTTTATTCATGTAGTGCTTCGAGACGAATAAATAATTTTATTTCTTATAGTAATTACTGGGCGAGGTAATGTCAGTTAGGAAGCACTTGTGAAAAGTCGGTATCTCTTTTGTAAGCATCACAAACTTCACTCACCGTTAGTAGTATAGTAGATTCAGTACCTTACTGCTGTTATCTTTAGTAACATTATCTTTGCGCTTATATACTTTCTACTACTCTCTCTTTGCAGAGGATCTGGACAGGAAGTTGGTCGATCATGTCATTATTTGACTTTTAAGGGAAAGAAAATACTGGTAAGATTTTTTTTTTCGTATTTTTCAGATTACGTTAGCATAAACACATCTCGTAATCATTTCAGTAAAATTAGTAAACATTTTGTGGGATGTTCATTTCGTTTTTAGCTAGATTGTGGCATACATCCGGGTATGAGCGGTGTGGATGCACTTCCATTTGTTGATTTTGTGGATTGTGAAGAGCTCGATCTGCTATTGGTGACGCATTTCCATCTGGATCACTGTGGTGCCTTACCGTGGTTGCTCGAAAAGACAGCATTCCGCGGTCGATGTTTCATGACGCATGCAACGAAAGCCATTTATCGTATGTCGATTGGTGACTATCTGAAGGTTTCGAAATACGGTGGTTCAAGTGATAACCGAATGCTTTATAATGAAGAGGATCTAGAAAAAAGCATGGAAAAAATTGAGGTTGGGAATATTCATAACCACTTCTACTTATGTACCAGTTCTACTTTCCTTTCGATTAAGTTAGATAATATAAATTCTCATGATTAGCTTAACTAGATTTATTATTACCAGTCTTATTTATTTTTGGTTTTTATTTTTATCTGAAATATCTTCCATGTATAAGAATCTACGTTTTTCTAATTATGTTTTTTTATGTGGAGACTTTGTGATTTTCCTCTTCATTGTTCACATAACAGTCCCATAAATTTAATAAGCTTAACTTATGGATGATCTGGTAATTTCGTCATTATAATCCCAGTACCAGTAAATGCCAATTTTATGCTTCTATTTAGGTAATTGATTTTCACGAACAAAAGGAGGTGAATGGTATCAAATTTTGGTGCCATGTTGCGGGTCATGTTTTGGGTGCCTGTATGTTTATGATTGAAATTGCTGGCGTTAGAATATTGTATACAGGAGATTTTTCAAGACTCGAAGATCGTCATTTATGTGCCGCTGAATTACCTACTGTATCTCCGGATGTTTTGATTTGTGAATCAACCTATGGGACTCAGGTTCACGAGAGCCGCGATGAAAGGGAAAAAAGGTGCTTGGAAATTTTAGAGAAATACATCGAGATTGAACTTGGATGTAAACCTGATTATGTATGAGAGTCTTTTAAATTAATATTGTTTCAGGATGAATTTAAATGGTTGAATAAGGTCGATTGCATTACTAGTTTTTTGTAGAAAGAAAAGATTACTTATTTGTGGAAACAAAAATTTGGTTGTGTTTTGAAAGTAATGAATGTAGAAGTAGCGTGCAACTTTTTTATCCAAATAACACTAACCATTTTTCAGGTTTACAAGCATTGTTCATGAAATTGTTGGACGAGGTGGACGATGTCTGATTCCTGCATTTGCTCTTGGACGAGCTCAAGAGTTACTACTTATTTTAGATGAGTATTGGGAATCTCATCCTGAGCTACAAGATATTCCAGTATATTGTTAGTTCCTAATTATTATTTTCAGTTCAGAAAGAAAACTCTGAATTCACATATCATATGGGAGATTATAATAGATTTACTAATCGATGTAAATGAGCAAGTAATGTATAACTGGCTGGATGATAGCACTTTTTATGGTTTTAATATTGTGTTATTGGTATAAATTTGATAAGTCTTATGGTTCCATTACATAATAAATACCCTGTAATAGCTCACCCTATAAATTATTAGAAATGGAGTGCAAGAGTCAAAGTATTTTCAAGAATAAGTATTTCCACTACCAGTGAATCGTTAGGCTTAACAAATCTTTAATGATTAGGGACTGGACTTATGATCTCTTTTTGTGGTGAATAATGTTTTTATTATTTTGCCGCTGGGAGTCATATTATCATATTATGAATTATTTCTTGACTATGATAAAAAGTTGCTTCTCCTAAGAACATTGCTTTTAGATGCAAGTTCGCTGGCAAAAAAGTGTATGGCAGTGTATCAAACATTCGTAAGTGGAATGAACAGCCGCATACAGAAACAAATAGCACTGAATAATCCATTCGTTTTTAAACATGTTTCCAACTTAAAGGTATGATTATTTATATTAAACAATGATTTTTTTTTTGTCGTGGGCTTTAGTGAATTTTTATTTGTTCACTGGAATTTTTACGAAATGCTCTACTTATAGCATTTTGAAATATGCACTCTTGATTTGTTAATAGTATTTGTTATTTATCTATCAGAATTTCAATAACCTTATTCATGTAAAAGTTTTAAAAATCAATTTGCAGAGTATCGATCATTTTGAAGATGTGGGTCCATGTGTTGTACTTGCATCGCCAGGTATGTTGCAGAATGGTCTCAGCAGAGAGCTTTTCGAAAACTGGTGCACAGATTCTAAAAATGGTTGCATTATAGCTGGTTACTGTGTCGAAGGGACGCTTGCTAAGGTTTGCTTATTTTTTCAGTATTTTATAGGACTCGGTTTTCTTAAGTTTTGAATTAAATTATTATCTAACTTACTGCATAGCTGTAACTGCAGCATGGCTAATAAACTTGAAACTGCCGATATATGTGCTAACCTTTGGTTACAATAATATAAGAAAAAACAAAAATAAATGCAAAACATATTAGATCACGAAGCTAAAGAAAAACTAAACATTCGGTTTTACTTGAAGTCTCTAACTTGCAATGGCTATGGAAATTCATGCTTATACCATACTGCTGTTTTCATTTAATAAATTCATTTAATAAATCTGTTAATATTTCCAGTAAATCTCTACATATCTCTATTTTGTTTATAAAATTAAATCAATAACAGATATATTTTTGTTGCGTAAATGGCAAAAAAATGCTTTTATTTTTTAAATAAATGTTGGATGCCGTCAATTTTCAGCATATCTTATCAGAGCCGGAAGAAATTGTTGCAATGAACGGACAAAAATTGGCTATGCGGTTGCAAGTGATTTTCTAAGATTTTAAGACTTGTTGAATGAATTTTTTAAAGCGAACATTATTTCTTAGGTTTTTTTTAAGTGGTGTGAACTCAAAAACTTAGTTTTAAATTTTCAAAGCACCTGCAATTCGATCACATAAGAATAATTTTTGCGAATTATATTTAGCTTTTTTTTAACCAGTAAAAGATGAAGATGAGATATAGTTCTGTAAGGATCTTCATAATGAAATGAAAAGCAAGTTTTTGGGATAAGAAAAGATGCTTTTCTTCACTTAAGAATCACGCTTTTGTATGCTTGTTTTCCTCAAATTCTTCCTTATTGGAAAACCGAATGAAGTTTAATTCCCAGTTTATTTCAGGTTGCTTATATCAGTTTCTCGGCACATACAGACTATACCCAAACATCGGATTTCATTCGTGCTCTTCGCCCACCACATCTTGTGTTGGTGCATGGGGAAATGAATGAAATGAATCGTTTGAAAGCAGCAATCATAAGGCAGTATGAAGATGAGTCAGATTTTCATATCGAAGTAAACTTCAGTGGTTTTCCGTTTCTTGATATTAAATTTTTAAACAGAAAATGCATACTTTTCGATTGCTAGGGAAGCCATTGATAAGCTTCCCTATAATCATTGTTTACAAAATAATATGAGCGGAGGTAACAAGCACTTTTTTTTTCGATTCTGTCAAATCTTTACTTGAATGAGAATTTAGGGGAATTTTATAAACTTGGAAATTCCAAACCAATGCCTTTGTTATTTTGCAGGTTTATAATCCTAGAAATACTGAATCAGTTGAATTACATTTCAGAGGAGAAAAAACTGCTAAGGTTCATTTTTCTTGAATTTATTTTCCAAAGTTTTTTGCAAATATAGCTAAATGTCATGATGAAGCATTTCATATGCGAAATATGTTTTCAAAACTTTTCGAAAAAACAATCCGTTCCAGTTCAGCTAGAGTTTTTGAGTTATTTGTCGAAGCAAATTTAAATTATATCATATTTCTACAGATCTTTAACATGATGCTGTTATGTTAAAAAAATATTATTTGGTAAATCTGGAATACTTTTCGATTAATTTAAAGGTTGTTGGAAAAATGGCGATGACGCCGCCAGGAGATGGACGGGTTTTGAGCGGTGTCTTGATTCGACGAAATTTTAATTATCACCTGATGCATGCTGATGATCTTAGCGGTATGTTTTATACCCTTTTGTTTTCCTCGAAATTTACTCCTGGTAAAGTTTCAAGATTATGTGTAGAAAAAGACGCAAAGTGAGAGTACTGGTAAGTTACAGTATGTTAGATATTCCTGGATGGATTTATATCCTGATTTCTGTTTTTTTTTTTTTTTTTTTTTTTTTGATGTCTATATTAGTGCGATGTCCGTGCTGTTGTTATTCGACATTTGCTTCTTCTCAAGCTGTTATATAATGGTGATCTAAATTTTCGGGTCATTAATAGTATTACCGCTTTTTAATGATAGATTTTTTTGTACCTGCAGCATATACGGAGTTGTCAAACAGTATCTTGACACAACGAGAGAGTGTCTTCTACAGTGGTACAATTACATTATTGCTTCATAATTTGCAACAAGTGGCTGGTGATGTGAGTTGTGATGAAATTGACTCCAAAGATACTTCTGATCCGACCCATACGATCAAACTATTTGATGTTAGTACATTTTATTATATGATAGGAATTACCTCACCACATTGCTATAGATTATGTATTGACTTCGAAATACTACAATTCCATTTGTTCATACAAAGGAAGATGGTCATTCTCAAGCTTTTATATCTATGTTTTTCAGTTATCAAACTAAATTTGTAATGGAAGGGAGGGCCAGAACTTTGCAGCTGCTTCATCATTTACCTAACACAATAATTAGATATTTATATCTGAACAGGAGCGGATCCATGTGTTAGTTTATTACTCGCAACATGTCGCTATTATTGAATGGACATCAAATCCAGTGAGCGATATGTTTGCTGACGCAACTCTGGCTGCAATTTTACATGCACAAACAAATCCGGTGCCTGATAAAAGTGGGTTCATAAATATTTCTTTTTTGATTAAATCAGTTTTATCTATACATGAATGTTTTTACCAAAGCAGATCATTGCTATGTATGATAAAAGAATCAGCTAAAGAAGTCCAGAACAGAAGTCCGGGTGAATTTATAAATGTTTATAAATGTTACCTTTTTAGTTTTTGTACATTTTTTTCCGTGCGATCAAAGCATATTTGATAGTTATCTGGAAGTGGTTCCATAGTTATTTGTCTACTATCCCTATTTATCTACTCTCCCATCTAAGTATTGTTCTTGTCGATCATTGAAAAGTTCCTTTCAGGAAACTTGAAAACGGAAGTTAGAATCATATTTACTGATTGAGATCTTCTTTACATTTTAGACCTTGCAAAATGGAATGTAAAACCTAATGAGACGGAATGTTTGATGAAAACGTTGGCTGAACTATGTGGTGACCAAGCTGTTATTCGAATGACTACTAATGCAATTGAATTATCTGTAGATGGGAAAGAAGCTAAAATAGATCTGGACACAATGCATATTTCATGTACCGATCAGCTGTTGCATCATTTGATCTCTTCCGTATGTCAGAAAATGATGAATTCCCTTTTGCCGGTTTGCACCTTAACAGTCGCGAAGTAACGATTTGTTGAGAGAAATTTGTTTCTTTCATGATGAATTGGTGAGAAAACGTGTGGATAGAAGGAGGAAATGAGTCGTGATTAATATCCAGACTGTGTCGGAGGGCTGGGAAGTGATATTGTCATTTGATTATTATGGGTAAATAATCTTTATTGAAACTGTGTTTTGTCATGATTTTAAACAAAATTTGCTCAATTTAGATAAGTAACTAGATCAATGGCATGTTGGGCTAATTGTATTAAAGTTATTTAGGTCAATTGGCAGTTAATTTTATTAAGATAGAAACTAATAAGATACGAAGTTGGTTTATACTCTTTATCTTGGTCACTTTTTATATTGAATTATATTGACAGAGTTATTTATAATGACTTGTCGGCTAAGGTTTCGAATGTGTTCTGAATACATCCATGTTTCAAAACCACTCAGAAGCAACTCTTCTGCATTTCAAAAGTACTTCCACTATATACTGAATAAAAGTGTGCAAAGCAAATGGTTGAATAATCTCAGAGATAGGATGTGAGGGTTATATCAGCACAAATCTTCTTTGTAATCGTAGACTAATGTTTTCTTAATTTGTTACAACATTCTCATATCATCGTCATCATTCTGGTTCTCCATCCTTTGTGTGATCAATGTCTATCCAAGTAGATCGGAGTCGTTGATTATTGTCAATGTTGTTTCTTTGCAAATGTTCACCTCGAAAGCAACTGTTGCGTTGGATTTTTAAACACGCAAGCGATTTAGATATAAGAGGCATGCTTGCAATGTATGTTCTACAGCTCATGTATTACTTCATTGCTTCCTAGTTAAGGAATTAGTTGATTTGATACTTTTATCGTTGTTATTGTCATTATCATTACATGACTGGTCACTGTGATAAGTTGGAGTTGTTGATTATCGTCGAAGTTGTTTCTTTTGCAAATGTTCAGTGCGGGAGCAATAATAATTGTAAATAAACCATTATTTTAATTCTTTTGTGCTCTTTGCATTGTTTCCTTATATGAAAAGAGGAAATGTTTTCAATAGGAATTCAATAGTTCTGCAATAGTCCATTTTTTTTTAACTTAACAAAGAGCTCTACAAAGGAATTTCTGAATTGTATAGTTTCATAATTTACATGAAGGAATGGAGAAGTGCAGATGTTGCAGACGTAATTGTAAAAAGCTCTATGACAACAGCAGAATTTCATACTTACACTTCAGTGCATATATCTAGTACTTGTAAAGTTTAACTTCTAATTCTAAGTGGTATTTCAATCTCTTTGTTGATCTTTGGGGAAACTTAGGCCTTTAAAAAATTCTTATAAAACATTTTTCAGAAAATTCTTTAAAAAGCTAGTGTATACACGAATTATATATAGTTTGGCTTTAGCTAATGTTTTAGCATTGGACTTCTGGATTTTGAGAGGCTTTCAACGGCTGAGTACACATAATTTTGTGTCTTTATCAGCTAGTAGGAAAAATTAGCAAAGAAATGGATTTGTATTTCAAACAACCATCTGGTGCGGTGGAGAATATCTAAAATCGGTTCGTTCTAATACTAATTAGTATGAGTGCGCTTTTCGTTGCTTTGCCTCTGTTAGAGCAGTGCGATTTTAAATGTTTTCAATTCGGTATTATATCTTTGAATCAAATATCACACTGATAAATCTTGTACAACTAGCTGCTTCTATTGCTGCTTATCACATGTGTGTTGTTGTATAAAATTGAAAGAGAAAAAGGAAATAATTTTGTCCATTCATTCTTTACCTTCATTCATCTATAATATCATAAGTTACAGTTACACAAAATAATCGAACATTCATTGCAACGTTGGTGGTTTCAGCTATAATTTAAATCAATAAATTATCTCCAAACAAAAGCAATCATTACTGAACTATTTGTTTCATAAGATAACACTTGATGAAACTACTTTATTCGAGAGAAGGAATTGTTTATTCATTATTTACAGAGAAGATTATTATCCATTATTTACAAAAAAAGAAATTATTTCGTCTATACACATCAATAATCACATTTATTATGTAAAATTCGTTTCTTTTGTCCTATTTTGCGCAAATATAATGCTCAAAGGAAGCTTTCTTTCTTCATTTTGAAAGTACTGTAACAAAGAGAAGTGTAACATAACATAGCATATATTTATTCTTCTTATTAACAATATTTTCTCGTACTTTCCATTCCAATTATAGTGCGAAGAGAATTTTTATGCTGAACACTGTTCGCTGAACTTATTATTATTGAGATTACCCGATGAAATCAGTATTTCAATTTGAAATCTAACGTGTCTCATATAACGTTAAATAATGATTCAAATACATCAGTGTAATTTATAACTTTGTAACTTTGAAAATTTCACAAGAAAATGTAGTATAAATGATGGTAATTGATAAGTTACAACGCATAAGTCTTACTACTATAAGTGATCTCGTAAAGAGAAGGAAATATTTACAGTATAAAAGATTTAACGAACCTAATAGGTTGTATTTTGATTAATCTCTAACATAGGAGTGTTCTGTTATTGATTACAGACGTTAAATGATTCAAACACTCTTCCGTCATCAATTATTTGAGCACTGAGCATTGAGCATTGAAACAATGAGGACTGATCTGTGCATGCCTATAGCAAAGGTTGTTTGTTATGCCAAGCAAGGAAATGGCTAAGTTGACATTGCTACCGAACAAATGGTGACATTCGATGACAATTCTCAGGTATATCACAAAACCATCATCCTATCTTATTATTTCCTCATTACCTTAGCCATCAATAACTGTACAAGTGTGCAGTGACCATTTAGAACGCAAAATTTTCACATAGACGTTGTTAATTTCAGGACTATAAAATTTGTCTTGTCATGTGGATGCAGATTGTGGGATTAGCTTCCACACTGGTTAGGGTTAAGTCGTGTATTTTTGGCTCGTATTGACGTGGCCAAGTATTTTTTAGGGCATCGATATGTTAGTAGCCCTGTCTTGAGTGCCATAATTTTATGCTGATAATTGAATTTTCGTTAATAGTACTTCCAGCTGTGCGTTAATGTAGTGCATGGTAGATAAATTCTAGCTTTACCTTTGCACAGTTACATTACTGCTAACTTATTGTTGCTTGGAAGCATCTGATATATTAAACTTCTATTTTGCTTTCCTCTTTTGTCCGCTTTATCATATTTTCAATAGAAGCATCAGTTACGAATGGTCTTTAATGACTGAGTTTGAGTTCATGTTCTTGGTAGATTTTGAACAGTACGCACTGTTAGTAGTTGAGAAGAACATGCTGTAAGTAGAACCATTTCGATTGTAGTTTTTAACTGTAGTCGTTTAAGCTGATAGACGATTTTGTTTTGTTTTATTATCCATTCGCTTCGTCAGTATCTATGTGGTTTAGAATGGATGTAATGTGATATGTATGTACAGTGGATGGTTTCAGTTAAACAAGCCCGACAAAAGCATCCAGCTAGCCAAATGGTTGCAATGAACCCATCGGGAAGGAGTTAATTTCTTTGCCCAAATTGATTGCATTTTTTGCCGAGAAATCAGTTTGGGTATATTTTTTATTAATAATAGAAATTGCGTTTTTACTAAACTGACACTGACTACACTATCGCATTTTTGTTAAGCCTTTTATCGGTTATTTGTTGCATTACAGTAGTTAGATTAGTGACAGCATATGTTAATTACAAATTAGTAGCTTCATTAATCCAGGTATTGCCAAGTGATAAAATCGTTAGAGAGTCAACGGACTGCTTTTGAGGTACCATATGATTGCAGACTTTTCATAATCTTTCCTGGTTTTGTATGCTGTAAAATCCCCCTTTAGATTCCTTAAGAGTGCTCTGCGTAAGAAAATTTTATCTTAGCTTGCTGCATTTAATAGCTAAATTAGTAACATTAATACATCAAACACTGAGTCCGAAGTTGAAAAATACTCAATTATGAATTGCTATCACTCGTGGTAGTTTCTGTTCTACGACATAGATTACATTCATTTGACTTTAGATACTTTTTTTCAACTTTAGCGACCAAGTGAATGAATTCGAGAGACCGAAAGACAGTAGTGCTTTTCTTCAAAAATATTTACAAATGCCAATTTAAATTAAAATAGTTTGAATATTATCTTAATATTGGATTTGACGCTAAGGACTGTTATGCTGAAAATTGCTTGTTTATAAGTTAGGACAGCATCGCTTGTGCTGCTTTTTTGGATTATGAACTAGTTAGCTGCTATATTATCTTATGTCTAACAGATGTTTTTGCACCAAGCGCATTAAAGGTAACCCACATTTCTATAGGTTGACTAGTAGTGATGGTGAGATGTCGAGCAAAATGGGCATTATCATTGCTTTTGCTTGCTTGGCTTGTAACTGTTGGCTATATCGTTTATCACAGTTATAACAATTCTTTATTGAATTCGTTTGCGTCAATTCCTGCTCCTGGAATTTACACTGATGCTGTTTTGCGAAAGGTAACGCATTTTAAAGTAATTGTAATCAGCCTTCATTACCAGTTATATTTCAATTGAAAAGGCCAGAGGACTGATTAGATCGATCGGATTTAAAAGGGTGGAGTGGAAATTTGTTATTTTTCATTAGTCTTTTTAAAGAATTCAAATAAGCTTTTATCAATAGTCTCCTGCATCAGACCAAAACTGATGCTCCATCGCGGCTCTAAGGGAAAGAGTATTATGATGGAATTCTGAAATAATGAATGTTTTCTTCTATCCCTCCTTCACTAATAAAGGGTTGCATATAATATGAAGTGTTTGTATGTATGTATGTACTGTTTCTTCCTAAAAGTCAAAGAACGATAATTTCTGGAGTGATGGTTCGCTGAAAAACCATTTCTATCTATCCTGAAGATGTAAAAACTACGGTGGTCATGGAAATTGATTATCTTTTTTTAGAAATTTTGGCAATCTTTTGAAAAAGCTAGTACTAATTTAAAAAGGAATCAACTGAAGAATGCTATTGTTTACTCGAAACCGGAAAAAATTTTAAATTGGAAGGATTTTAACCATGAAGCCTTTTTGAAAAAGGGTAGTTTACAACCAGGTGAAGACAGGTAATTCTTTTTTCTTTTTTGCATTGTCCATTATATAAAATAGTAAGCTGTACGTATTTATGAATTTTATTTGCTAAAATATGGATATAAAGAGATTGTTGTTCATTATAAAATTTTCATTGGACTATTACGCCAGATTATTTTAAGTAACTGTTTGTTTAGACTGTGAAGGATTTGCTGAAGATTTGTTATATAAGAACTTCGTTGTGTAATTAAATAAAATAACAGAAAAGTACATTATTTGCATTATTTCATAGATATTGAATTAAAGGCTTTCCTTTACTCCGTTTGCGATAGTTGCATTAATAATGCAATGAAATAGTCTTTTTTTTTCCTTTTTCATCTTTTGGGCTAATAATCACTTGGAGAAAAAAAAGAAATTTTTGCTGACATGAAGCATGTGTCACTGCTTTAATTATTTAACGGGCTACAGCTTCTTAAGCCATATGATTCCCAATCGAAAAATAGCTACATTGCTAACGGATTGTAATTTTAGATACGCTGCAAATAAGTTTAATCAGGCCGCCAGTGATGCAACAAGGTGGGATCGTGATATTATCGATTCCCGGGAAGCAAGGTAGACTTGGAATTCTTATTCGGTGTTCTTAGTCGAATTCATATACTTACTGTTGTTAATTTCTTAGTAAATTTTAGGTTTTATAGAAAGAAACTATGAATTTAGATTCTAAAATGATGTTTTAGCTTTTAGAGTTTTTATTGAATAGCAAATTGAGAGCGAATGAGTTTCTTTTTCTACTCTTCCTTTTGGAAATCTGTAAAAGAGACAAAATACCAACGATTCCTAAAATTGCTTCAAGAGCGGCTTCTTATAAGCAATATGCGAAAAAACTATAACGGGATTCCATATTTCAGTTGTGGAACACTGATATACAATGTAGAAACTCTACCGTCAACTTCAGTTGTAATAACCTATCATAATGAGGCACGATCGACACTGCTGCGTACTATCGTCAGTGTATTCCTTCGATCTCCACCACAATTACTTCACGAAATTATTCTTGTTGATGACTTTTCAGATGACAGTAAGTGTGTTAGTTGAAACGAATTTCCTGCAGAGTAAGATATCCTGTATTTTACAACTTTTAAAATATTTTTAAATATGAAAATGCGGATCATGGCATAACTGAATAGGAATGATGACGTTCATTATAAATTGTTGACTGGCATTATGGATTTTCTTCAGGATTGTTTCATTTACGATATTATAGGAATCTATGAGTTTTGAGCCTCCTGTCAGTAATAAGTTGTATTCTTATGTTCAGTCTTACATTGAATATCGCATAATTTGTATGAATATTTGAAGAACTGTGTCCAAAATTTTTATAAGCACCTTTTGAAATATACTTTAGCAAACTTATTTTAGTCACAATTGGAACAGATTTGCTGCCAATAGAAAATGTTGTTGTTATAAGAAATACAAAACGTGAAGGTTTGTTCGAAATTTGACGAATTTTAAATTTAGAAGCTAAAAACTTGATTTAGCATTTTAAAAGATGATACTGCAGACACTCAAAAAATTTTTTTTCTTTGTCAACGTTGACTGACAAAGTTTGTCAGAAGATTGGATTAAAAATAGTGGAAATTTAGAACCTGGCAATAATGTTTGAAACTGAGAAGTTTTAAAAGGTATCGTGAAATCTTGACTTTTGAAATTATTTAAACTAAATTCTAAAAACAGATGCAAAGTGTGAATTGTTTTTTGTTATTCATTATTATTTATTATTAACAAATTTGAGGTTTGATAAGATCACGTGTGAAGGGATCAACATTGGCGCGTGCCTCAGTGCTTACTTTCTTGGATAGTCATTGCGAATGCAATGTGAACTGGTTAGAACCACTTCTTGCACGTGTTAAAGAAAATCATCGAGCTGTCGTTGCTCCCGTTATTGATATTATCGACAAAGATACGTTCAAATATGTTGCTGCGAGTGCTGATTTAAGAGGAGGTCTCACTTCTTTTCGGATAATTAGAAAACGCATCATTGCAACCGAAATATGTAGAAAATGCAAGAAAGAGTATTGCTCACTGTCGTGTAAATCAGACACATCGATATCGAAAAATTTCATAAATGCTTTAAACTGTTTTGTTTTTCATACAATTTGATTCCATTTCTCATCTTACCTAGGATTTGAATGGAATCTCATCTTTAAGTGGGAATATTTGTTGGGTAAATTACGAGATGATCGACATGCACAGCCTACGGCACCAATAAGGTAGGCTCCTTAAATTCTTTAATTTTACGGTCGTTTTTCTACACGTGAAGTTATTCTTCGCACCACCTAAAGCACCAAGGAAGGAATGTGATGATGCTTTTTAGCATCACTTTTTCCCAGATCAAGTGTTGTAAACACTTTATTCTTTAAATATGATTCTAGGCTTTGTTAAATTAATGTTAGGTAGTTAAGATCTTGATTATGCCATATGTATTTCATTGTTTCATTTATAAAGTGCTTCATGCTGGTTTTAGGACGCCAGTAATAGCTGGTGGTTTGTTTATGATTCAGAAAGACTGGTTTGAAAAACTAGGCACATACGATGAACAAATGGATGTTTGGGGCGGCGAAAATCTTGGTTGGTTTATGAATTTTAATTTCTTATTCAAGTTTTTATAAGGATCCTAAGTTTGTGAAGTCTGAAATAAAAATCCGCCAAAAATGATATAAGATTAAAGCCTTTTCTGAACCTACTCAATAATGAAATTGGTAGCTCACAGGTTGAAGTATGCAAAGTAACGTGAAATGCAGTCATTGTGTTCTTATTAGTCTCAGTGAGATTTAGCAACTTTAGTTGTCTTATTTGCTAACAAAAAACAAAAACATTTGTTTTTCATTATTGTTGTTCCTTCATATTTGATAATTTATTCTCCTGTTTTATTTGATGAGTTTATTCTCCTGTGACTATATATATGTAGAACTGTCATTTCGAGTGTGGCTGTGCGGTGGTTCATTGGAAATTATTCCCTGCAGTCGAGTTGGTCATGTGTTTCGGAAACAGCACCCTTATACTTTTCCTGGTGGTAATGGCAATGTTTTTCAAAAGTGAGCTTTCGTTAAGATTTTTGCTACGCTATAAATTCATGGGTTGCAGAGTTCTCTGTTTGAGTCGATGTTTATAGCTATTTCGCAGATATTGAGATCAAATCTATGGAGACCATAAGCTTATTTTTGTAGAAATACAAGACGAGCTGCTGAAGTATGGCTAGGCGATTATAAGTATCTCTATTTAAGGAAAGTACCATCTGCTCGATATGTTAATTTTGGCGAGTAAGTGTTTTTTTTTATTCATATTTTAATTGGAAACTTTAAGTTCTTACGGTGATCATTTTACTTTATTTTATGTTTTTACTACAGCATCACGGCGAGATTGGATCTAAAGAAAAGGTTGCGTTGCAAGGATTTCGACTGGTATTTAAAAGAGATTTATCCTGAGTTGGCGTACGTTTTTTTTTTTTTTTCCAGTCTTCTTGTTTATTTTCTGTAGGGCTTTCCTAAATGCAAACATACGTTCATCATTAAAGGTGGAGTTCTACTGACGTTAAAAATATATGTTCATTTTTATTGTTGTAAGATTATTCAACAAATTAGGCTAAAAAAGAATAGGAATGATAAAAAAAATAGTGAAGATTATTTGATTTTTCCCTAAAAAAAGCATCTGAAGGCGGAAATTTGAGCTGATGAAAGAACAGAAGAATCTCTTGTAACATCTTGAAAATGGAAAAGGTATGATAAAAAGTGAAATTTCCCGAAATTCTTATTTAGAATTCCTTCAAAAGAACAAGGACGATACCTGACGTTCAGGCAAGGGAACGTTTGTATTGACTCTTTGGGCAGGCATACAGCTTTATCATCCGTCGGTATTTACCGTTGTCATGGTACGGGAGGAAATCAAGTATGATTTGTTATGAAACAAGATTTTATTATTTGGAAATGGATATGCATGTTTTATTGAAATTCCAAGTCTCTGCTAAACTGGAATCAATGCAGTCTGAAATACTGGGATTAACTTTATATTCAAGATTTTTTTTTTTTTTTTTTGAACTCAACAATTGCCAAAGCAATCGACAGAATGCCTAAGCTCGTATAATTGAGTTTCTATTCCAGTTTCTATCGAGTTCTTATGGAACATTCTTATACTGTTTCAAACGAAAGTCCCGTGCTGCTCTGATTAACTTTATTCATATAAAATAAGACTTGCTCAATAATGCGTCAGAAAATTTTTTTTTTTTCATTTTATAACTTAATAATATATGTTAAACTCTTATAGGAGTGGGTACTAAATGACAAATTTGGTGTTTTAAAGAGTCCATATTCAAACTTGTGCATAACGGATGATGAAAAGGGAACGCTTATTCTACACTACTGTAATATGGTCAGATTTTTCCATTATTATTGAAGTTCAAGTCATAATTTTATCTTACTAAGAATGTATAAAGCCATTTTGGGTCACTTGTGGTTTTGATTTATTGATTCTTCATTTAATGATATGGAAAAGTTCTTCGTGATAAACTGTATGTTAATTTTACTGTTATAGACTAGGGGGAGATGGATTTTGGATGAAACAAACGGAAGACTGCTCAAAAATAACCAGTGTACAGCTTTGCTATTGTCAAGTTCTGGTGATCGAGATAATGTTCTGGTGTTAATGCCATGTGATGTTACGGATGAACGGCAGCGCTGGATATTTGAGAAGCCTCCAGCATTTTGATTTCATGTTCGTGCAATATGAATTTTGCAGTATACTTTCTTGTAAAAATATCTATTTTAGTAGATCTGTTTTTAAACTTTGTTGAATTTGTTTGGTCTGGAATTTTTCAGATCAGGTGCTATCTTTGCCGTTTTTGCTTTCATTCAAATTGGTATCCAGTGAATAGTGGCGTTCATGCATTTTTATTGGTGTTAATTAATTCCATAGTTTATTTAAGATTTTTGATTCATTCAATGTTTAAACTTCTGTTAATCTGAACGGCTTAGTTTTTAGCAACGTTCAGGTATTTTTTTTTTTTTTTTTTTCAGGAAACAAATCTGAATTTCTTTTAATGTTAAATGTTACTTTTATTTCATCAATTTTCCACTTATTGTATTTTTCTGCAAAAACTAATGTGCTTCAAATCGGTGTGTGAGGATGTGTAGTTTCGATAACTTCGCGTCTTTATTTACTTAAACTGCATAACTTATTTGCTCAGAAACTCAATTATGAGTAGTGGATTGTGTCCTATCTTTCGATTTTTTTTTTTTTGTTGTTACTCCATTTTCTTTCGAAAAGTTAAGTATTTTGCGAATTATATGTTTTTTCTGAAAGCATAAGTAGAAAGTTTTTTTTCCTCCCTTCAAAATAGGCGAAATTTTTGGTTGAAATGAAGGAAAAGAAGTTGTAATCTAGCTTCTCTAAGCTTGTTTTCTTCCAGCTTTGTTTTGCATAGTTATCATTTTATCTTCGTTGGAATTGGGTTTTTTTTTCAATAATTGAGTTTTATCAGCTGTGATAACCATTTTAATTTTAATATAGCCATTTTAACAAAGATAATTTTATCAAGCAATAAAAACGATCAAAAATAAAGCTGTAGTAGCAAAGAACTGAATCCACTAATCCACTGAAAGGGTAGGTAGCATATTACTGAAATTACTTGCCGTTCTTTCCGAATTTTTTGCTATTTTTTTTCATTTTCTTTATATATTGTTCAAAGCTAAGCCAGTGAATTTCATATTTTTGCTTGTACAGCTCAGTGCATTTTATATTTTCTTTAATCCGGTGTTTTTTAATTTGCCTCTCCTAGTCTTACGCTTATTGGCTTTTTACAGTCTACATATAACCAGTTTCATATTCTTTATTCAGCACTCATTTTTTATTTTTCATTATAGTATGTCACGTTTTGTTTAGAAAAATTAGGTCTTAATGAGTCAGTATGTTATGGATCAATTTATTCTGCTGATTTCACGGATTAATTTTATGGTTTTAATTGGGAATTCACCTCAGAAAATGAACTGTCTTTCTTGCCACACAATAGTTATTAGTTTATGGAAAGATTAGTGAATATGCTGTTGATTCATGCCGAATGCAAAATTAGCTGAGGTTATGGAGTAAAGCAAACATTGCCAAATGTCCAATGCCATTCTTACTATGGTTGTAAGATGAGAATGCTTTTTTAAAAATTGTGACTATTATTACGCAACAATCTTTGTTTAATTTTTGCTGATGTTAAACCCATATAGTATGTCAATGTTTGATATACATAAATTATGGTTTCGTTGCAATTTTAAATAAATTGAAATTTGCGTTCATTAAGATTATTGTTTTTATAAGTTTCAAATGTGTTGCTGAGGTCACATTACTGTAGCAAATTTTATGGTACTATTGTCATTACCCAAGAGGTGATATTCCATGATTTAGAGCTGGCATAGCGAGATAATTCCATTGGTTTTTGTTTTTGTTTATTAATTCTTACGGTACACAAAGATCCGTAATTTCTGTCATTTAACCTTACCAGAAGCAAGCGAAGCGCTTAGACAAAATGTTTATGATTCAGATAGTTTTAAAATGCACATATGGAGGTGATTTCATGAAGGGATATGTAGCATTTGCACAGGGAACGGTCCTGAGTTCGCGGAAATTCAAAAACTGCTTAGCCACACTGTCTGCATTAATACTCAGATATCAATTAATTACCTCTATGTTTGCTAGAACTTTTTTGGTTTGACTTAAAATCCTTCCATTTGGTGGGGTTGATGTTTCAATTTAGAATGAAATTTATTATTGCAGATATAAATGTCAGTGGTGTTGCTTCTGGTAACTTTATTGTGTAGTTCGGTGCGCGCTTTGTATTTCCATATCGCTGAAACTGAGCGGAAATGTTTCATTGAGGAAATACCTGATGAAACAACTGTGATTGGTAATTACAAAGTGATGTTATATGACCCGAACACGAAAGGTTATGGTGAGTATCCGCGAATTGGGATGCATGTCGAAGTTAAAGATCCAGAAGATAAGGTAATTTTTACTTAGTCTCGTGAGTGGGCATGAACGGGAATAAATTATTCAAAAATTACCTAGAATACTAGTCGACGTGATGAAGTTTTCCCCATCAATGTTTGAAGATTCAGTTCACTTCAGTTGTGTATTTTGTTCTTTCAAATGCACTAATGTATCTGTAATGCAAAACATACGCTTCTTAGTAATGTTAGGATTAAATTTATTTCTCATGAATAATCTAATGAGTGGGAAGATTTTGATTGTAATGGTCTTTGTGTTATTTTATTATTTTAAAATTTCCTTTCATGACGATATCTGAATCATATGTTACTCAGTCATTTAATAACAATGAAAAGTTCAAATTTCCTTAACTGTTTACTGCGTTTCAGGTAATCTTGTCAAAATTATATACCAGTGAAGGACGATTTACATTTACCTCCCACTCACCTGGTGAACATTTCATCTGCTTATATTCGAATTCAACATCTTGGTTTAGCGGCGCACAGTTGCGGGTATACCTTGACATTCAGACTGGTGAACACACTCAGGACTACGAACAAGTAATATTATTTATCATTTAGTAATGAACGAAAGCAGTATTTCGAAAGTTACATTACTCTCAAATCTTGTGGCATCTCATTTAGAATTTCACTTGATATAACGCAAATTTTTCTATAATGTTTCAGCAACCTACTGTTAAATTCCTGTTTTTTGCAGGAACTACCAGTTTGTCATAAATCTGTCAATTTGTTATAAATCTTTATTAAAATACATAAGTCATTTTAGGTAGCCGCAAAAGATAAGTTGAATGAATTACAACTGCGAGTTAGGCAGTTACTTGATCAGGTTGAACAGATTTCGAAGGAACAGAACTATCAACGGTACAGGTATGCGTGTCATCACTTTCAAAGTGCTTGAAAAATTGTGACATTTGCTAAAAAGATTAGCAGGATTCTTGTAGTGTTATGCATCACCAATATATAGCATGTATAATTGAGCTTTCTAAAAGTTGTCAAATTTATGTATGTCAGTGGTTGCAATATTCTCATTTCATCTGATTTCTCCCACTTGCAATTGTGAATTAATTTAAGGGAAGAACGTTTCCGGCAGACAAGCGAAAATACGAATTCACGAGTGCTGTGGTGGTCGATTGCACAAACAATTGTACTATTATTAACCGGAGCTTGGCAAATGCGTCATTTGAAGGGATTCTTTGAAGCTAAAAAACTTGTTTAATCACCGCTTACCTTTAGATTTCATTTTTGCACACTAATAGGTTTTATATTTGTTTTTTGGGACTAAATGCTTTTAGAATTTTTTTTTTTCTCAGATTATAAGGAAATGAAACTTATTTTCTTTTTTATTTTAAAAATTGTAGATAGTTATTTGACTTTTTTTATACTTCTATCATGAATGAAGCCATGGGAAAAACTTCTAAAATTCATTAAGAGTAGCTTTCGATTGTGAGGTATTAATTGTAAATTGATGTTAATGTTGCAGTTATTGTTTTACCTGTTGTATTCTTGGATGTTTACTATAGATTAGATTAAAATATATTAGTAACTAACTTTATTTATTAAAAGTCACAATTAACAGAACCGAGGCAGAAGTACGAGATACTGATGTGAGGTAGATGACGGATTTAAATGATGTCGCAATGATCCAAAATATCAATAAGGTATTAATGCCAAGAAAACGTGATTAAATACTGTTTTTTATGCGAATTGCATGTTGCATATTTTATTGGTATAACTTTGTCATTGTTCCGTTTGTTGTTGAAGCACTAAATCATGTTCTTACGCATCTAAACTTCCATTTGATCTGCGTTATTCATCAAATGATGATTTTCATGAAAAATCGATGTTCGTATGTAATACGAACCTATTATTTTCGATCGTTTGTAATATTTGGAGTCCTCTGATTAATTCTTATTTTTATATCTCATTCTACCAATTTACATTTGGGCTCTATTTTTCATGGTTGTTATTCATTTCTTTATTTCTTTACCTTCAAGATATTTTTTTTTTTTTTTTTTTTTGCAAGATATAGCATTGTTTGGCAACGTTTGTTTAAATTACGGGAAGCAGTTGGTATTTTTTCTGCATTTCGAAAATTTTATCAGCATAAACAACGGGAAGTAACTGATTGGTGTTTAGAAAGATCTGTGGGGTAATTGTTTTACTGTCCACATATTGAAATATTTGAACCTAATTCTTCATTGCTCTGCAAAGCGAACTGAGAGAAGACATCAATGATATAATGGGATTAGTTGTTTGCAACATCTCTTTAACCAGTCGTAGATACAGGTAATATGTCAGCACTTGGCCGAGATTTAAAAGTTGGAAAGATGAGGTATTGCTGAGCGTTGGAAAGGTAAAAATTGCAAAGGTTTTACAGGAATATTAATGTACGTTCCAAAATGGATGGGAACGAGGGTATCAAAGGGTTGGATGGTGGTACTTGCTGTGAGTGCAGGTGCTAGCGGGGCCTACTACAATTACTTGTATGGTTTTTTTTTTTTTTTAATCGGAATATAGTTTTTCCATCTAAAAGTGTGAGTATCAAGATATTGAAATGTTTATGCTGTTTGCACTGAAAAATTTTGTTTTAGCAAAAAAATTGCAAATGTATGAGTTGTGCAAAGATGTCCTAACAAAGATGTTTTATTTTTACGTTGTTATTACATATATAATAGCATTTCAAACATTATGCAGAGAAAGTTTGAACAGTTCTTCTCTCCCATAATTATTTTGTGAGCAAAAAATAAATGTTAATAGATTGATATAAATATGTTCCTCAAAAGTGATGATGCTGAATGATTTGCATTGTTCCAGTTAAGGTTACAGCTACTTCCAACATTTTCCAATTAAAATGCTTTAAATGTTAATTTGCTTGATTTCAGTTACGGTAAACCACACGATAATTATAAATTGGAGCATGATTTGGTGAATAAAACATACATCGTTGTGGGTGCCTCTTCAGGTATTGGCAAAGAAACAGCCAAAGAATTGGCAATGCGAAAAGCAAAAGTAATTATGGCTTGTAGGTGGGATCATATATCATTATTAACATAACTGTAAAATAAAATTGTTAGTTTAACACAATGTTTGCAAGAATCTTTGAAATTAAGAATAGAAAAACATTTGTTTTTTTAGCTGTTTTGCGAACAAATGTTTGGACTGCAACAAGGCATACTAATTTAACATTTTGACGTTGAAGTCATCATTAATATTCAAAGGTTGTGATTAGTCTACAAATGCAGAGATAAAGATATCAAGTGACATAACTACTCATACTTCAAATTAAGCAACTTTACAGGAATAATCGTAAATGTATTGAAGCTCGCCGAAACTTAGTAATAGCAACAAAAAATATGGAGATTTATTGTAGACGTTTAAATTTGGAGGACTTTGACTCAGTGCGAGAGTTTGCTCTCAAACTTAACACAGGTAAGATTAGCTAATTAAAAAGTTATTCCTTGTAGCATTACTTTTTTTTTGGCCTAGAAATGGAAATTCCGGAATTTTATTTTAAAAAATAGATTTTTCTATACATTCCATAAATTATAGAAACATTTTAAAAGAACAAGAAAGTTTTCTAGTCATTGAAGTTATTATTAAACGGAGATATGTTTCCCGGCAGAATAAAGCCTTAGATTTGAAAAACTGATGCACATCAATATCTTCCTGCAAAATGATTTAGTTTTATAGGTAAAGGAAATATAGGACAAATTGACGGTATAGTTTACAGTGCAGCTACCGCAGAATCTAGTCGGCAAACAAATAAGGTTAATGATATCGTTATAAAGAAAATTCTTAACATTATCTCATTCTTTAAAAGTTTTTATTTTGTTGAGCTTGAATTTTCGAACTTTATTATTTGCACTTAAATTCTCGTCAGCAATTTGAAAATTTTAATCGTTATGTGTTACCAGGCTATGTCAAAGGCAATCGATGCATGATTTACGCTTCTTCATTAATTTTCCTTTCTACCATAAAATAAAAGAAATAGTTTGACAATTAGCATTACGAACCTTTTCAAAGAGCTGTTTTTATTACCAATACTTTTCATGCTACTGTTTTAGATGCGTTACATTGATTTATTCACGATTTCGATTATTTCAGTACATAACTTTTTTGCAGCATCACATCGAGCGTACATTTGCGACGAATCATTTGGGACCGTTTTTGTTAACTTCACTATTGTATGATCGGCTGAGGAAGCAGTCAAGTCCGGTTCGCCTCGTGTTTCTGAATACTTCAGATCTAAAGCTGTAAATTATCTATTTCATTTTTCAGAATTTGCATTTCATTTGATACTTCGCTGGACATGTCATATGAAGGATTTCTGCTATCCTCTTTTTTGAGATAGATACTTATTTTATTTAGCCTAACATTTTTTACAGAGATGAGTTAAATTTTGATGATTTAAATTCGGCAGACTTAATGAAGTGGCTAAAATCTCCTGAGAAAGCCAGAAAGGATGCTTACTATCAGAGTAAACTTGCTTTGGCTCTTTTCGTGAAATCGTTGTCGGAAAAGGTCAAAAGTCAGTTTTTTTCAAGGAGGCTAAATTCAGTACAGTCCTTATTTTTTCTAAATTAGAAAGAAATCTATGTGTGTGTTTTTCTTTTCTGATCTTTCGCCTTTTTCTCAAGTGAGAACTGAGAAATGATTGTTACATTGCAAAAATGAATATGATAAGCAGAGGATAAAGCAAAGTTAGATGCCACTATTTACTTTTGAACCATTTGGGGTTATTCATTTGTTTCTCTTTTACATGGTGCAGTCCCAAATCCCAAATTGCTTTTGATGCAGATACAAATCTACGAGTTACGATGGTTGATCCAGGTTATACAAGAACTGACTTATTTTATCGCTTAGAAGCAGCCGATAATAGAATATTTTTTATACGGTGGTGTAAATCTCTTAAAAGGTAATTTTTTGTGGATCCATTCGAAAATTTTGAAAAGGTCTTCTTAGTTATTTGTCCTCTCAAAAGAGTGGGAATTTTACAGATGGGTTTATGGACTCGTTGCTGCACAATCGGTTAGCGATGCCGTTCGTCCCGTATTATATGCGCTTGTGGATGAGAAGATGGAGGGCGTGAACGGGACTTTTATGAAGTTAGTTTTGTTAAAAAGTTTTGAAATCTCTAAGTAACTCTGTCCCACATACCTGTTCTTTCATGCGTTGGCATTCCGTTAAAATTAGGAAGCGTAGGTACAGTCATAGACAAACATGTCGACTTCCTGTACCATGAAGCAGTTTTTCGTATTTCCACAATCTTTTAACGTAAAATAAATTATAGCTCAGTTAGAAGCGAACTACCATGGCATCAGTTAACATCGGATGAGAAAATTCTCAATAAGTTATGGATAACTAGTGCTAAATGGACAGAAACAGGTGTCCATCTGGAACGTCTTCAGCAAGATTTGAAGAAATCGAAATTTCAAGAAAAAGGTGGAGTACAAGACGTGAAAGTTAGAACGGGTTGGTTTTCATGGTTTTGACAAGGACTTCTCAATAGTTTTTCTCTCATTAAGTTTGTGAGGGAAGTATCAATAGAGGTCAAGATGTATAAGGATGATGAATTGAAACGGACAACTGAAATCTATATGATTTGAATGTTCATGGTCTTACTTCATATTTTTTGATAGAAGTATGCAAGCATCGTTATTATTTGTTGTTGTTACATTGTCCATTTACGAATAAACTTTTCATTAAGTCATTTTTAACACTATTTTTCAGGCGGAATCAATCTGTAGTGAAACTCTCAGGTTAAAAGATGAGTGTGATATTTGTTTTTAATTTTCTAAGTTTTACAAAAAGAAAAAGTCCTACAAAAATAGAGACCAAGAAATCATAAATAAAAAAAAAATGATATTACTACAAAGCATAATCTGGCTATTACTTGGTAGAACTATAGTGCCTCTTACTTCCATGTGCATTTAATCATAAAATAACAACTGTCACCAGCTTTCTTGTTGCCCATAAATTACCTCATATTTTAGGGTTATGAAATCAATTATAAAGTAAATATTTAAAAGAGGAATTCGATGTTACGCGAGACATATCCTTAACGATCCTTTCTCGATCTTTAGTGCTTAAATATTCCCTCAAGTCTCATCTCCCAAATCCTCCAGTAGATGATATTTCGCTCGTCCGATTGTGCTCAGCGATTCATAAAACTTGCGAAATTCTTGTACGATAGAAACATATTATGGATCATGCGAGAACGAAAAGAAAGATGTAATGAGGTGATAGCTGATGTTTTATATTTTGCTTAATAAGGGAAGTATTTTTGAAGTCCAACGGGATGTTTTGTAGATTATTATTTTGGTATTGTTAAGGTATAATAATAGCAAATTAATATTTCGATGAATTACTTAGAAAAAAATCTCAAATAGTTTCGACGTTAATTAGTTCATTAAGAGATGTCACGATGGCGTTCTGTGACCATGATGGACTGGATGAGAGGAAGGGAGCGAGAAGTAGATAGGTCATTAAGTTATTGGGCGTTGTCAAGAGTTAAGGTGCACTCTTGCCTTGATCTTGATTTACTGCTAGTATGTATGGTGTATTTGTATGATGTATTTAAGAATGAACAACTGTTATCAGTAATGAATAACATTATTCACATAACGAGTGAAAGAACGAAGAACTTTAGGCATGTTGTGTTTAGGCCCTTTTGATATCTTAAATTGACTTCACTTAATTCACTTAAAATTAAATTAAAATCTTCATGTCATGTTTAGGACTATAAATTGGAAGTTTTTCTAAGCAGAAGTTTGACTAGAAATATGAAAGTTTCACTTAATAGGTGAAAACTTAGCTTTATGAAATTCTTTTTGTTGCAAGATCTTATGTATTTAGGGAAATCCTTCGTTAATTTATTGTGAGCCTTGTAGCGATCAGTTGTGTTAATATATGTGGTCACATTAATATCTCATATATCTCATTATCTCATTAATATCTCATTATCGTCATTTATTGTATCAATAGTAATTTCTCCAGCATGAATAAAGATTACTGCAATATTCAAAGAAGTACTGAGATGTAAATAAATGAAGTTTTATTCATCAGGTAGTTTTATGGATCAATTTCTTGAACTATTAGTATTGTAGACTCTCCTCACAATATTTCTGGTAATTTGGAAGCGTGCAAGGTTTGTTACTGTTATGTAAAACATGTGTATTGAATTTTCTGCTTAATCGTACTTTTTGCAGATTCTCTTATATTTGTTGTGACATTTAATGCAATAGCAAATTTAGCCGAATTCCATTCTTACAATTTTTCAAGTTCTACAAGTATTTTTTTGCTGTCAACAGAACGCCAATCCATGTTGCGACGTGCCGCTTCTGCGTATAGTCGTGTGCTGGTGAATCAGGTTCCGATTTTCATCTCTTTGTTATCGTTAAATCTGATTTGTAGCTTCAACAGGATAGATAGAAGGACAGTAATGTAAACCATGTAGTTACAGTAGTTTTGCCGATAGCTTTCTTGGTATTATAGTGTATTTCAGTCTCTGCTTTATCTTTTGTGGCTTTAGATTTTAGTAGTTTTGAATAAATCCATACTAGAGAGAGAAGCCATCATAAAAGCTTTTCGTAAGGATGACAGTTCTTTATTTCCAAAGAGAGATCATAATTTCAAATTTCTATGTCTATTTTAGATGCAAGAAGTTTCTTGTCATTATGCTCTTCCACCTTTCAAAAAGCATTCTTTCTCCTTGTTCGTTTTTCCATATTTCACTTCCCACCCAGAAGGGCAAGTGAGATTCTAAGTGTTACATAGTGATGCACGCTACTTGAATTATATTTAGCTGAAGAAAACCGAAGGAAAACAGCGATATGCATTGATCAATCAGTCTAGATACTGTTAATGTTACATGCATTGTTTTCAGCCAAATGGTAAAAAGTTATTATTCAACAAGTTATTATTCAACAAGCTACGTATTGCGCAATGCCGAAGATATTTTGCCGTACCACAGTCACTGATTCAACAAAACCGGTTGTTTTATTATTTCGATGTAGTTGGACAATTACATACGAGCCAATTATGCTGTTTGTTTTTTGCAGTTTTAGTGAAATCACATTTATAAATACATTATTAAAGATAATTTTTGTAAGTAAATCTAATTTCCTGACAACTTATCTTGTGCCGAAAATTTTAATACTTTAATAAATTTTATATTTAAATCAATCATTGAGTTTTAGATGCTGATATCATAGAAGTGGAAGGACCTGCTTTCGCGGAGTCGATCTCTGAAGGGGATATTAGATGGTTGAAACGTTAGTTTCTACATAAAAATCAATTTGTTTCTTTTTTTTATTTTATTTATTCAGTTGAGTTACTTAGATATTTTGCCATTCATTATTAATAAAGGCTTGCTGTAGAAAAAGGGTGATTATGTAAATAACGGGATGTTATAAATCGTAACTTTTACTCTAAATAGTTATTGACTTTGAAATAATCTCTAGAATGTGACTGATTTCAGAAAAGGGTGAATTTGTCAATCGAGATGATTTGGTTGCTGAGATTGAAACTGATAAGGTTAACTCTTCTATTTTTAGTTTGTTTTATCAAAATATATATATATATTATTTTAGTTAAAGAATGATTACTAATATTAAATGTTTTTTTTAGACAACCGTAGAAGTACCATCCCCACAGTCAGGAACAATAGTCGAACTTTTAGTAGAAGATGGCGGTCGAGTAACAGCACATCAGAAACTGTATAAACTAGAAGTTGGAGGAGGTAAGCCGTGATTTATTTTTAGGGAACTACATTTGTATCCTTTCAAATATCTCTTTTTGTCACTTCACTTTGTTTGGATCGGATCCAACCATGCATCTTTTCGTAAAAGACTGATAATGCTATATATATATATATATATATATATATATATATAGGCTTAAGGTTTTTAAACGTTAAAAATTCATAATTGCCAGCTTATAGAACAGCATTTATAGACCTTTGGCAATTAAAAACTACTGTCTGTAAAAACTGTAAGATGTTTTTTGTAAAACTGTAATGATTACAGAGTAATTGTATTTTCAGAAGCACCTGCTAAGAGTACAAAAGAAGCGAAGCAACCAGTAGAGGAAAAAACTCCGCCACCACCAAAGGCTGATTCGGTGCAGACATCACCTTCATCTAGTCCAGGTGAGGAGCTACATTCAATATTCTTGTACTTTTGAATTCATCTAATTTGAATTTATAGAACTGATCTATTTTAAATTCATAGAACTGCAATGACTCGAGAAGGAATTTTAGGTATAAACGAGTTGTGAAAAATGAACTATCGTATTCATATGTGAGATGTGTTTCAGAAAAGCCAGTCACTCCATCTCCAATGAAAATTGCAGCTGCACCTCTTCCATCGTATTCCCAACCTAAGCCAGATTCTCCTATAGAGAAAGTACCATCACTCACTGATCATAGTCCTTTTACTGGTTCAAGAGATGAGACACGCGTGAAAATGAACCGAATGCGTTTAAGAATAGCACAGCGGTTGAAAGACGCTCAGAACACTTACGCTATGCTTACTACTTTCAATGAAGTGGACATGAGGTACTGCCTTTTTTAAAAATATTTTCGAACAAGTCTTTGTTAGGTAATTTTGGAATGTGTAGTAGCCTGTACTGAAGAATCATATGATTGAGGAAGAAAAAATTTATTTAACTCCGAGAAGTTTCCACCTATGGAGAAAGTTGTAATTATCTTGTAGCAATTACAAACTGTCTGTGTTCAATTAAATTTAGAAAGTTTAAATTGGCAGAAGGATAAACTTTCAGCAATGTACTGGAAATGAGGAAACGCTATCAAAAAGAATTCATCGCAAAATATGGCATTAAAATTGGATTGATGTCGCCATTTATTCGAGCATCGGCTTATGCGTTACAAGAATTTCCCACCGTTAATGCTGGTGAGTTTCTTATATCTGATGTTCTGAGGTCTCCTGTTGGATTAAGATTCAAATTTTGATCCATCATCTGAATTTTTTGAATCCTGCCATTATTCGTTGCTAGCTATATGATTCATTTCTATCTTTCTGAACTTTTATGGTCTTTTTAATATTGCTACCTTAATTTTCTACCGGGAGAACTTCGGTCTGTTAAATCGGTCGATAATTATAAAAATTTTGATAAAGTGAATCGGAAAAGATGGGAATTTTGTTTATTTTAGTAATCGATGAAGGCGAGATATTGTATCGGCATTATATTGACGTGTCAGTTGCAGTCGCTACACCGAAAGGTCTGGTAGTGCCCGTACTGCGTAATGTTGAAACAATGAATTATGCAGCCATCGAAAAGACACTGAATGAATATGCAATTAAAGTACTTTCCTGTTTCTATAGTTTTTTGGTATTTTGATTTTTATAACCATGACTAGGAATTTTTTTTTTCAATATAAAGGCATATCTTTATCCTATTACTTGCAGATACCTAACTTTTTTTTTGACTTTATAGAAAATAAAGGGAGAAGCGCACAAGGATTTCGTAAGATTTCTATAGATTTGTCTTATATTAATCAGTTTGAGCTCTGACTGTTTTGAAAATGCCGTACATTCTTTTCTTGCTAAAATGATAAATAAGACGAATGACCAAAAGTATAGAAGGAGAAGTAGGATAGTAGGAGGTAAAACCAAGCTGTGGTCTCATAACAAAATTCCTGAAGTTCGGTTTATAAGTAGTTTGCTGAATTCAACGTTTGATTTTATGCTCGGGACGGCAAACTTGCAATCGAAGATATGGAAGGTGGGACGTTCACAATCAGTAATGGTGGTGTTTTTGGTTCAGTGTCTGGAACACCAATCATCAATCCACCACAATCAGCAATTCTGGGGATGCATGGCGTCTTTGACCGACCGGTGGCAGTAGATGGAAAGGTTGAAATCCGTCCTATGATGACTATAGCACTGACGTATGATCATAGGTAAAATTGTTACCTTATTTTCGGAATTTATTCAAGATAATTTTTCAAATAATCTGAAATGGAATATTTCTTGGTTCAGTGTAACAACACAATCATCTGCATTAATCATTTCATGTATGATTTACGTATTTCAGGTTAATTGATGGTCGCGAAGCAGTCACTTTTTTACGAAAGATTAAAACTTCAGTTGAAGATCCACGAACTATTTTGCTAAATTTGTAGAAATTTTTTAGGTCAACTTATATATTTTAATTGTTAAAGTCAGGGTGTCTTTTCCAGTTTTAAATGTATGAAATATTTTATCTTAGGTTTGATTAAATTGTATTGTATAATTGGTCATAATATCTATTCCTATTTTTTGCATCAATTGAAAAATTTGAAATTATTTTTGGAGCTAAAAAGCCTACAGGCTTTAACTATGAAAATTTTTCAACGTTTTCTCTTCCAAATTTCTGAAGGTATAAGGAATTTTGTTTTTAAGTCTTTAATGTTGTTAAAGAATTTACATTTAACACACTTAAATTCTAGTAGCATTAGATAATGACAAGTAATTCATTTATATGCTTGGGAGCAAATAAATCTTGCGGCACACGTAATTTTTACGGCATATTTTAGCTCTTTGCAATTGATTTTTCTGAACTTCTGCTCATTTTAAAAGGATATTTAGCTGCTGGTAACGACTTATTACATCAGTTTCATACATATCAGAATTAATTTCCTAATTATCAGCGATTTTTAAAATATCTGCAGAATTTCCTTATCATGTTTGAAGAATTTGCTATTCTAAAATTCAGTAATGTGAAGCTGTGATAATAAGTTGTTAATATTAGTGAAGAATTACCTCCGGGCATGTGTTCTTTCTCTGTTGATTAATTATTTTCGTGATTGCTATGAACTGTTTTCAAAACGGGAGTTTCGTGTTTTACAGAATAGTTAATATCGGCTGCAAAAATCTTGGCGAAGAAACTGTAGAGTATGCGCTTCACATTCCATTTGTAGATGTGTAAAATTACATTTTTTTTTTCACAGTTTTTTGATAGTCGTGAAAATTTCACGAAAATGATGTACAAATCAATTGCCGTAATTAAAATAGCATAGAATAAGTGTAAAGCGTGACCGAAGCAAGCTATAATTTTGAACATCTGTTCTTTTTTTGCTACAATCTTGATAAAATAAACTTCAACTGACAGTATTTGTTGTATAGGAAGAATCAGCTGATGGTGCTGGGCTTAAGCTTTAATATATAGCAAAGTTTTCGACGAAATTTTGATCTTCAAGTTATGAGAAAAACATGGAATCATGGAGCGGTACATTCGTTTGTGCTTAACTGTTCTCGAGTTTCGCTTATTTCAGCATGGAAAAGGTGCTGCAATCGCCTTTGTTTTATAGATTTAATGTCAGTTACAAAAAATTCTCTTTGTTCTTTTGATAAATTATGAGAATTTTATTACCTTTGGAAATTTTAGTTGGGTCAACTAGATGGCTGGTAATGTGAGTCATGTCTCTGGTCCCATACAGTCATTCGTATTTCTGGATGTGGAGGCTAGTGGACTTTTCCCAATCGATGCAATGAATCCACTGGATGATCCACCAATTCCAGGCAGTCAAAGGGACTTGTCTCAAATATTACTCAATCATATCAGGCTTAGTTAATTTGTATTTTATTTGTCTCTTTTATATTGCATGTTTATTTGGAATATTTAAATCTTTCAACGTTCACTGAGTTATAACTCATTTAATTTGAGCCCTAGATGCTATATAAAACCAAAGCCTAACTAACTTATGTGACCACAGATTTTCTTCTTTTATGGTTTCAGCTAGTTCCAATCAAGCCCCTCATATTATGGAAATCAGCCTTGTTTCGGCTACAAGAAAAGCAATTTTATCTGGGATTCGAAAGATGGATGCAGTGATGAATAATGATGAGGCAGATGATCAAGCATCACTTCGTTCCAGATCCAGTAGTTTCCGAATTCCATGCAACATCTATTCCGCACAGGTTTTCAGTGCTGTACATTCAGTTTAATCGAAAATCAATAACTTCTGAGTTATACCTTATTTTCTGTAAGTGATATCACGAATTTTTAATGTGTTCGATAAACAGTCTCTCTAATTGACCGTTTTCGAAGCGTATTACAGAATAATTAGGGGGTAAATTTTCTTTTTAGTAGATTTAAGGTTAACAATTGTGTTTTAGTTACATTATATCTATGTTGTATTTTGCAGATAAAACCTAAAATGAACCAGAAAGAATGGACAGAGTACGAGAAAGGACGCTTTCTACGTAGCGGTAATTTCAAGCTTTTACACTTTACTTTTTATCCCTCATTTAGAACATTATTTTACACATATGATATTATCATCCGTCATAAAATTGGTGTTACCACTTCTGCCTTCCTTATTCCTAGGCTTCTTTTGTTCCTAGCCCTTCCTTATTTCCAGTCATATTTGTCAAAAGCGAATGTTTTCAGTTTTTGTTTACTCTCGGGAAGACTTGGAAGACAAGAACGATTTTGCCACGGAATGGAAAGGATTGAAACTTTTTTTAGAACAAACGCGGAAGCCAGTTTGTATAATCGCTCACAATGGACTAAGGTTTCTTCTCTCATCTACCTTTCTATTACTATTTCTTAACACATTAGACGTTTGTTTATTATTTAAATCAGCGACTTTTTAAGGTTTGATTTTCGTATATTATACGCAGAGTTTGAACGAAGTGGTCTTCTGGATATCAGTCCTATTCCTAACCAGGTGTCATTTTTTCTTTCTAGCTTTAATGACACCTAAAATATTTAGTTCAGAAATCTGTTTCTGTGTTATTTGCTTTGAATTCCTTTCATATTGACAAAAAATCTGATTTCATTGAATGAGCACTTTGTTTTAGGTTTATTTTGTAGATTCTTATTTGATGTTTCTGGATCTGGAAAAGAAGTTCCATGACGAATTACGGACTGCCATTCAGCTGCTAGATTGGGGCCGTTGTAAGTTATCCAATATTTGACTATTTTGTAATGTTGTTAGTTATAATGAAAATAAGTTGATACGAAGAAAGAATTTACTTTTTAAAATGCCCTTCTTATGTTTTTACAATAATTCATATGGACATTATTTCTAACCATCAGAATCAGGGAATCAGGAAAAAAATTATGCTGGGTATCTAATAATTTTATGTTGTAGTATCACCACAACTGAATAGTGAAAATCCACTGCCATCACCACAGAAAATGTCGTCATGTTCAGTAGATGTAAATTCAAGGACTCATATGGACATTATTTCTAAACCATCAGGATCAGGGACACTCGAAGTAGAGGGCATCTCTGTAAGCGCACTGAAGACTGACAGTTCGACTGTTAGCTGGAAATCACAAGATACCACCACGTTTGTTGTTCCGGTTGAATGTTCAACTAGAATCGGACCGAAAAGGTCTATTGAATTAATTTCACTTATCAAAAACTGTGTTTGTGTTTTCCAGTATGGCGCATATTTTATTAAAAGTAAATCTGTTTAATTTTCTTGTCGTAGAATTAGGATTTATATATTATATGTGATTACTTCTCTACTAGTATGTTTATATACAGACCTGCTAGAAGGCAGCTTTTTATCCATACATCAGATGACCATCCATTAAACTTTATCCGTGCGACGAAATGGTCACCAGCTAAGAAGAAACGTATTCTACCGAATCTTTTCAAGTAAGTTATTTCTGTTGTCCGGGATACCGAAATTTTAGACTGTGATTTACAGATCTTGTAAACTTTTAGTTGCTAATTTGCGAAGATTTTTCAAATTTAAATCCTTGTTGTACTCATATCAGAATTACTGTTTTTGTTTAGCTTGAATTGATTTATTTTTAGACGTTCGAATGAAGGTGACTGGTTATTCAATAATCATTTTTCGATTGCATATTTTCGTGAAAAAGGCGCCTTCAAATTGGATTCCATGTATAAACAGGTTATCATTAAAGTCTTTTGCCTATAATTCTTTACAAAAAAACTTTAAGAAACACTTGAAGTGCTTTGATATGTGATAAAATTTATACATTATGTATGATTACTTTTCTGGTCCAAACTTCTTTATTTTATGAACCAGTTGGTTTATCGTAGGTACAATACCTTAATCTTATAATGCATGATATGATCATTGTTTGTTTTAAACTTTTAAGCTTCTATGAATGCTTTTAGCTATTACCACTCACAATTGTGAAATGGATTCAGATTGATTGTGAGATGATTTTTCATAAAAAAAAAAAAAAAAAAAAGTTTCAGTTATATTACTTTGAATTTAATTGAAAATCCAATTTTCATGTTCTTTCCAGTTGTTAAGTGGCGATTATGATGCCCATTATGCTAGAGATGATTGTGAAGCTTTGCTGAAAATTTGCATAGCATATGGAGAAGAATTTGTGGAATATGTGGACACGCATGCTGTTAAATTTCCATTTTAGAAAGGAGCATAAATAATATATCAAAAGCTATCCATATCTTGTTTATCAAATCTAATTCTTCTTTAAAACTTTGCATAGCACAGACTATTTTTTCTTGTTTAATCTAAAAACACTTGAATTGCAATTGAAGAGCTGGGAAAAGAGTGTAATCATAATAAATTCGATGGAAATTTTTCCTATTACCTATGTTTTAGTTATCTTTTTCAATTTATCGCAGCCTTATTTATCTATGTATTCAAAATGTCCGATATGCATTACTGACTGTTTTTGCTTGTTTAAGTATGTTGCATATATATATATTAGTGACTGGTTTGACTAATCTGTGATTAATGCGAGATTTGAATCTTGTATGTATTGTATTACACTGATGACCATTTCAATTTCTTTTATAACTTTTCATTTCTTAAAGGAAACTACATTTTTTGTGAAAATTTTCATGAAAATTGCTTCCAAGGCAAATCGTTCTATGTCTGTTTACAAGTAACATAAGCATTGTATTTGCGTTATTTTTTTTCCCATAGATCATGTTGTACATTTTTGCAAATTTCTTTTCAATTCCTTATTTTCATGATTTCTTTTGGTGATTGGTAACTGCACTTCTCTGAACCTATTCACTGATTTCACTATAAAAATCCTTATTTTATGCTTATATTTAATTGTCTATGTGTAATCAAATCTAAACAAAACATTTTTCCGTTTCTCAAGGCTGATGCTGTAAAACAGCTTCTAAAAACAAACCAAAAGAAATGTATTAACCTATGAAATACACTATTGTATTATAATACGTAATTGTTGAAGTGGAAGATAGGATGAGTGACGTTAACAGTGAGAGTTTCTTTCTGCACTGAACTGGTAGCATATAAAGGAACAGGTTATAGTAGTGATGTGATGGTTGCTGAATATTGCATGTCTCTTGAGAATATAGCTGCCAGAGTACGAGACAGGAAGGTCAAATTCAAGTAAAAATTACATTATCTTTCTATCAGGGTTTTCCTAAAGAATGAGAAGTTTTATCGGTAAGTAACATTCTTCTTATTTTGTCTGACAGGATGGAAATTTTTTAGTGTCAGGGAGTCATGAGATTATTGTTAAAACTTATTAGTTAAGAGAAGTGATGTAGTCTGCATCATTCATTATTACTTCCAGAACTAGAGTTTATCGAAAGCACTTTAAAATATTATTTCTACTAATCTGTTGAAGTATTCTATAGTCTTCATCCAAATACTATAATTCATCAAATAGAGGTACTGATTGTAATCTGGAAAATATAAATGTGAAGAACAAAACTCGATATATATTTAAAAAGGAAAAAAAAATAGATATATGAAAGATAAGTTGACAACACTCATTTCTTTTTACTCTCTGATTTATTGAAGTTCGTTCTTTCTACACTGACAGACTTTCCATAATTATCTTCATCACGACATCATTACTTGTCTTCTCTCTATACCGTTCATCTCATTCATCTATGAACAATTTGTCCGAATGCCATCATATCGAATGATGATAGATAGATAGCTGAAAGATATTTCCGGTTTTGTTGTGCCCAAACTATCTGTACTCTTTGCGCTTCTCAAGCTCCAATGTTCATAAACTTTATTACTCCATCATTCTCTCTTCCATTCTCTTTTCATTACCGATTGGTCGATTTTCTACTGCTATCCATCCATCCATCCATCCATCCATCCATCTATCCATTCACTCATCATCTATCCACCATTATCGTTTCAGATGAAATTGGTGTAAACTTGTCAACGCGACACGATGCATATCTTTTTGTCGGCTGATTGGTCACTCAAGGCCAAGGAATATGACATTTTCAAAGTATACTTCTTCATTCACTACATACCAATGTTTTGTTTAACTTAAAATTTATTCATTTTTTGTTAAATTTAATTTGAAATATGATTTATGTATAATGTATCTGTTTAATATCTTTTTTCTTTTCATTTCCTTTAATGGCTTAGCGAAATTTTATTAGATGACAATCTGGACAAATGACATTGCGGATAAAAAAAAAAAAAAAGAACAAAAGAGTATGAATTAAATAAGCACACGAAATTTTTCAATACAAATTTTTTAAATACAAAAAAAAAAAAAAAAAATTAAAAAAAAAGTTACTTGTTCTGTTGAATTATTTACGTCAAATTAATATTGGTAATTGTATTTTGATGCCTAAATGAAGTCGGTATGAAATACTTCGAAAAAAAAAAAAAAAAAGAAAACTGATAATAATATCACTGATGGAAAATAATTATACTAAGGATTTAATACTAAGATATATATATTTCTTTTATTTGTAATTATTTCTGATTAAAAAAAAAAAGAGAATTTTGTACGAAGACTAAAACCTGAAAGAAGATATAAGAAATTTTAAAATGTTCATAATTTAGAGCCATGAATTGATCTCATTGTTGAACTGAGATATTTTGTTTGCTTTTTATTGATGTACTGCTATACGTCATCACTCAACTGTTCTTCATTTCATCTCCTTCATCACTTTACCATCTACTCATTCACTGGGCTCTTTTTTCTTCTCTAGTCATCTTTTAGTAATCAATCAATCAATCAATCCTAATACCTTTTTAGCAGTCCCATTTTCCTCACAAACACTCCCCAACAGATTTTATGTTTCAAGGAAGGAATTAATTACATTTAATTTTTCAAATTTTAGATGGCCTATCATAAGGAGAATGTGCAACCGGAATTATTTGAATTCGTAAAGGTATGTATGTGCAATATCACGAAGTGATATATTTCCTTACAATTTTCCGAAGCTAACTTTTGTCCTTTACTCTATACCGTATCATTTCACGCGACACGTAATGTTGCATACATGTTGCACGCGAATGCGAGGAAGGGCATGGGTAGTGTGATGATTGAATTTTGCAGAGGGTAAGGGTGAATAAAAACTGATGTAATTGGTCAGTGAGATATTTGTGATGTTGGAGTGATTATTGGAAATATTAGTTGTATTAAGTTAAGCAGTTTTCAAGAAATCTGAGATGAAGTTTTACAGTTGATTCAAGTTAAGCTTACTGGGGATACGTATGCAAATAAAATTCTTCTATCATTATTGTTTTATTTTGAACATTTTTTCTTCTCATATCAAAGAGTTGGAATATTCGTTTCCTTTTACTTTCAGGCAACAGTTGTTCAAAAGTCTGAAGATGAAGAAATAACAGTGGAGATGCAGGAGTCTTCTGACAGTGAAAGCGAGATTGAACCATCTGTATATGAAAAGAGAAGAGAATTGAATGCTTGGCGAACCGTTCTAGCTGAGAAACTGTTCATCGAGGCCAAAAAAAAGCTTTATGCTGAGAAATTGAAGCAGGTTGTTCCTTTTTTTTTTTTTTTTTTTTTTTCGACATTTGTCGTTCTCTCGTTTCCTACGTGAAGTTCAAAAAGTAATTATAAATTTCATGCATAAACACTGGGTACAGATTTTGATAAATTAGACTTTGGGATAGGTTTTGTAGGCATAGTCTATGAGTGAAATGAGTGAATGAGTGAAATTTTTATGTGAAGATTGTTAAACCTGCCGAAATTTAATTTTACATCCGTCTAAGATTTTTATTAATAAATATAAGATAATTTGCTACTGTCGTTTATGTGTTATAGCTGGAAAAGAGACAAGCTGAGGTTTTGAGCCAAGAAGCAGTAGATTTTATCAAGAAAAAGGAAGAAATTCTTAAGGAATATCATGATAGATTGCAGGTGAAGTGTTTTGCTTTGCTATTTTTTGTAGATTCTTATAATGCTAACTGAAGGTCTAGGATGAGTTTTAGTATATTTTCTTTTTTTTTCTTTTTCTATAGTAAAATACAACACTTTTTTTGTGCTTGTAAGATCTTAATGTTCCTTCTATGAAGAATATAATTTTATTAAAAGCCCAAAACAGACAAGAAAATAATACGAATCACATTATAGAAATGCAATTGTTTATTAGTTCTGGCACAGTTCTGTTTTGAACGCAAGCACATTTTAGTACATTGAAGTTATTCGGGCGTTGCGGACTGAATCGTTAAAGAGGCGTACTATCGGTCAATTAGAGTGTGCCCAGCAGAATTTAAATAATAATAAACGGATGGCTTATGAAAAGATCGAGACAGATATTTGGACAAGGATGCAAAAGCTAGATGATGACATGAAAAAATGCGTAAGGGAGTATGTAAATTTCTGTCGAGGTACTGTTTTTTCCCATTTTTTTGTTTCTTTAGTGATGTATGTCTATAGTGTTATCTTTTTCTCCTATATATATAAAGTAGATATATATTTCTCTTCGCAGTCATTCTGCAAAACTGCAACACCGTTCTTTTACATTTCTATGAATGGCAACGATTAACAGAGTGTATGGCAGCAGGGACAAGGTTTATGTTTTTAATCATACGTTAAGTAGGTAGTTTAACTGTTTCAGAATTCGAACGAAGTAAGGAACGGGAACGGAGGAAACGAAAGCGTTATCCAGTGGCCAATGTAATTGAGCGGTTATTGGGTGATGCAGTATCCTCGCTGATAGATCCATATAATGAAAATGTTGACGAGGATCTCTATGTCTGCGAACAAGCTTTACGAGCTGTAAATGGAGGAGAAAACTAGCAATAGTTCAATCTGCATTTTCTATAAATAAAAAAATTCCTCATTAGCATTTCTATATTTCAAAGAAATCTCGCTAAGAATTGTGAGATTTCTCGGACATTTCATGGACAAAGTTTTCAGCATGCAAAAACTATATTGCGATGGCTGTGTTGCTTAATATGAAAGGTAAAAGATCCATCGTTTCTACTTGATTTTTTCTGGTGCTCTTGTTAAGTAGACAAATAATCTTTAGCACATTTATTAATGTTTGTGTTTTATTTAGATAATAAAAAGAAATGTTGAACAAATATTAGAAATAGACCAATTAAAAAGATATGTTCAGTTAAAAGGATAAAATGAATTTCAGTTAGAAAAAATTTGTATCCTTTATTGAAATGTTAGTTTTCTGATACGTTGTGAACCGGTAAACCATCTAGCGACTAAATGCATATTCATGTTAGCAAAATTATGAATTAATTGTTCATACTCATAAAATTTTGATTTGTTATTGCTCTTTTCTTTAATGCTCATTAATATTCCAGACCATGTTTGAGAATCTGTGGATTAGAGGGATTTAGACTTTTTGAACTTGATAGATTACAGTGACATCCTTTGAGGTCGGATCCTATTTTGAAAGCCTGAAGATATTTTACTGAAAGCTTATAAATATTCGACATTGCTCAGGGTCGTCATAATTACTTATTAACAGTATTAGAACATTTTCTTTTGCTCTTGTTGCCCTTATTAACCATTACTGTTCCTTTGATTTGTCTGATTGATTGTGTTCTCACTTTGCATAGTTTTGTTCGCCAAGCGGATTACCAGTAGCCGCTGAATTTTATTGACCATTTAGAAAAAAAAGAAAAACAAAAAAATAGATTTTTAAATAATGGTAGTCTTTCGACAATCAGTATACGTCATTGTAGTTTCAGCTGCAGAATTTCATGTTTCGTCGTAGTTTATCAGTTTTTATTTTGAGTAATTCTGTTAGACCGGCTGCCATAGTGAAAAGAGTTTCATTTACCAAACAAGTATCATATGAAATATTGCCTTGTATGTGAATATATCAAGTAGTTGTTATTGCTTAGCAGGAACTTCAGACTGTGTTTTAATTTTTACTGTGTTTGTACATTTTTTCATATTTTAAGAAGAGAGGATGAACTTGACGCAAACTTTTGTCCCTGAAGTTATCGCATTCTCAATTTCTTAGATATTTAAAAAATCCAATGATTGTTTATCTCTGTTATTTCAAGCAAACATTCTCCTCGGAATGTTTGCCTGAAGGCAAAGCTGTCATTTAACTGAATTCGAGAATGCTCTCTTCCTCAACCATTATATCTTACCTCAACGGTGTTACATTATTGGAGATTTTTTTAAGGTACCGGTAGAGAGATTTCTTATTTTCTATTTGTTTCATATAGTATATGATGTGCATAAGGAAGTATTGAGATTTTCTTGTCATCCATAAATAAAATAAAAACATTTCACGGAACGATGATGTTCATTTACCTGCTCATTTTGTATCGGTATTTATCAGAAGCGAAATATGGAAACAGCTTATCTCGTCTCCTTTTTTTTTTTTTTTTTTTTTGGCGACAAGGAGAATTTATTGGTTAGGTGAAGAAAAGAATTAGGTTTTTCGTTAATTTCAATTTGTAGTATTTCTAAAATGGTTTGTGATTTCTAGAAGGTAATCGCTGCATCTGAATTTATCGCATCCTCAGTTTTGATGGAGTGAAACAATATAATTTGTATGACTCTGCTTTCTGACGTGGTGGTATTAGTTTTCCTGAAATGTGTCTCTTACTGGAATTTTAGTTGCATTGAATAATGTTAGGTATACAATTGGTTCAAAATATGTTGACGGAAGTAAGGTTTTTAGAATGAGTGGAAAGGATGAGGCGCAGTCTAACGAGCTTCAAAGGTTGATTTCTGATGGTATGACTCTTGTATGTGCAGGAAACAGTGACGAGAGCTTACAGTCATCACATTCTCAACCTTCAGCTCCAATAGCTAATATTACTGATGACTTTTTTATGGAATGTAAAAGTGAGTTTTAAGTTTGATGTTCTCTTTTTTTTTTTCTTAGATTGCTTGGGAAAAGTTAAATTGGGTAGTGTGGAAGAAACGGCCAACTAAATTTTTCAAAGCCAGTTTAGGGGAGAAAGAAATAAGTAAAACGGCACTTCAGTTTGCTGGTTACATATGCAAATATATATATATATATATAAATGAAACATAGCAATGGTATTCATGTCATTACAAATTTTTCCTCACGAAAGTTTCAGAGTTAAACAATGGAGAACTGGTAATGGCTGATGATTTTCAACTATCGGAGGCAATGAGTGCAATAGGTTAGTTCTTTATACGCACGTTTTGATTTGACCTACTCATTCATAACCGCCAGACTATTGCATTGTGAGCAGCATTTCAAACTTGCTGTTCGAAGTTAAATCTCAAGACAGTCCTCGATTGTTTTAAATATTGATGTCCTAGTTGTAAAAATTCTATTTTATTTGCAAAGTCGAAAATTTTCCTTTTGTTTTTGCTTCAAAATTACTGGAATTATTAGGAATTTATATTTTCTGGATTAATTTATTTTTTGCAAAGGGTTCACAGCATCTAGAAAAAAGTTGTAGAGCTTATGGATCCAAAAATGGATATTGGCATGAAACCTTTTGATCCATCGACAGCTTTTGAAAGTTTAATAGCATCTGGTCGCCTAAACATTACCAGTATGGATGAGCGGGAAATGATAGCAACAATGGATGCTATGTTAGCTTCACTGATTTCTTGGCTTGAGGGGAATTCTATCGCACAAACGGTAAGAATCTTTCGATAACAAATGCAGATGAAGTAGTTTTTTTTTTTTTTTTGATGTGGTTTTTTTAACGTGTTTTTTACATGAAAATGTTTCTACTGTACTGCCAGAACGTATTTGGAAAACACAGGTTACAATACACTATGGTTATATTTTATTAGTCAACCTTACTTCATGATATTTATATCAAAAGAGATTCAAAAAAATATTCGGAATATTTATCCACTACTACTGTCTATTCTAAAATAATATATCCCAATATTGATATTTTGCAGTTGTTGACATGTGTTTTCTTGAATCATATGGATTCAGTAACCGATTCTGTGCTATCAGCTTTTTCTTATGGTGTTTTGGAGCTTACAACAGTTTTTCGTCATATTATACAGATGGCATCTGTTTATGAAGAAGTACTCATTGCTCTATCTTGTTTGAAACCTTTACTGCGCTGCCTTTCTTTCAAGATGGTCTTGTTAAACGTTCTAACGAGGAACAAATATTATTCTTGAGTTACTGTAGTAATTTTCAGGATTCATACATAAAAATAGTTTCACCAGAACCTTACAAGCTGAAGGTAGTACAACAGTTTTTCAATTCTAGAAAACTAAGTCTCTTCGTTACTAGCATTTAAAATTAACGTTATCGATAACTAGAAATTTGTTGATTCTTCGGTTTATCAGAGCGCTTTTGCTATCCACATTGGTATGTCATGTTCGGGAAAAGACGTTATATTTCTAGACAGATAATTTTCGAATATCTTAAATCATTTTTAATGTTTGCATCGTAAATATATAAGTTTTATGTTAAGTAAAACTAATTCGTTTAGGAAGACTTTAATGGGTATGCAGCACAGTTTCATCTGTTGCCGATACCTAAATTGACGAGTTCGTTGAAAGCAACTGAAATTGATTTGCAGCGGAGAATAAAAGTGGGTTTATTTCATTTTTTGCAACAGCTATTGACTGAAGAAACTTGATTTTCATTAATGGAATAATTTTTGAAGCTACAATATGAAACATATTTTTGCAAGGAAAAGGTACAAGAATTAGCTGATTTCGGTAAACAATTCTTCACAGAAGCAGGAAAATGGTGTGTTTATCGTTAACAACTCGTATTAATTATAGAAAGAATACTTCATTATAGCAAAAACCAGCCAATCAGGAATTACTGGATGCGGTGCTATATCGTATACAATTCATTCGCTTTATGCTTCTTTCACTCAGTTTATTGGTTCATTCTCCCACGAATTCTTATTCTCGATCAAATTCTCATTATTTCAGGTAAGCCAGAAATTCTTAGAAATAGATGTCTTTTGCTAATTACTTAACACTAAATCGTGTTAATTTATGAGAAAAATCTGTTTTGTTCTGTTTGTCAATCTACTAATTAGGTTTCAATATAGTTCAGGAATTCTTTCTTCTGAAAAAGATCAATTTTTTTCTCCATTACCAACTCAATGATTTTGAGTTTTTTAAATAAAAACTAGCAAGCTGTAGGCCCAATCTGGAAGAATGTGCTTTACATTTGAACATTGTTTGTCTATTATTGGACAAAATGGAATCAACCATATCTTTGGGGTTGCAACCACCGGAAAAGAATGATGGTATTTTATATAATGCTTCTATTTGTTTAATTTTAATTTTCCACTTTGAGATTTTGATGCTGTATCTCAGATGTAGATATAGTTGGTTTCTGAATTTTACTGAAATATTTACTTATTCATAGTTTTATGAAACCATTTCGTTTATTCGCTTAACAAACGCTCAATATTTTGACACTTTTTTTTCTTGCTTTTAACGTTTTTATTTCTACAGAAGATTATGCTTGGTTACCGGCATTCGAACCTGATATAAACAGAAGGCAGTTACCGCCAACATTTCCACGGAATACAAAGATGATAAATCGAACGGAAACTATACGATATTTAAAAAAACTTTGTTCAAAAATTTCATCTATTACCACTGAATTGCCTTCAAAAATTTCTAATATTGAAGACATAATTGTAATTTTTTCTTACTTCATTGGAAAAGATTTGCTAATCTATTAAACTGTAAACCTCTAAGCATTAATTCTTTTTGGAGGCATCTATTTGCTTCATCTATGTTTAAAAATGCTTACTCACTCTTTTTGCAAATTGAGATTAGGAACAATGAAGTAAGCTTTTATTAGTGTGCTAAATCATATATAGAAATTATAGTTGTGAAGCTATGTTAGGAATTCAAAATTAAGGAAGTTGTGTACTACTGATTTTAATTTCGTGCCTTATCAATTTTTAGGATTACTTGCGAACCTTTAGCTTAGCAGACAGTTGTGTTTTATCCCGTTCGCTGCTGCAGATGGTTCTATTTCCCAGTGACGATAATATTTTGGGACGTGTGCAGCTCTCCACTGTCATTGTTGATTCAATTCGCATATTTGCTGCACCACCAGTTCTTGATTCAATGTAGATTTTTAAAAATATCAACATTCTTATCCTTGATAAATGTCAATAACTCTGCCGAATTTTTCTAAATAATTCTTTCATCTTTTGCTTTCTCTCTCTCAAAAAAAGGGAGATTGATGCTCTTGTCATGTTTAAAGAAGTTTTTTGTGTTGTTTAAGAATCATTATTGAATTATTTAGGAATCATTATATTGAAGCGCTTGTGGTGGAATAATTTTTGATTTTGTTGAAGGAGTCAGGCCTTCAGCGTTGAACAGTGTCGTGAGTGCTGGGAAGAATTTGTGAATGATTCAGTAAAAGTTTTTCTCGGTGTAATTCAAATGTTTGGGCTGAATCCAGCTAGACAACGTGAAAAAATTGTCTGCTGTATTGAAGATTTCTCGACATTGCAAGCTGAGGTTTGTTTCTGTTCTTGATACGATGACATCTTCGACCATTTTAGTTGTTTAAAACAGATTGAAAACTTGTAAGCTTAATAGTTTGCGTGATGCAATCTAACGGTAGTAACTGTTTTTATTTAACTCCTGAAACTTGATCATTTTTCATTATCGAGGTAAGGCAACAAGAAAGTTGAAGCTATGTTAAATGTGTTTTTTGTTTTAGGCTGAACGTGCGGAGAATGCATTTGATTTGTATTACTTCGGCCAGGAAGCAACGATAAATCTCTCGTTGACGTCTTTCGTGATGTTACATACATTATCTCTTATAAAATATCATTTCTATCTGTCATTTTACCTCGATCTCTTTGCCTCATTTGAGTACTCATATGTTTATTGGTGAGCCTTTTCATTTTTTCCTCAGTTATAATTATAATTCTCCAAATAAATCTTCGGCTGATTGTAGAGGTGAATTTATATAATCAATTAATTCCCTTCAGTTTCAGATCTTGAGTAATATAGATTTTTTTTCCTTTTTCCAGAGCTGTTACAGATGGGATAATTTTTTGATTTTTTCTCCTTATGCAGTAACTTTTCGGCTTTTTCTTATACTAATTGTTGCATTTTTTTTCCCTTTACTTTTGGAAAAAGAAATGGTCTTTTACAGGTATTTAGGTGAAATTATATTTAAATGGTTAGTCAATACGTTAGACCGTTCTGTCACGCTCGTAGCTGCTGGCGAGAAAAGAAGTGAGCTTTTCTAAGTTCTTTGATATAAATACATACATATACTGCTTTAAGAAATGTAATGCAGTATTGCAAATCAGTCAAAAAAAGACTGAGGTGTTTGTTTGAAATTCCAATTAACAGAATACCGTTAAGCAAATAATCTTGCAGTGTCGAAAGTGCGGAAAAAAAGTGACCGCAAAAAATTGGCTAAGTGTAAGAAAGAAATTGAAATGAAGAAGAAAGCTGTAGAAAAGCAAAGATTTTTATTATTTTATCGAGCACAGGCTAAAGTAGCCGAAGCATTTTTTATGGTTAGCTATTTCTGCACAGCTTTAATTTTTATTGTGCAAACCTCTTTCGATCATCGTCGGAATTAACTGGTCAGTGGGACGTATTTCATCGCTATTTACAACATTTTCATGTGTGCTTAACAAATGCTCTTAGCTCCTAGTTTTCTAGTTTTTATGTGCATTTACTTTGCCTTTTTGAGTACTTCAAAATATTTGACGATGGCATAGCGGTAAATTACTTTTGTAACGGATATTTTGAAATGTTATAGGCGGCAGTTGCTTTGATAGCAACGGGTAAGATTCGAATGCCTTTATCAGATACGGAACAGTCTCGTTTCGAGCATCGCATGTCACCTTTTTCGTCTCTCAACTCTGTCACTTTCCGCATTGCTCTTTTTGTTGAATATGCTCAGTATATCCACATCTCAAGGTCATTTTGTCGTATAATTCCCGATTGCATAATATTTTTTGTAATTGACACTTCCGTGTAGGAGTAAATAAGAAGTACTCTAAGAATTAGATTTTGATAGATAAGAAGAACTAAGTTCAGTAGTGAAGATTTATCTCATTTTCAGTAATCTTTTGGTTTTTTGGTTTCACTTTAGAGTAATGAAATTTTCAAAAATAAAAAAGATGTATCTCATTATCTTCTCAATCAGAGAGTATGCGATAAGTTTTCCAATCCGGTTTTTGGAGCGATTTGAAATAACTAAAGGCGTTGATTTAAGTGTTAGGATATAATTTTTTGAACTTCAGGATAGAATCGTTGCGAGCGCTTGGTGGAGCTAAGTGTTTCTCAATTGCAGCGGATGCATTTGACTGGGCTCGAGGTGAGTTAGAAAGTTTGAGCGGTAATGATGAAATCGCGCAGGAAGCTGCTGCTATTGCCCGAATATGTAAGAATAACGCAGTTGTTTCACGGATAATTTCTTCGGGCAGCAAAAATGAGGTAAATCTGATCCACTAGTGATCGTTATGTAATATTTTATTCACTATCTGAATCATTAAAAATACGTGAAAGGAAGAAAATATTTGCTGTGCTTTATTATAACGATGTTTTTGCTTTTAATTCAAGACTTCGAATGATGACTTTAGGAATGTCATAATATTTCCAGTGATAAGTGTGTCTACTTTAATCTTTTATTATATTCTCTTGAATTATCGATTACAAACCATTCCATCATCTCAGTTCACATGAGATGGATTCCGTAATAAGATCTCTTTATCGTTTTTTCATACGTCATCATTTTTTCAGTCTCAAATCGATTTTGTATTCAATGGCGACTCATCATACATGTATCCTTTGCTCAAAATTACTTGATCAAATATGGCAGCGATAGATTTTTCTCCTTTTCATTTTTTTTTTATTAAATGTTGCTAGACGTGATATTTTGATATTCTTTTACATATATTAGTATTCATCAAATCTGGTGAATACTTTCTTATGTAATTTGTTTTATATCATTTTTTTTTTTTTTTTTTTTTTGATGGCCCAGTTGCGGAAGTGTTAATTCTACTTTTTTCATAGAACGTTTCACTCACTTTGTATGAAGTGGGAATAAAATGCTGTATTCAGATAGTTCACGTCAAACTTCAAAATTTAGTCTCGACAGCAATTTATTGCGACTTATAGCAAATGTATTCGTGCGTAGAATAGGGATGAGTGCGACTTTGTCTGGAATTTAGAAAAAACGGTCATAGAATTACTTTATTTGATTTAGTAACAGCTGGAATTTGAAATTCAAGTTGAATTTGCAGTTTTTGCTAGGTTTCTCGCATACATAAAAACTTTTTGTGGCAACTGCTTTGCTCTGTGGTAGTATAAAGACAGGTTACTACATTATATTGAATTGTGAACTAATGTTGAGCATTCAAGATAATATCGTATTTTGTAGAAATTTTTAATATTTCATGAAAAGTTTTATTTTCATTTCTGATAAAATCCCCTGCAAACTGATGCAAGGATTCGGTTTTCTATTGCTGTCTGGGAAGCTCATTTAATGCATTTTTCTTTTTTTTTTTTAATTCAGCAGTGTTGAAGATTTCATCGCTAGCTGTTGATTTATGTCCGTTATACTTTCTTTTTGACTTTGACTGTTTAGTTGCTCATTTATATTAGGACACATTTAAGTTGACTGCTTGAGATCAGAAGTGTCTTAGTTAGTTTATGAAATTTTTAACTTGTAGTTTTGAATTGTTTACACAGCATTTTTTTACACAGCTTTTTACTTTGTATGTTTTATTTTGAATAATGAATAGAACTTGTGAACTCTTGTTCTTCACTGTCATCTCTTTTGAAGTGATATGTTTGGGCGAGACAGATGGTACCGGTTGCGATGATCAACTGGTGTTAGGAAGATGGCAAAAAGTAATGCAAGATCGGTTTTTCTATTTTCCTTATGATAGTAAATGCTTACTTGTTACAATGTTCTTTCAAATCTGTGCAATGGTTTTCCTTTAGGAGTTATTTATACATGATGTTAAAATAAAAAAAATGAATTTACAGGCTAGTTTTGTGTGTACTGTTTAGCATCACCATATATTAAATCATTGAAAGAATCAAAAATCGTCTAAATTACGTATTAATTCCTTCCTTATACAGGAGGAAGGATTGGAAGTAAACGAAAAGTTGACTGTTGTGAAGCTCTATTAGATTATCGAAATACTTTTCAAAGTACTGGGGTATAGGAATTATTTAAGGGTTTTGAGTAACTGATTAGAGCAGTATAACTGTGTCAAGAGTGAATGGATTTTTTTTGTTTGTGTGATGACATTGAGGCAGCTGGTCACCAAATCTCGTATTATGTTGTATTATATGGTAATTCTCAAATAAAGTAATCTTTTTCATGCGGAAATTTCTTTCGAACTTCAATTTTCCACAATTATATAGGACAACAATTATAGAATCAACTCTGGTGATTGAAACTTCGAGTAGATATTATTAATGACATGCCTAAGCCTGTATTCCTTCGACGATTTGCTATGACATTCCGACACTGTGTACGAGAGCACGCATCAGTGGTAGAGGAGCCAAGTACTGATTTGCTTGAAAAGGCTACCGTTCGTCCGTTTGTTCTTCTGTAAGTAATCATTTTCTTGCATCTATTAATACATAGGCAGTTTTTCTACTGCGTGAAGCGGATTTTGCAAATTCGTTCCTCACTGCACTTAGGATCCTTTTTTCTGCTAAGTAATGTTTTAATACCACAGAATAGCATAAATCGAATTTTGAGTTGAACTTTAGAGATTTTCGAACGAAACTGTTCTTTTATTCCAGAAACTATGTGGATGATATTTTGAAGGAGAGGGATCATTTCGGTTTCAAGAAAATGATTACCATAGATGATTTATTCCATGCACGAGTACACTATGGCCATAAAGTAAGTTAATAATATTTCATGAACAATAATAACGAAAAAATTACGCTATACTTCATCTGAAACGAAAGAATAGAGAGTTGCGAGAACTTCACACTAAGTCTCAAGCCTTCCACATTTTTTCCAGGTTGGAACAGTGAATGACAGAATGAAATGGTCGTTATTTGGCGAACGTTTAGGTATTTGTATTTTTGATTTACAGAAAACGCGTGAATGCTTGATTACGGCATTAAATTTTGTTGCTCATTTAGCAATGCGTGGTGGAATGTTCCTATTCATTACGACAGAAAGGTGAGAGAATTAGAACTGATTTAATTGAAATTAATTAATTAAGCTGCAAAATCTCATGCTACAATTGATAACTTCAGAAGTGTTACTAGAGTAAGCTAGGTCTATCAGTGTAATATTTTTGTTTCTTCAGAAAAAAATTTTTTTTTCAGGAATAATATGCTAATGGTTGAGCGAAAAGCTCTAGAAATAAATGAGTTTGCGCACGTGCGTGGTTGGAAAGAGGATACTTTACTTAATGCGAAAGCATTATTTGGTGCACCTGTACGTTTGCCGGACACGATCATATTCCTGTCTACATTAACATCGGTTTGCTTATTTTCATACACTGTTATTTTTTTCTTTCTTTCTAAGCAATGTTCACTTCTTAATCTCCAACTTCAAGACTTAAAGTGCTCTATTTTAATAAAAAATAAATAAGGCTGTTAGATATTTTACGAGAATAATCACTTTCCTTTTTTTAATCTATCAACCTTATAATGTGAGAAAATTTTATGACGTTTCTTTCTCTTTTTTTTAATATTAAAAATTCATAGAATGCGAAGTATGAAAAACTTATCTATAAAATAATTTATGAAACAAACACTTTTTCTTAAAATTCAATTTTCATACAGAAAAACACTCCAGGTATTAGAGACGCATCCAGCAGTACGCGAAGCAGCAAAAATGGTAATTCCAACGATTGGTATCGTCGATTCCAATGCTGATCCTACCAATATTACGTACCCGATTCCCGGAAATGATGACTCAGTATCCAGTGTACAGTATTTTATGGATTGTTTCGTTAAAGCTGTCAAAGTGGGAAAAGAAGCACGACGGTCGTTACTTTCTAATTAACAGTTAACGACTCTAAAAAATTGAACTTACTTTTATTTAGCATATTTATAGCCTGAATCCTGTTATTAGTGCCTAATTGCTTCAAAACTAAGTCATGCATTTCTATCAACATTACCATTACATTAATAGCTTAAATTTTTTATTGCTGCTTCTGTACTGGTATGCGTTTTGCTGATAACACCGGAGATAGCAAACTGGAAGCAAAATAAATTAACGCTGTAAAAATCGTGTTAGCAGAGGGAACCAAATCACAGTTTGAAGTAATGCCCTGAACTCACTAGAGAAAAGCCACAACAGCTGTCAGTTATTAGTTGTTCTTCTTCTTTTTCTTATCTTTTACTGGAACGGCTGTCTGAAAATTATCTTGATGATCATGAGATATTGCTATTAAAAATCAATATGCATTATAAGTTTTAATGTGGATGAGTCTAAATAGCATCATAAATTGTGTTTATGATACAAGAGAGATTTACCGTCCCAAGAACAATCCGTTTCTTCTCATCCTCATCTATCTCGATTGATGGATGTTCCACACCTGTTAAACGATTTCGTAATAATTTCTGCTTCATGAACTGAAAAAATTATATATTGAGTAATTATGAAAAATATCACCCTGGTTTGTTCTAAAAATGGTCGAAATTATATGGTTAAGGATGTTTGAAAATTTACAAATACATTAACTTTTCCAAAAAAAAAAAAAACATCTCCCATCTTTATCTTAAACCTACATCTGACTTCAGTAATCAAAGCAAGCCCTTTATTAAAATAAGGAGTAGTACAGCAGCACAAGTAACGCATTATCTGGTTTTAAGGCTTAACAAAAAAAGAATGTCCAAAACCGAACACTTGACCTGTTGAAGTAGTACTCGTCGACAACGTTGCTTAATTGCCAAAGCGAGATCCAGCCAAGTCCAATTTTTTTCATGATATTCACACAACGGGAAAACTAGTTGAAATCGATCGACATCTTCAATATTCTTCTCTTTGTTACCCTAAAAAAGGGAACAAAATTACTGACCTTCAGAAATTGCAAACAAAGCAAGATATTAGATCAATCAATACAAACTGGTTTTACCAATGAAATTAGGCTCAGGAACTCATTTGCTGATCTCTTAGTAAGGCTTGAAATAGATGGACTAAAAAAATTTTCATCGTATATAACAATATAAAACATTGCCTTGTATGAAACAATAAAAGGCACTTCGGGTATTTTGATGTACAGAAAAACATTATTTTCTTGAGCTCGTTCCTTCATGCGATCAATATCATCACGTAAATGACTAGAGTCATTTGTACGCCGAAATGAACCGTTCATGGCCCCACGTAACCACTGTCCAACTGATACACCCTATAAGGAAATATAATAAGATGCTTAAAATTTCACTAACTTTACAAGTAATTAAAGTAATTATTTTCAATAGACCAGATTTGACTTCCACTTGTCTTAATTTCAGATATAACAACCTGTTGGTATTCAGTGAAAATCAGTTCAACAATCTCAGAAATGTTGCTTCTATTCAAGTCCATAAAGTGGACTGAAAATTAATATACAGATTCGTTTACATAAAATGATCTCCGGATTAAGCAGTTCCGTGCAAAGCATCATTTTAGGTACGATGAAATTGTTGAAAATCTTTTGCCTATTTTGAGCTATCCGACTTATGAGTGCAAAGTTATGAAAAAAGGAAAACAAGAAATGTTATTCTTGGTAACAAAAATCTAGAACAGCCAAAAACAAAACAGATCTTTTAAACTAAACTTTTATTAAACTATCACTTCAGAAATGAAAAAAAAGCAACCTGATTGTTCTGCAGCTCTTCATTTGTATCGAGATTTCGTTGGTCTTCTTTATCGATATTCCTCCCAGGAAAAAAATACCCCATCATTTTTTCGAAGAATCGATAAGTAATTTGAGCATTCATGGGTGAAACATTTATCTCGAAATGTTCCTTTACCGAAATTCCACCAACTGAAATTGTGATCTTTATCGATGCTTTAGATAACCTGACGCAGTAGAATGATTGATAACTAAATAGCTAAATACTGAAATGAAAAAAGACAATTAAAAGACACCATTTAAAACATATATATATATAGGTTTACACGCAACATAAAACAAGGCATACCTGGCGCTTTTTCGCGACAAACAACGCGAATTGATGCTGGTTGACGTTCCGTTTTCTTTCGTGATGTATTTTGTGCTTGCAAAGTATGCTATAAAAAAAACTTTTCTTTCTTTCAACGGAAATTTTCGATATTTTACCACAGTCAGTATCACAGCAGTTAGAATATGAAATCAGTTATCTTCTTCAATTTTCATTTCCGAAAAAATTGAAGCGATTAAAACTTCAATAAAGAAATAAAGAAGTGGCAGGGTCCGAGACAAACTTATTTTAAATGCTGTTCTTCCAGTGAGACTGAAATCTCTACTTGAAATCTTTTATCTCAGCATTAATGCAATTTGCCATCAACGAGAAGCTAGGAACTGGAAATTAAGAGTTACAAAGAGTTAAAAGAATGCTACCTTGTAAAGAGTATCTGGAAGTAAATTGGTAACTTGCACAGTGCCAATCTCTAATAAATGTTCACCAGAATTATCTATACGCGCCGTACGTGTATACCTGAAATAACATTTGTAAGATGAACAATATTTTATTAAACAAAAACTGCTAGAAAATTCTTACAAAAAATTTCGTATTTGCATTTCTGCAAGAGCAATTTGTCCATCACTTTCTGTAAGCCTCCAAATACAGTCTTCAAAACATACTTCAAATCTGAAAAAAAAAAAGAAACCTTCAAAACAATGTTCGGACTTAAAACAAGTCAATGAATAAAATAAGCAGTTGAAATTCCTAAATCATAGAGAAATTTAATCATTCTTTAAAATTAAAATCTTTCCATAAATGTTTAGTTCGCTTATAAAAATAATACCTCCTAGCCACAGCAGCCTGTTCTTCCTCTGCAGCATTAACCAGTTGTCGCATTCTTTCCACTTGCTTCTCTTTATAACAACTTAAATGAAATGGAATTAAATTTTGTAAGATGAAGTATTATAGAAATTTCTACAAGATGGACAGAAGACCGGCATAAACGTCTTACAAAATTAGAACTGAAATTAAATTCATTAAGGTTATCGGTGTTCAAGTTTAACATATTTAAGTTATGGTTGAACCCACCTAATAGTCATTGCTAATTCATCACAGAGTACAATCTGATTTTTTTTCATTTCATCGATTTCTGCTGTCACATTTTTGTTAGCCTCCAATATTCTAAAATGCAATGTAGTAAGCAAACTAAACTTTTACAAACTAAAAAATAATTAAAAAATGAAAAAATAAAGTGATATAACGGCAAATTTCTTTTTAAACATCGGTGGGTTTCATCGTGAATTCCTATGTTATTGTGCTCATCATGTACAGGAATTTCCAGAATTCATATATTTCATTCCATATATTATTTCTCTTAAGACATATAACTATTAAAAATTACAGAAAAGGCTTACGCAGTGTCATTGCCAGACTCCTGTAACTGCCTATTCAGGAAAAATAAACGTCTCTCCAGTGAACGGATTACAGCAATAACATCTCGCAATTCTGCCTGTTTGCAAAAAATGGTAATAAGGCTTCAGTGATGCCAAAAAAATCAAACCCGATTTTTAAAACGATGCTTCATTCGTCTTACCTGGAGATGGTAAAAAGGTAATTTAAGAAATAAAGAACCAATGCGTTTTGTAAAGTAACCTCGATATTTTTTTCCAGGAAAAACTAACCTGCATGGCAAAAATAGCCGATTTCACTTCATCAACATCTTTAAGCTGCAATTCAAAACGCAGTCGTTGTCGCCGACGGTCACTTTCTTTCTTTCGTGGATCCACAAATAGAACCAATTGGTTTATAATATTCATCACCATTTGGTACTGCTCGGGATTAGTGCTGACCTAAAATTAATGATAGATTGTACTGTAGCTTGCTCACGTAATAAGAAATGATATAAAAAAAAGGATAATTGAAATTCTTGCCTCCAGCATGTTATGTTTTAAGGTAAAGCAATCAACGGGTTCTGGCTGGCCCCAAATTCCACCTGCCTCATTCGTTTCGCTGATCTATGAAAACTGTAGAATAATGAATTTGAAAATGGACAAAAATATATGCCGTAACAGTTTCATATTGCATTTCTCTAAACTATAGTGGTATTTATTTTTCATTTACATTCAACACATTCCTCATTGTTTATCATATTATTTTAATATATGAAACAGCTATTCAAAAGATAGTTTACCAAGAAATTTCATCTACGCTATTTACAAAGCATACCGAATAGGGAATGTCATGTGTATCAAGATCCAATGTATCCGAAAAGTAGCAAAAATACATTTGACAGCTACATCTCGAAACGACTCGTTGTAACTGTAGTTTTCCCTCGGTTTGTGCCACATTACCATGATTTAAAATAATGTTTAAGCTCATGATGCGCTACTAAAACGGTCTCAAAGATTCCCAGATTTGCATGAAGCAGTTCTCGGTCAAGAAAACTGTTTTAGTATTTTTTTTTTCATCTTGAGCAGTTATTATATAGATAAAATTAAAAATAGCTGGTAAATAAACTGCTTACCAACAACTACACCGCCCACGGCTTCCCCAGTGCTAATATAAGGATTCAAGCGATCACTGATATTAGGATCACTGCACGTTTTTTCCTCAATGATATCACGATTTAACCAATGGAATCCTTGTGGGATTGATTCCGACAGAGAACTTGATGGATTGAGATGCTGAGACATTACCAGGGGTGCAAAGTACTAAAATAGATTTGTAACTTAGTTTTCTTTTCGTATTGAATTGCAAACGGCATGCGCTAAAATGTGAAATTAGTTTGACCCAATAACTAAATAACTTTCTATTTACGGCACCATTACAAAAAAAGGAATACAAAAAAAAAAAAAAAAATACCTGCATCCCGGAAAGAGTCGCGCACCATGATTTCTTACTCAACAACTGCGATTTTTTCCAAACTAATGAATAGATGCGCTGAGTTACAGATGCACGGGCAGCAGTTAGTAAAACAAATCCATCCTTTTCTTTTCCCCGTAAAACGGCTTGGCTATTAATAAGATCAACTGAAATGAGAAATATATTTATACTTATTTTCTATACCAAAAATCATAGATCAGCAACTTACTTTGCCAGTTGATTAATGCGACGTCGTCAGCTGTACACAGTGCAATTCCTTGTAACATGTCCGAAGGAATGTCAGTTGTCTGAAATGCAAACAAATACTTCATGAATTAAATTCAATATATGACATAAGATGAAATAAAGTTCAAAGAAGAATAGATAGATTATTAAAATCAACTTTTCTTCTTAAAAGCTGGCTGTGCCCGAATCAGTAAAAGCAGAATTTGTAGTGGGAAACAAGTATTAACACGTTCTTATTTCGAGAGTTTGTTTATAAATATGTGAACATAGCTATTACGAAACTCTTCAATAAATCTGTAGTAGGATTATTTTATTTTACAAGTAAGAATTATTTAGTGGACAGATCTTTTCCTTTGGCTATATTTAAGGAAAAAATATCACTTATATTATCGAGTAGCAAGTATTTCTTTAACAGAATAACAAAAAAGTAGAACTTCTTCATCGTAAGCGACAAGTTTCGTACTGGCTTCATCAATTAATCGCTGCAGCATATCATTTTCCTCTGTTACCCGTCTATCAGAACCACATCGTGATCTGTAATAGCTAATATATGATGTGTAATAGCTAATCACTACACTAAACAAAATGAACTGATTCTACATATTTTCCACGACCAAGTTTTGTAGATCTTTCAAAAGGTCACATGTAAAGGAACAGCAAATGCAAATAATATTATCTCGTATTTATCACTGTTGCTAAATGTCTACAAACAAATTATATTTTATGCAATATAATAGTTATATTCTACAAACAAGAAGCTTGGTTATTAATGTAAACACCTGTTTGTCAATATTAATGAAATAATGAAAACTTTCAGCAAGATCAACAATACAGCAATACGGTAAAACAAATGACAATTTTTGTGCTACAGTGAAAAAAAAGACTAAGAACTCACTGATTTGTTTTGTCAGGATCAGAATGTAATCTTGAAACAGTCGATCTTACGGCACTCGCAGCATTTAAAGTAGCTGAAGATGGTGACAGGACTCCTGGTTCCGTAAACTGCAATTAAAAATCCGTGTAGCTTCTTAACCCAAAAGTTGTTCAAAAAATTTGTTAATAATTAAACTACTGCTTTAAATTAAATTAAAAAAATTAAGCCTAACATGTGGTGTCTTCAAAGCATCTGTTCCTAAAATACGCCGTAAAATGTGGGCCTTATGAACGCCATCTGCAATGGCCAAACACGTATCACGATTTTCCGGAGTCCACGAAGCACGCAAATCATGAATTGTGAGCCTGTGCACTGCTTCATCACTTTCTGACAATTTGACCTGCCTATTACTGGAAGAATCAGTGCTATTCTAAAAAGAAAAAATAAATTCATGAACCTCTCAACTGCGAACAATCAAAAAACAATGAAAGTAAGGAAGCGTTTATAGGTTAAACAAGACAATGAATGATCAATTAAAATATGTCATAAAAACAGGCTAAAAAAAACTTTTACGAGAAGTCAAACAGGGTGACCATAGCACCTAATCATTAAATTTTATATTAAAATAATGAATATTAAATATGAATATATAAAATTTCTGAGTAAAAAGCGAGCGATTAAAGTTCATAGTCCAGAATAACAAGCATAATTGCATTTAAATATTTCGTCAATAGCTTATGCAATGATAGGATTAAAATTAAATAACCACATCGTTGAAAGAGAAAAGTTATAAAAAAGACCTTAGATCGTGCTTCTCGTGTGTAAGACAACCGATCCAATCCAATAAAAAACGAATTATCATCAATTGAAGTAGCAAAGTTTTGTGAATTAGCGCCGAAAAGATGAATCTGTGCATTTAAAAGCTGTGCTGAAACGTATAAAACTGACCATTTGGCAATTCGTCTTCTGCTGACTCCATCCTAAAACTATAGCAAATGTTATGCTAAACGATAATAATAGGATGGTTGATTCGAAAGTTCATATCTTCATCGGCATTTCAACCTAAATTTAAAAAGTGCACTTTCTTTTTTACAACTTTCGAAAAAGTACAGCTTTCTTTGAAAAAAGTGAACACATTGACCTTTTGCTCGCCATTCTGCAAAATGTGAAGTTCTAATGATGAGGTTAAGTGTAAACTTTCACTAATCATCCGCAGACCATGTGATGATGAGTACGACATCCAGTAAGTGATCAAAAAGCGTGGAAGTGTAACATTCAATTGAATATGCCTAAAATATGAGAGTGAATGAATTTAAAACAAAAGTTTCAACACTTCAATCATTTTAGATTTCTGGCAAATACATAAAAAAAGGCGAAACACGAGCTTAAATCAATTAACAGTTACTTCAAATGTCGACTCAGCTGACTTTTTTTAGTTTTGTCTCCACCGAATAATCGACCACGCTTTACTGGTCTATTCACTGTTGTCATCGTATTCTAAATTATAAAACTGAAACTTCATAACAAATTGCACAGTGAATAACATTTGAGGGTGACATTGCTTAAAATATAATTAAAATATAACTTACAGTTCATTTCATACTTTAGTTGATTTCTATAAAGAAATAATAACGGAGAAGTACAAAAACTATCCCCGTATAAATCAATTTGTTCGCAGCCAGCAAATAACAACCACATCTATCTGGATAAGCATAACAAAAATAATAAAAAAATAATGAAAATAAAAAGGAAAGTACTTTGAGGAATTCCAACCATCGAAAGATATTGGCATAAAGTAAAATCTGAGGACACTGACTATTAGTCACCGTATTATCCGGTTGTTTCACTTCTAAAGTGAAGACTAAATCGAGATGTGTTGAGCGAAATGCGCGATAAGAATCATGTTCCTATGAAATATAATCAAAAATGTATCAAACACATTACCTGTTGGACGAAGCACCTTCTAACATAGTAAAAAATTTTTTTTTTTTTTCCAACATAGTAATGGTAGAAATGTTGCAGTTAAAACTTTGTAATGATCAGAGAAATAAGCGAGCATGCAGAAACGTAAGCAGGCAAAAAATTAATTATAATTCACTTGAATTGAAATTTTAATGTCTTAAACGAAACCAGCTTAGCACAATATTAAGAACTTACTAAATTAGTAGATGAGTATTCAGGAAGCTTGTCAGGAGCACACGGTTGAACACTGTGATGATCGTGTGGATCACCAATACAAGCCCAGTCCATTTTCACACTGAATTTAAATCCTGGCAAATGCAAAACACGACTTTCATCATACTTCGATGCAGTACGTACGAATGCATCTATATCCGTTTGTACACAAAACTGATCTAAATTATGTAATATATGTGTCAAAATAATAGTAGCATAAATTTACATGAATAAGATTTTCTATGAAACAACAAAACTATTTTATAGCTACAACTGTTTAAACCATCAAGTTCTTTACGTGATTTTTGAAGATTTAAGAATAACCTGTGCAGAAATGGCTAGAAGAGATTTTATGTGGATACTAGCGTTTGTCTCGTAAAATCGATGAAAAGTTTTAGCGCCATTCGAAAACCAACTTAACATAATAAAAAACTTTGCCAGTTGCTGTTTACCTGTAACCCAGTCAAACCCGAATTCTCTCCAGCATATTTCAACCAGTTCAGTGGAATTGTATGGATCTGTAGATGCAAGCATCGATGTAACCAAATTTTGACAAAGCATAGAAAAACGACCGTGTAAAAGTAATCGAATTTTGTCCCAAAAAGGCAGTGGTGGACTTGGATCTCTATAATTAGACATTGATAAATATCATTTCTCATTATCATGGTGAAATGCATTGAATAAATCAGTTAGAGATATGGATTTCATGCGGTATTGTAATTGTACTCTTCCAAATCTATGGCACATTGTTATATCGCTAAACTTTCCAAGTAATTCGAAAAAGAAATTCTATAACACAATGAATTTTTGTTTTAAGAGAGCAAATACGAAGAGAAATCAAGATACCTTGATGGCAAACTGATATTACTCCAACAAAGGCTAATCATCGATAAGCACGGCTCCCAGCAAGGCCCATAAGTGCAATTTAGTTCTTTGATCTCTACAAACAATTAAATTCTAAATATTCTTAATTGATCATTAGACTGTCATTACTATTTCTAACATCGATAAGGCTAAAAAGTTGAAATAATAAACAGTGATAATATTTGTATGAATACAAAATTGAGAAACTCAAATTGGGAAACTGACGTGAAAAATATTCTTACTTTATGATTTTTGACTACAGCGACGTACAGCAACTATTCTTAAATTAATGAATTAGTTGACAATTGTCATACATAGTTATCATTACCGAAAATAGAAACCTAACCGCATGAGAGATCGTAATAATATTTCAAGGGACACATATTTCGCTCAATAATATATTGCCCCCAAGGCTCTGGTAGTGTTACGGTACATGTTCGTATTGAGCGCGGTCCTGAAAGATGATAAATTACTGTTATATGTCAAAAAGGAAAAAAGTAAGAAAAAAAAAACTATGTATTTCTGCTAGTTGCCTAATCTAATTTCGCAATTGATAGACTGACAGTATCATAATAATCATCTAGAAGTTTTACACGAGAAGACATGTTAACCATAAACATATTAATTTCAATTAACCAATAAACAATAGCCCTACTATTTCTTCCATATGATTTTTTACAAATACAACTATGTTCTGCAAAACTTACCTGTAAGTTGCTCACTTCCTATTAGATGTCCCCAAAAATGTGCATCTTTCATCAGGACATACGGCAACGGATAATCACGGAACTGCATAACCCAATCATCACAATCCATTTCAACAGCACGTGCCCATAACGTACTGAATTCCATTCCCTCAGTTGGGAATGGCCTAAAAATTTGCAAATTAGTAGTGTTATAGAAATAAATGTTAAAGAAGACTGCTAAATGATTTCTATTACAAAACTGTACTTGAGGCTTTGGTTAAGCAAGAGAAAAAAAAAAGAATTTCTTGAGTGTATTATAAAAAGTATAATTTATTGTCTTATAAGGAATGAGTGAAATTAAATACAAATATAATAAGATGCGAGATAAGCATTGTATTCCAACTTCACCCAGCAATTAAACGAGAAATTAGGACAGTAATTATCTCATTACTGTGTATATTCATATACAGAAGAAAACGTACGATTCTGGATTGAAAGTTTTCAGATGTCTGATCACATTTTCTTTTCCGTGCAAAATCAAATCAGCATATGTACGAATCTAAATAGTTCTAAGGTATATTAGAAAACCTACTGACTAAAATCAAATCTCTTGATTCTAAAACATATAAGTGAACAGAGATATTTAATTACTGATTCACAACTAAGACAAAATTTTAAATCTGCATTTTTAGGATTAAATTCAGTATTTAAAGATGTTTTAAAGGAAACAGAAAATTGTTTCAAGTAATATGACCTCTAGATTCGTAATTGACCACAAATAAAGATGCTTTCTGGAACTCGGCAACTTTTTGGATCTTTCAATATATATCTCCGCATTTTTCTTAACTAACGATCGATGTAATTCATCTGCTTTTGATTCTGCAACAGTGTTATGATAGCATAGCTTTTCATGGGAACTAAATTCTAAAGAGTAATTGATGCCACTCAACAGAAGCTCTACTAACGAGACAGAAAGGGACGCGTTTTCTGAAGCTGCTCCAACTTTTGGTCTAGCATTTGACGCCGACGTTCGCATTCATATACTTCATCAACCATTAGTTCGTAATTATTTTGAAGTTGTACTTCAAATGGATCATCATTAATTTGTAGTGAAGCATTCTGCAAATTACGCAGAATAATACATGTTTATATGTTTATAAGGCAAGATAAATAAGATTAGTGAGATAAAAATTGATCAAAAAAATTAAAAAATGAACGATTTTAAGTCATATGTCAGCCCCTCATCTTTTTTTGTAACCAAACTTTAAATTACACATCAATCTCCCGAACTGTTATACATACCAGCTTACCTTAACTGAGAATCGCAAATCTGAAGGAAGTGGAGATTCAACAGTAAACGGTTTTCTCTTCCATTCATGCACTAATTTTATCCATTTCCATGCATTAATTATCTAAAAGTCATTTATAATTCGACTATTTCTTACATATATAAAAACAATAAGAAATAGTAGCTAAAATTTAATAATAGATCATTGATTTATTCTGCACGTGTTCTCAAAAACGCTCAATGGGAAGTTCACTACAAGCGGATATTACATCAATGAAAGACATCACTAAACAAACCTCGTCATAACCTGCTGCAAAATTATAATCATATGGAAAGACGAACATCACTGAATCGGCAGACCATATCCAAAGTTTATTTGTTCGGTTTTTCAGATTCTTAAATTCATTCCTGCCTAAATCCATCCCTGCATCGAATGCTTGCTTCTCGATACAAAACTTCTGCAATGGGTAATAGGGTTACCAATATCTGCCGAAGTATTAAAAGGTTCTGATTCACCAGTAAATTTCCGATGCTTTCAATTTCTCTACTTTTTTTTTCATCTGATTCATCAAAGCAAATTTAAAATTAATTTATTTTAATTCATCTTCAAAATTATTACCTCGATGGTAAGGATAGGATGACAATCTAAGGAAGCAGTGAATTGTGGCATTTCGATTTTTGTATGATCCATACACTTGATGTGTAGCGATGGTACTTCCCAACACATCCTTTATAAATAAAAATTTTCACAACACTGAAGAGCTAATTCCGTGCTACGGAAGATTAGAAAATGATGAAATCCTAAAAGAATATCACGTACACGTGACATCGCGGTAGCTGAAATTCGATGGTTACGAGATTGAATGTTTCTATACTGAAGTGGAACAACTGAAATGCTTTGGAAGATGTATTTCGTCCAAAAAGATCCCAGATTTGTTTCAAACTCCTGAAAAAAAAAAAAAAGTAGGAAGAGTAGAGTAAAGATCAAGAGTATATGAAATAATCTGACATAGCGACGACCTCGTTTGTTTTGTGATACATTAAGTTAAAAAAAAAATTGACTTTCTTTAGTTTGTATCAAATCATCAACAGGAATAAGAATGAAATTACTACCTTTCTGCTTTGCAAAACAAGTGTAGAAGTCCCACAGCACTATGGAAAAAACCCAGTAAAAGCTAAAAACAAAATCCTACCGGAAAGTTTCCAGAAAAATTATGTGTACGGTAGTACTCCAAACCAAATTCACTGTTGATTCAGCTAGCAAAACCCATTCCCAAGATGACAATAACCAAGAAAGTCGCATCATCAAGCGATCACTATATCCACACTTAATATTCCAGAGATTGAAATGAAATAATAATGGTATCGAGAATCCTTGAATCATTAAAAGTAAAGAAAAAAGCGAATCAAATCGAGGAAATAAAAAATACCTACAATATGTTCCGATTTTATTTGTGCTGAATCATCCCAACAAATGAATTCATCATTTGTCATGATACCCTGAAGTATCTTGAAATTCAATGCAAGCATCGACAATGTTGTTGAGGAAGGTAAGACATCCAAACGCAGCTGTTCGATAGATAGAATCAGATACAATGAATGTCGAGCTAGAATGAAGATGGCAACACTGAAAAAATTAGAATTAGATATAATGAATGCCGAACCAGAATGAGAACGGAGATAATGAACAAATTGAAAGTTTCTACGGAATAAGAAAAAAATAGTTGTGATACCAGAAGAAACCATGTAGGATTATTTTCAGATAATTTTAATCATTTTATAGAACAGTACCGGTAACATATACAAAATAACAAAAAAAAAAACCATACTTCTCTACAGAAATTTGTGCTGCAGAAACAACTTGGGGAGGTGGGTAAGGTTGAAATGCAGAAGATGTGTTGCATGCTGCTGATGACGTACCGCTATATAGAAGAGATGATAAGAATGAAGCCATCTGTCAAATTTAAGATGATAAGAATAAAGCTATGAAATGTAAAAGATACGTCCATTTATTTGGAATTATTGTCAAATGTATGAACATAAACATAAAAAATATTTCGTCATAATCAATCAATCTACTAATGACAAAATAAGAAAAAAAAATCTATAATCCTCAATCCAACAACTACTAACTTTTTATGGTCTATAAGAAAAAGAAAAGGTGTTTCTATGCCATTGCTATACAACTACAATAATTATTTAAAATACCTGCCGGATGAGTTCTTCCTCATATTCTATTTGACATTCAACCAACTTGACCAGCAACCTTCTCATTTCATTATTTCGGGAGTACTTCAACAGAATATAATAGAATACAAAAGATCGTAGAAATTTCAAGAGAATTTTACAATCCAAAACATTTTGTTCATGAAAGTCGACCTAATATAAATCCTAAGAGAAACCTGCCTCTATTCATCTGCTGCCTGTTAAGCTACGATTATTAAACTGAACTCTTCATGCGAAAAAAAAAAAAAATGCTCCCATATAAATCATTAATTTAATTATAAAAAACGTTCGTAGCATATGTTTAACTATGCGTAGAGGCTGTCCAATATGTCAGTGTTAAGAAACCAATGTATAGTAACAACATTTCAAAAAAATATACCTGAATTAATAAAGCTCCAACAATCAAAATGGTACCCCAAACATGACAAAAGGGAGAGTCAAGATGGCCAATAAAAAGATTTCCTTGTCGAATCCAGACCGATTCCAAACCAATTTCAGCAGATGCAAAATTCTATAACTGAGATAACTGAGTACAAAAAAATAAAAATAAATTTTATTGAAAGACTTCACTTACTTATCAAAAATTCCAAACCCTAGAATCGCAACTCTGCTACAAAATACAGAATTCTTATATCACGTTTTAGATGCCACTAAACATTTTTGTAAGAACTTGTTTCCAAAGTCTCATTTTTCTTTGTTAAGATGCTTTATTTTTATCTTAGCTCAAACTATTCCATTTTAAATTACATGTTATAAGGCGTACCATAACCTCTTCCAGAAGATAATGCAGTTTTCGAGCACTGCAGATATAGAATAGTACTTCGGTAATATTTCTAGAAGCATTCAGAGGTCGAATTAAGTATAAGAAAAATAATATACTCAAATCTGGACCTACATCGTTAACGCGAAATGTTCCCAGTTCGAGACTGGCGTTGATTTCTTGTCCATTGGAGAGCAATAAACGACAGTGAAATGAATTTACTTCGACGTATAAAGATTCCCAACAGAACGTCTTCATTTCTGTCGGTACTACGTGTAAATCTAAAAACAAATTCACATGTAGATTACTGAAGGCTTTAAAAATTTTATTTTCGACTGAGATCCAGATTTTAGAACCAGCCTTACCATTATGATGAAATATTTGAATTTATTTTTGAAAAAAAAAAGAAGGGAAACTACGGTAATAGAAAGTTTACCTGTAGATGCAGCCGAAAAATCATCATCGAAATGACCCTCAACAGAGGTCGAGATTCGTTGTCCAATATTACGGTAATATCCGGTCCACTCAACGATAGCCTTCTGATTCGTAACAAAATGAGGGTTAAATATTTTCATATCGGCTAAGAGAATTCCTGGACTGTCTGATGCTCGCTGCAATAAAAAACAAAATAAGCATAACGTTTAAAAAAAATTATATTTTGTGGAAGGTTTGGGTGGAGTCTGAAATGACTGACATGGACCGCAACAGCTATCATTTCGATGCGTCATGTGTTAGAAATTTTAATTGATTCCAGTTAAAATAATAGCAGTGCGTTAGAATTAAAAATTTTGGTATCACTTGACGATGTTTAAATCACCGACAAACAATAAAAGACAAACATTCAGTGTAGCATCGAATTCATTGCAACTGAACAACGTCTCTCGCGTCTGATCGTCTACATTGATTCCAGTTAAAACAATAGCAAACTGTTGGTTATCTTCCGTCGATAGCGATGCTACATTTAACCTTGCAGCAACAGTACGCCTGGAACATAAAACTATTAATGGCATTATTGTAAAAGTGTTTTCACTCGCACTTAACTTTTTGCTTTAATACTACATATTAGCATTAGTAAATAAAAAAAAAAAAAAAAAATTAGTAAATAAACAACTATTATTAATTCAGCAATTAATATTCAATCCACCGTTTAATAGCTATAGCGGAAAATGAGCTACTCATTTTCATGGTTTGATTTTTATGTCAAAAACACTGACATAAATCAATTTGCATGTATGAGAACTTTTTAAATCTTGTCAAAATAATAAAACATCACAACTGGCTCTAATGAATTAGTATAAGGCAATATACATTTCTGAATAATCCATGTTGGCGGTATATCTCAGTACTAAATTCTCGATGTCCAGTTTCAAACTTGTATTCAAAAGGCTTTCAATATTAAAGGAGGTGAAAAATTGATCTGACGTGGTTTTTGTCTTCTTACGTATTGAATGATCATGAAAGTATTCCAAAAGGCCTGAAATATTTAACGTACAAGATTACTATTCCAAAATTTTCAGTCAAGCTTCAGCAATTCAATAAAAATTAGGTATTCGTAAAAGCAGATTTAATGATACACTAAATAAGCTTGGCAACTCTGTTGTAACATGCTACCATATAATATGGAGTACAAGTCTCGTTTCACGATTAAATATATTCTATGCTATATTCTATGTTTCTATGCTTCATTTTTTTTTTGCTAGTCTAATAAAGTAGTATTCAGGCAATCAAGTTAAAGCAAGCACATGATAAACAATTCATATTCCGTATAAATCTAAATTCTTTAAAAGTTTTCAAATCATAACATTTAGAAAATCTTGACCAGAACTGAATTTGTGATCATGGTAAAACGAACCATCCGAAAGTATAAGCTGAGGATCAGTAATACGGGCACCAAGTCGTTTCAATTTTAAAATATCTAAAGGTATGTTGCAACAAACTGATAATCCTAATGAAAGTACGAGTAGAGGCGCAGTATTTTGAGTTGTTCCACGACTGAACAATTTTGCTTGTAATAGCTTACAAGAAAGTTCAATCTGCATCCTGAAATGTGGAAAAATATTTTCTTGATAGGAACACTATCCAGTATTTCGTGTCAAAGCTTAAAAAATTTCTAAAAATTAACCCTTCACGATCTCGATATCCATCAAGTTGTAATTGTTGAAAGGTTGAATGCAACAAAGATCCTGGTGTCACACCAAGAAATACAACGCGCGCAGTACGAATTACCGTGCTTGTATACTAGAAATGTTTCTGGGAGTTAAAAACACAGTGAAGTGTTCACAAATTTCTCGCAATTTATAGCTTATCAAAAATTAATATCATCTGAGATCAAAGGGTATGACTGCTAGTAGTTGGTGCAGAAACTATAGACTTAACGTCAAACATACATCACGCTGGCTTTATAACTGATATGATTGCTTAAAAGCGGAGGCGGCATGCAGAAGGAAACGTACTTGTAACCAATGAAGATATCTTCTAAAATCCTTATGACAGCACTGTTTCTTGTAGGTTGGTGTCAAGGACAATTGATTACATTCACCTTCAATGCGAATGTCACTAATCGTGATAATGAACGGTTTCCTAAAACTGTTGACTCAATAAAAACCTACAATCCAAATGCATGAAAAATCTAAATACACAATTTACGGTGATTCGTTTGATTCGTAAAGGTCATTTTCTTCTTTTATTGGGATGGTGACACTATACGTACTATTATGGATATAAAACTTTCTAAAACACTTCTAAGTATTTAACATACTCAAACATAATGAAGTTTAAAACATCGAACCATACATTCCTTCTGCGAATATTAATAAATCTTACTGTTGGTTTTACCTGACTATAATCATTGATAACGATGCATGCAGACTATTTAATTGTAATTTACAAACTGCAAGATTTCCCCACTAATACATTGAAACTCACGTGTAATGTGTATTGAAGAAACTGACTGTTACGCGAAAATCGTCAACTTCAATCACGATACCACCAATTAAGCAAAGTCTAATATGTTCTACATAAAAAAGGCCGCATCTGCCCAGGCGAACTGAACGACAGCGGCAAATTTTTGCTACCACCAATGATAACAACCAACCTCGGTATCTAAATTTAAAATCTTGCTATAAAGTAAGAAATCAATGATTCCTATACAGTTTTTGCAAGTAGGTCCTTAAAGGACTTTTCATCGATTTAAGAATAAAGTCCTTAATCAATCACACATGATCCCAAAACATGACATGATTTTCTAAAAATCAACGTATACCTGATAAATAAAAAAGGCTCTCATATGAACGGCTATTAAAAACTATTTTATTCCCTATTCAATTATTTCAAGTTATATTCCTTCCAATAATCAAAACGATAGTCAAGAGTCAAGAAAGAAATTAAAGTGCTATCTTCATCAACAACTTCTGAAATTTATTTTCAAGTTATGAATGTCCTGCACTATTCTATGCTAATTTGTACATTCTTAAGTATCTTAAAAGACAACGAACAAACCTCCATATAAGCAATATGAGAAATATCAATAAACATGAAATGTATGGAAATGCCATATCTATTTGTTATTAGGTGTTATTATATGTTGTCGTATTGATTCTTCATCCATCACTGAAACTGTAAAGATTAAATGTTTTGAACAGGAGAAATACTACAAATATTATTTCAGGTTTGACTCAGTATAGAGGTTAATCGATTACTTAATTATTCAGCATTAAAACTCCAAATACGATGGCATAAATAGCTTAAATTTTGTTAGTTATATAAACAATATTCCATTTTAATTTTTGTTTTCAAAAATTCATGAACCGCACTAAACATTCAACTTTCTCTTCTTAACACCTATTATTTGTCGAAACAACACAATCGCTCCTATATATATATCACAGACCATATATATATATATATATATATATATATATATATATATATATATATATATATATATATATATCACGGATTCCTATATATCACAGACTAATGCACTCTTCCATCTATCTTACCATTCATATATTTTCGAAGTTCACAGTTACCACTTTTACGTTACGTAAATTTTAATTTACAGTGAATAGATTCCTATAACTTTTATTTATCCCTTATAATTTTTTAATTCCCAAATTATCAATTTCCTTATGCAAAAAAATTCAAAGTTTTGACTTTCAAGTCTTAAAAAAAAAAAAAAAATCTGAATAAATATCTTAATTTCTAAAGAAGTTACGATCATAAAATTATTTTTAAAAATCAATGCAATGAGTAATGGTTGGATGTTTTGTAACGGTACGGGTTAACACAGTTTAGCAAAAATTATCTTTCGATTTTCAACAGCGTTTCAATTCAGTTCCATTCCTGTGATGAAGCTTAATTCGATTTGTTTAAATCAAATCACTAGTGATTTTTAAAAATTAGTTATCACAACTGTAATCACTTTTATAAACAAATTTCAAGTTTATTCAGCAGTTCTGTGGACAAATTTAACATGGTTGATGACATCAGTATGTTTATATGTATTCCTTCAAGAGGGGCTTCATCAAGAAAGAAGAGGGGTGATAGGAAGAAGAGTGGATAAATTTTCCACTCAGCACATTAGCTCATTTGTATCTGTTAAGATGTAAGAAGATTAATACTATCGGTCAGGAAAATGCAACTATTAGAATGTTGATGTCAAATAATCCATTATCAATGACTAAATGAAAACAACGGTGAAACAGAGAGCAAAAAACAGGCAGTGGGATGAAGGGAGAATCGGTGAATGTTACAGATATAAAAAGCAAACTTTACAAAAAGAGGATAACCCGGACGAATTCTTCCGCCTGTATATCCTTGCGCATCCGAACATACGGGAATGCTTTAATAATACAATGTCGTAAAATAACAAAAACTCGCATGCACACATATGATTAGCAATGAAATAACCTTTGTTGAGAGACGGCGTTGTTTCATAACGCGTGCTGTTATTTTTAGCGACGGCCAATAGTACAGGTCAAGATTGTAATAGGTTCTCAGTCGGTGTTTGCGGTGAGGTTTTTTTTTCTCGGGATGTTTGGAGTTGTCTCTACTTTTTGCATGTCTATACATATCTAGAAGATCAAGTATTCGGGTATGAGTAAATATTCTCATTTTTTGTTTCAGAGTTATACTTTATGATCATTTTATATAATTTCAGCACTTCGACGCCTCAAAATGTCTGCTATGGAAGTAACAGAAATACCTGCTGCTGAATCAGAGCAGATGAAAGAACAGGTCGAGGAAATGCATCAACAAAAAGTTGAGGAAGCTAGAAAGGTTGTGACTTTAAATCCAGAAAACTAGATTTCAATAGATTTTCATGAATCACTTCGGGAAGCAAGTATCATACGCTCACGGTGTTGATGTTGGGGTAACTTCTTGACCGAAAGAAATGCACAATGTACAAGGCAGTTGTGTCACATTGAGCGCTTTTAACAGTGAGACATCTGCATCAAATAAATTTATCCCTGTCAAATATGAAATCTTCGCAAACCATTCAGCATTATCCCTCATAGGTGGGTCATTTTAGCAGTATTTCGCTTGGTGAGTGGTAATTAAACGACATTTGTATAACCTACATCTGTTAGTGGAAAGAATAATAGTTGGTTATCACTATACTTTAAATCATGCAGAATTTGAGTTTTTCGGTGCAGGAGGAAATACCAGTTCAGGATGAAGCAACAAAAGCAGTTGATAGTACACTCTCGCATCCATCAGCTACTTCCGAAAACATTGAATCAGGTGCAGAATCAGAAAAGAAGGATGCATCTCAAGTATATGGATTTGGCTTGTTTTTCATTTCTGTTTTTGGCACATGCAGTCTATGTCATCATTCCCCGTTACCTTTCTTCACTCGTTGAAAATTATAGCAAATGGGGATTCATGGTAGTTTGATTCATGGTAGGGATAAAAAAAATGCATAAATAAGCTTTTTGGAATGTAGGCTGTCAGTTTCGAAAGAATCTTATGACGTAACAGTTACTCATCTCTGTTGATACCATTATTATGTTATTGTAATTGAAGCTTTTAAAAACTACATGACGCGAAATCTGAACTGCTGAACTATTATTACTTTGGCGGACGTGCAGAACAAATCTTGTTTATGTGTTTCTAATTCCTTTGTGGTTTTTAGACTGGTGGAGAGAGTGGAAGTGGTGATACTGCCGCAGCGGCAAGCACCACCATCCCGACGCGCCAATATCTGGATCAGACCGTTGTTCCAATTTTGTTGCAAGCCCTGGGTGCATTGGCTAAAGAACGTCCACCGAATCCGATTGAATACTTGGCGAATTATTTACTTAAGGAGAAGGATCGTTTTTCGACATCATTCAATCAGCAACAACAGCAAAATGAATCCAGCCATTAAGTCCAAGAAAATATTTCGAAATTTTTCTATTAAGCGCTGCTTTACTGAAAAGAAATTGCTTCGTTTTCCATTTCTGTCGATGTTTTATTTCTCTCAGTCTCTTTTCTAGTGAACCACCCATGTACCATGATTTTATGACAGAGAAAATTAACGAATATGAAAAGCCCTCTGTAGTTGTCTTTGTTCTTATATAAATTTGTTATGTGTGATTATGATTCCAAATTTTTTGTGAGTGGCACAATGATTTTTATTTTTATATCCCAGTTTTTATTATACAATATATTACTGTAATTTTTGGTGTCATTTCTTCCATATGCTTGCAGAAAATCAGAATTTTTGTTAAACTGGTTTATTACTAATTTCTTATGCTTTTTTCATGCATGTTTCCATCATTGGAAAGTATTTCCATGAATTTGATTTACAATTCCAGACCAAAAGTTAAAAAGTAACTTTCTGAAAATGTTGCAGCTTAATCGGTTCAAACCTTTGACTGAGAGCGAACAACTTTTCAAAAATCTTATAAGTGAGTGTACAATGTTTATGGTAAATTAATGTTGTAGGGTAAAAGTAAGGGAGTATGCTTCGGTTATGTAACCAATTTTCCCAAAACATCTGGCACTAATGTTGTCATCGGAAGGTGATACGCGGAGATAGAATTTTAATAGCACAGATTCACATGTACATGCAGTTTCAGGATTGAATTATGGTGAAGTTGTTTGTGGGTGGTTTGCCAGATGGCGTTGACTCAATGCGACTTCGGCAACTTTTTTCTCAATTCGTTGTAGTTAACGAATGTGATGTGATCAAGGATTACGCTTTTGTTGTTCGTTATTAGAAAATTCAATTACAGAAGATGGTTTAATCAGAAAAAATTGATACAAAAAAGTGGTATATCGTAAGTGGAACTGTTTGGACATTGGAGCTGTAAGCAGTACATTAAGAGTATAAGAATGTGCTTGTTTTAAAATGGTTTATGTAAACGTATTTTCGATTTTTATGCTTTTTTAGCATGTGCCGGAGGAATCCGATGCACGAACAGCTATTGAAAAATTGGACGGTTATATCTTGGAAGGAAAAGCGATTAATATACGAAGGTTGTTGTACAGTTTTTTCTCAAGGTCCATAGGACTATGCATTATAAAGTGTTCTGTTTTGGCGATTCAATTATAAAACAGATTCAATTCTGTATAGGTTTTTGGGAGGACGATTTATTCTCGAACTGTAAAACATTTCGAAAATTAAGTAAATTCCTATGTTTTGTTAATTTGGGTCAGCTAATCTTTGACCAACATACGCGAAATGCAAGGGGAGTGTGTAAACTGCTAAAAGTATTGGTTTGTTAAAGTGACCTCTTATGTTTCGCAGTGAAAAGGGAAATGAGTTGTTCACGGGAGTTTTTATAGGTCGACGTCGAAGTTACGGAAGGAACCGGGTATGGATAAACGTTGCTATCGATGTGGAGCAGTTGATCACAAAACACCACAGTGCCCAAGTGATCCTGCAAATATTAATTTGAAACGTGTAGCTAATGCAAGCATAGGTGGTCCAGAGCAGAAACGTTTTGTTGGAGATGGAGTGTATGTTTTCTTGGATATCTTTAACGTATAAAAACTATTTCGTATTTCCAAGATATTTTATGATTTACTTATGGTTCTAAGTTCTTTGTAATGGTCATTCTAAATACTTTTAGCCGAAGTTGTTGAAATTGAGAAATGTAGAAAATGAGTTAGGAAGAAATTATTTCTTGATACTGTTAACAGTTTTCGACTTTTTTGCAGCGTAGCTGGAGAGTCTCCGTCTTACGCACCAGGACATGATGCTGGTGCACCTAGTGCATTTGCGTATGCTGCAGGTTCGGGTACTCCTGCAGCACGGATTGATCCAGACCCTGAATTACCGCGCCCCTTAGATAGGTAAAATTCTTTTATCTTGCTCTGGAAATATTCTTGAAGCAATATTTTTTCTTTGGGCTGAGTTTAAAAATGATCACATTTCTTGTTTATTTTCCCGATGTTCTGGGCTGCCTGACATTAGCCTTATTCTTTAACCGAACAATTATGTCGCACATTCGATGCTGCAACCTATATTTCTTGGGTTGTTGTATATCTTCATGATCTCTCGTGTGCTTTTTAATCACTATTTATTTTAAGGTTGAAGTTTTTGTCCTTTTTTTTTCTTTTTTTCTTTGATTTTGTCCTTTATTCATTTAGAGGTAATATTTTTCAGTGATTTATTTCCATTATACGAGCAGTATATGGAATCACGAACGAAATATTTTTATTTTCGAGATCGGCTAACGAAGGAAGTGAAAGCTCGAGCCCATGCATTACCGTCAATATCAGTTGCACCGCTCCAGGCTCCATATGCCAACAACAATGTTTACAGCACTCCCCCGCCAACGGCTCTACAGTATACCGTGCAACAGTTCTGTCCAAATTTTTCACATTTTCCATAAAATTTCGTAGTTACTTCGAAACAAAAAGTGGGAGTTAAGTAGCGTTGTACAATCATTTAAGTACAATAGCAGTATTTCGCAAAGTACAGCCAAATTCTGGATAAACAAATTTTACGCAAATGACTGAACATAACTGCTTATGCAAAAAAAGATAGGAAATTAGCTATATAACAACTTTGATTGTTATTCCTGACAAAGTTCGGTTATCCGATTATGAGTGAATTGGACGTTTTTTTATGCCTGAGAAGTTAGGTTTTGGAACAGTTATTCCTTATTGTTATTTTTTAGTTAGTTGAATAATGGATAATAAATGTAAGTGAAATATTTAATATAAGCTTAGAAATTTTCGGAGGTTTCGTGTATTTGTCTGTAAGTAAGTTGAACATCAAGTTCCATTAACTTGCTAAGCATATCGAGACTTAGCTTGCATCGTTTTTGCTAATTTCATGTTTATTTCCGTCATATCAGGTGGTTTTTATTATCATCGCCTCGAAATTTCTTCAGTTCATTAACTAGGTTGTATAATATAGTGTTTGATAGTCTCATTAATCTCCTGTTCATGTTTCACAAACACTCAACAAGGTCTTTTAAAGAAGTATTCACGAAGGTGCTTTTATTTTATAAAATGTTGGTGAAAGTGAAATTTTAGGGAATAAATCAAAGATTTATCACTTCTGTTAAATTGGTTTGAATAAGCGCGTGAAAACATTAGATTTATGCGTAAAGACTGAGAATGTCGATGGTGGTTTTCTGTAAGGATATCTATGATGAATTTTTTGATTACTATTTTACGGAATTTCATAATTAACATGAGAACTTTGTCATGAATTCAAAGTTATCTACCTATACCTTCGAATTCATACAAATTGACATATTCGACATGGTCCTAGTCTGTGACACAGGCTTTTATCCCAGAATATTATTTGGCGTTGCGCTTAAACGTTTGCAGACGATTTTTCGCAGTTGTATCGGCGCCATAAAATTTTCATACTGATTCATGACAAGTCTCATTTCTTTTTCAAAATTTCAGGAATTCATCTCTGGGATCAACTTCAGCGGCGACAGTGACTTATCCTTCGACAACGGGAGCATCACATTTTTATGCAAATGCAGTAAATACAAGTACTGCAGGAGCAGCTTATCCTATTGTACAACCTCTTTCTCAGCCAACTCGTTTATACTAATCACCATCAAATTGAAATGGTTAAGTTGGAGTTGCGGATATATTTTTCTTTTTAATTTTTTATGTTGTCAGTTTTTAAAAACCATGAAGTTTTATGTAATTTTTCTACTTATCATTATGATTAAGTAGGTTAGGCAGGAAACATCATTATGTTGTTGCATTGTGAAAGTATGTTTTTTGCTTTGTTTATTGATTCATAACCTTTGTTTTGGATTATATAGATAGATTTTTTTTGTTCCGTCCATTTTTCTTTTCTATTTTGCTGTCTTAGTTCCAACAAGTGCGTTTTAGCAAAGGCTTTATCGTGAACAAAGACAATTTTGCAGGTATCTTAGTCACTAACTAAATTTGTTACCGAAAGATTTCCCAATTCTTTTAAAAAAATCTTATTTAGCGGATAGAAAAGTGATTGTTTATCATTTTTTATGTGAAAAGTTTATATCCCGAAATATTTGGAAGTCACTTCAGGTGGTAATTTTGAATTTATATGAGCTTGTGCTTGTCATATAGCCCACTTTTTTCTTGAAATTGTCAGATCTTGTTTAGCTTTCATTTGTTTATGTCTCAACTGTCTCTATTTTCTTCATTGAGTAATCTTTGTTTTGACTTTGCTGGTAAGATTTTGAAATACCTTTCAAAATAAAGTAGAAAGGAAATAACTGATGAATTGCATATCGAGATTTATTCTTCCCCAAAAGAAAAAACGATTAAGATTCTGAAATTAAGATTTCTACCATAATCGTCCCGATCCATAGCGTTTTTCTACTATTTTTATGATAGCGGAGAAGTAATATTAATGAGAAAGTGGTGTAATGCTACTTGATTTTTCGAGATGTACTTCTTATAGATGAATTTGAATGTTATTTACAGATTTTGTGCCGTTTTCCCCAGTCATATTGCAAATTTCATTTCATCTATGTTGATTTTTGAAAATTCTTTAATATATTGGCCTGCTATGCTTCTGTATTTTTGTATGTTGATGAGAGTAAATTTGCTCTAACAGGTTTAAGCAGACTGATTCAACTATTCGAAAACAATTTTCATGTGACGAGGAAAAAATTATGGTGAAACAATTATAACAATTTGGATGTATGAATGATTGGGTACAGTGGTTTTGTTTTTGAGCTTTTAACTGGGTTTTGTTAGTATTATGGGTAAAAGTGAGGAACAAAGAATCTTCCTTTTGGCATTTGAAGTTTGTAAGATTGCCAGGGTCACCGAGTTCATGTGCTTCTGACATGTGTATCTATGCCAGTGGCAAAGAAAAGAACGAAAAGTGTAATTCGATGGGATACTAGGAATTATCGTTACTAAATGTTAGGACCCGAATATTGTTAAAATAGCTTTAGCATGCCTTTTGTCTAATTTAAATTTCTCATCAGATGAGGAAAAGTAACAGATGTCAGCACTTATGGACTGCACAGATCACACAACTATGGGTTACTGATTGCTTTCTAGATCATAAAAGTGGAAATTAAATATGCGCTGATGATTATGCGAAATGAGAATCATAAATAGTGATTTGTGGGTTCTTCATACAAAGGATACTAAGGGTTGTTAAGGAGGGTATTTGTGAATATTTTGGATCAACATTTCGGAAAGCAGGAATTAAAATAGAAGAAATCTTTTGAGAGGGAGGAGAAGAGAAAGACAGGGAGAGAGAGGAAGGCAAAAAAAAGATAAAGTGCTTGCTTGTAAAATGATTCCAGATGATGACTTGCCTCTTGCTAATATCCTTGGGTTGGGTTATAATTTTGCAAGATCTGTAAGGCTGAGAATCAACCACATGGCCACTAAAAAATGTAGGCAGGTGCAGAGCAGCTTGGCTTATGCCATTAAAATCAATCCAAATGTGGATACTGTATAAGAGAGAAACCAATAGTTTCTAACAAGCAAATAGACAAAATCTTCAGATTTTAATTTGAAGATGCAGGGGAGAGAGGTTATTTCGAAAAGCTAGTAGAAAGATCAAAATCAAAATATAAGTAGAGACTAAAATAGCCAAACTGAAAGAAAATAATCTGGTACTTGCTAAACTATTTACTATTTGTTCCTATCAATGTCTTATTCATATTTCAATAGGTCCTGCAATCTTGGGAGATTTTCACTTTCCTGATAAATCATCAGGTGTCAACCATCTGAAGGTATCAGTTAGCAACCATCACTTAAAAATGCATATAATAAAAACTTTTGTCTTTGTGTATAATGTAAAATGCAGGCATTGCAAATATTTAAACGCATTGTATCACTTATCAACAATATCTCAAGTTCACTTATCAGCAATTGCAAAAAGTTTCCTTCAGTTTATGGTTGCCTCAGATTTGAATGTATCATTATCAATAGTTAGTAAAAGAGAAAATTGTGAAAGAGTAAGCAATATGCAAAATGGTAGATAATTTACTTTCCGACAAAATGTTTGGCCAAACAATTGACAAAGAAATAAAAAGATTTGGAAAAGCGGCCGAATAAAAGAAAAGATAACTTCTTCTCCCGCACATTATACAATGCAATATTTACACTTCAATGGGTAGAGAGTTGGGTAACTAACCATTCTCATCAAATTATTATCTTATCTAAGATAGACCGACCAATCGCTCGACCTCTTTTCAGCGAATGACCTGACCCTCATTATTAGCGATTAAGCCATCCCAACAATTATTTTGACCATTCAACGCCGCTTATTTTTTATCTATTTGCAGTAGCCAACAGAAAAGACAAGTGCTCATCATAAGTCTCCTCCTAGCTTGTCTTATTACGTTGAACCCTGACCTTCTCTATATTTTTTACACATTTCTCAGAATGCCAAACTTAAAGTGCATACTTCTGTTAGATTAGTGAAGATCTTTCGGGACTTTATTCTGTATTATTTACACTAATAATGAGATAATATTATAAAAGTTCTTTTTAAAAAATGTACAAATTCATCAAATGCTGCTTAGGAGGAATGCTTTTAGATTTATTGTAAAGGAATGTTTAGGTCCACATCTACATACATCTCACTCTTTCTCCCTCTCTCAATTCCAGTTTTTTACTCTTCCAAGTTTTGATAGCTAAAGTTAGTAACATATTAATCAGTGATCGGTCATCATTGTTTATGGTTGGAATGCATTCTGTACTAATGGTATCACAAGGAGAAGTGATAATAAAGCAATCCGAAATGATCGCAATCTCTTGCTTGTACTCACTCATCCATACCCGTCGTCCTCGTTGTTATGTTATCAACATAACGGGTCATAAATTTAAACAAGACTTTTTAGAATGGTATGCATGAGGGAATGAGAAGAGAAAAGAATGATTTAAAGGGTAGAAATGATTGGCTGCTCTTATTTGTCTTATTTGGTGGCTTACATCTTTTTTCACTTTTTCTTTCTATCATCATTAAATCAGTAATGCGTTTATTTCGTTTATTTATTTTCTTCGTATGTTTCTATCATTTCTATTCATAAGGGAGTTAAAAAATAATAATGAAATGAAGTAAAATTGGTATAACGGTATAACTTTGCAAGCGCAAATGAATCATTAAATGAGAAATTCTTTCAATGATTTTAGAAATCTGAAAATCTTTCTGATAAGTTTTGATTTCGATATATCTTTTTTTTTTTTTTTTTTTTTTTTTTTTGGGGGGGGGGGAAAAAAAAATCAACACAATTGAATTGAGTAATTTATTAAGTGATTGAGAATCTTATTTTATGAATTTTAAAAAAAAAAATTAAAAGACTGATCTTTTTATCTTAACAATAATTCATTAGTTCAATTATTTGCTGCAACAGACGAAATTAATTTTTAAAAGTTCTAGCAATAATAAGATAGCTTTGTTGAATTTAGTTTTTTTTTTTTCTTTTTTTTTCATCCGGAAACAATTCCGTACAAGGACATATTATAGCAGTTGTAACAATTGGAATTATAAATATTACAATTGCTATTTATGACAAAAAAAGTGTTTCCTTTATGTTTTAGAGCTCAAAATGTTGTTGTATTCTTTTTTATTTTAACTTTGTTTGAACTGCTTAATGAATCTATTAACTGCTACTACTACTACTATTACTGCTGCTGCTGCTGCTGCTGCCACTTTTATTATCAAACTAGAGACAATTATTATCATCTAATCTATCTTATCTCTTCAGCTTCATTTAACTTCATTTTTTTGTTCCGTTAAGTAATGGCTTCTGTAGGAGCCATTTTCAAAGCTCTTCAAGGTAATTTAGTATTCTGTGACCTTCACAACCCCTCTTCAGGTCGTTTACCCTCTCTCTTGGGAATCATTACATGGATAGGATTGATATATAAAAATAAATTTCTAACAAAGCAATTAGATATTATTTGTTATCGTTCTTCAAAGATTTGCAGCGTTTCGTTTTTTTTTTTTCCTGAAACTGTTGGAACTGAAACTGTTTATAATGTGAAGTATGAAGATATCCTGAAAGTAATCTTGGAATTGTTAAGCAAAAAACTCAGAAACTTCAATTGAGACTCTTCCAGTTGGTAATGACCAATTTTAAACGGTGCAATTGTCGCATCCATCAATTAAGAATGAAAGTTCCCGGATGCATATCATCAAGCTATATGCTTCCTTTCTCCTTTATTTTTTTTTTTTTTAATAATAATAATGCCACTAGTGGTAGTTAATAAGTTAAATTTAAAGGATGAAATAACTGATCCAATATATTTAGCCATTGTAGGGCAAATAATGTATAATGTAAGTGCTTAAGGTAGTAGTAATAGAAGCCTTTCATTGGAGGGAGAGTGGAATGCCTGATTTTGGCTCATTTGTCCGAGCTAATCTTATAACAAGAGGATGATGCATGCCTCAACCATTCAAAAGAATGATCATTAGAATGTGAATAAGTTAGGAAGAGCGGAAGGATGACAGAAGAACTCTTTTATCATCTACCAATCTATTTGCTATCCTACTCAATTTCCTTAGATTGCTTCACTCACTGACTCATATTTTCATCATTATGCTAATTTCCAATGGAATTCCATCTGCCATTAGTAAATTGA